ATTTTTTATTATTCCTTTGGCAGTTTTTTTATTTATTCTTTGAAACATTGTATTTTATATGTAGACAGACTGTGCATTTATAGATGTAACATTTTTTTAATTGACAGCTATGAACTGAGTACATGTATAACTTTTACAGAATGGCAGGCCACCATCTGTTATTTGAATCATGTACTTTATGTAAGTTTTGATTTTATTTAATTAAAGCTGAGTGATTTGTTGAATTGTTGTCTTAATAATAGATCATGGATGATCACGATTGATGAATATAGCTGGGTTAAATTTTATGCTATACATTTAAGTTATTTTAACTGCGTTTCGCTCGTTGCTTTCAATGAAAACCAAGCTGGTCTCTTCAGAAATAAATAAATAAATACGGCGTGAAATTTTGTGAAGTGACTTTTATTTGCTAAAGAAAAGATTACTTTACTGAAGAAAACAATCATAAATGAACACTTTCGAATTTTGCAGCGGGCATTGAAAAAACCTACCTCGATTTAACTTACTTTTCTTTATCAGCTAAGCGCAATTTGGGAAGCATAACTTTAAATATAATTTACAATGTTGGTGGTCTGATTTCAAGTTGTATTTTTCTCATCAACGTGGGTGTGAGACACTGTTTGATAATATCAAATCATGATAGCACAGAATAGACATCTAACAGAAGGCCCACTCTGCTAAAATCGTGGCGTATTTTTTCACTACGCATGCGTGACTTCACAGCAAGATACTTTCACAAAATCAATATGGAATAGTATTGCACGAGAATGTTATTTTACTAATAATTCACGTTTAGAGCAAAAGTTTTCCGAAATTTTTACAAAATGTTATCATCTTGAAAAGACGATGAGTTCCAAGCTTTTGCAGTGCAAACCGATGTATTTGTTAAAACATCTATATTTTCTATTGCGATCTCCTTAATACTTGCTTCAGAAAAGTAGGGGACATGAACATCAAAAGTTCCGAGACGAGTGGACCTTAAGATATCTATTCTGTGTTGTAGATTGCAAATCAGGAATTCAAAGCACGCAAAACCTTGACCTTATTGAGTCTATGGGGCGGTTTGAGTTCTTTTATATGAACTTAGGTCTAATCTTGACTTGCAACAATTCTCTTGAGATTTGCCAAACAATGTTGCTCGCCCACGCCGGCTGTTGCCAACGATAACTCTGATAAAATATTCTTTTGTATCAGACCACCAACATGGCTGAATTGCAAGTCAAGAATAGCGTTCCCAACAGCAATTAATGCTCCAATCGATTTTTGAAACTCCATGTATACGAAACTCTGAGCAGTGATTAATAATATTGCTTCAGAATTCACTCAATAGAAGCCTAATTCTGCTGCTTTTGATTATTTCCACGATATATTACATCATGTTGACAAATCTCGCTTACTTGTACTGTTCGTCGTGCATGTTAACATGTATTTTATCCCTCTGGCACCAACAAACAACTGAGGCATTCAAATTTAACAATGAAATCGTTAACGTCGACTTCAGACGCTTCCTTGGGGACAACCCGTACTTGAAATTAATTCGTCACGCGTGCCTGTCGCAAACACGCAATTGTGGTGACAAATGCTCTTTTGAAGAACCATGAAGACAGTCATCGGTCATCCAATGCAGTCTTTGAAGACATATTACAAACTTTCATCGACCGCTGGCTTTCGTCCACGTTGTATTCAAGGTTAGCCAGACGTTCATGGATAGTTTTATACATTTGATCGTGCATGCACTTATAAAATATTTTCCAATTTCATACCTCTTGATTAATGATTATTTGAGCATTTTACATGAAACCGATCGTCGAAATTCGTCTGTACGCTCTTCTCTGTGAAGATAGTGTCACTTGTTTGATGATGTAAAATAGGAAATGTCTTAGATTGAAGCTATTAGAGTTAAACTTAGTTCGTTTGTTAAGCCGACAAACTTTACTGTACTTTACTGTACAAACTTTGCTAGATAATGAAAATTGCTCATTGTCTATAATTCCTACCGAGTTTGCCACTTGACTGTATTCATGTTATTCAACACAAAGATTAAGGTTTAAAATTTCATCTTCACTTGAGAGTAAAATAAAAATATTGAAGTATTATTTAGCCTTGAGGAATCAAAGTTTTATGAACAACTTAATTTAGCCATAATTAAACTCATAGCTTAATAAGGGTTGAAATACTTTCTTCACAAATGCTAAAATACTTGCTTAACAAAAGTTGAATCATTCATTTATCATAATATTAAAGCTGATGTAGAAATCGCAGCTCGAGTAAATTTCACTTGGCCATGATGAATGTCTGTGTGAGAGTTGAATACATCTCTTGAAAGTTTTGTTGAATGTCCAGAAATTATGGTTGCTTGGAGCACATTGTGTGCTGATGAATCTTTGCTATATTTTGAACAAAAAAATAGACAATAAATTTGCAAAAAGATTTTAGATGAAAGTTTCAAGCCAAATAAGACAGTTGACTTGTTTGTGAATCATGAAAGTTAAATGTCTGGAATGCATTTAATGAGAAGTGAGAGCTCCCTTAACTTTCAATTCGTTTTCACGTTCTTTTTCTCCGTTTCGGCCATATCAACTTTTCACATTTCTTATAAAGAAGCACTTGTAAACGGCAGGGGGAAGCTCATAGGATTTTTTACAATATTTTGTGGTCATGACAAAAATACGACGTACGTCAAGGTTGTCGTCTTCACTAAATACAACTCGCTCGAGTCAAAGAAACCCAAATTCCCATCAAACATCAGAATTTAATGCAATCGCCAGCATTACATGGGACTACAAATGAATTCCGGGGGGGTGCAAATGCTTTCTTTATAACCTGCAATTATCCCTGGTTGGTAATCATGGCCAATTTTCTTATTAAGTAAAGCTCGTCGTTATTGCTCTCAGTAAATTAAGTTTATATTATCCATTTTTGATTGATGTCTGTTGATCATTAAAATTTTTTCCAACGAACAGAAAAATATGCACCACCAGGTTTTCTAGAACTAAAGTATTTTTGCTTACTGCTATTTCCTTGAAAAATATATGTGCAGAATTCTTTAATCCCAAGTGCTAAAAATATATTTTCTTTAGCCTCGAGGCAAAGTCAGTCCAGGAATAGGAAAGTTTGAAATGTCTGTACGACATGTTTAATTGAACCTGGACAGAATATTCAACATTCGTACTCATTTGTTTCAATCTGGAGTTCAAACATGACTTTAAAGTCGAAATTGTGAACCAGGTAAGTTCTTTCTTCACAGCTTGCCGATTTCGAGATAGGAGCGAATTGCATTTCTACATACGTAATATTAGAAATTGAAAGAATGACCATTGATTGTTTGTACGTGTCTATTTTTCTTCAACATTTTTATGCAAAATGAGTCCCGATCGATTTTCCACAACTTGTGCTATTTTGCACGATGATTTTTTTGTAGTTGACCTACAGCATTTACCCTTCATTAAAAGAAAACGGGTATTCGATGAGACGTGTTACTGGACGTGTTGTATATTTAATAGCCGCGTTCCCAATTTCAAGAACAGCAATCAAATGTCAATTAAGCGTAAGTGAAGTTCAATAAAACAACAGTTTAATTTTCATGCCATGAATTAACTTTCGATTGAGCGACAGAAACAACAGTATTGTATTGAATTTAGCGTTTTGTTCTCGTGTAGTTGTACACAACGGCTGCTCAGTATGTCTCAAATATACTACGTCTATAGTTAATCACCAACGCAGGATATTTTCTGTTCAGACTAAGGGGGACGATGCAACCGTCAAAGGTGTGAGACTTGAATTGTGGTCCGAAGGCATTCCCCTTCGAAAAAATGTTTGATTGTTTTTTCTTTAAGACTCTATTTCTTTCAGGTAGGTTTAATAAAAATCTAAAAGCCCCGCGCTTTTAGAAGGGCAGTTTTATGTTTAATGTATCAAAAAGTGTATTTTAGTCAATCTTATAGACTGCGATGATTGAAGATTACTACCTACTACCTCGACTTTTGACCGTTTACGGAAAGCAACGAAGGAGCAACGCACTATTTTCATTGCTGTTTGAAATTAGATTCATTGCCCACTCCACTCCTTTTCATTTAAATTCTCGAAATTGGTCTTTGGAATATTGGGTGGTGGTGGACACTTCATATTCAGTTCCCTCACTGGCAGCGCCACTGGTTTCAATTATCAGCTTTTCCCAAATATGAACAAAATTCGGATTGCTTTAACTCGTGTTAAATTGAAAATGATATGTTATTCAAGTTACATTCGTGTCTTGCTTATTGTTGCTTGTATTAATGTGCGTTTTGTTTGTATCGCTCATTTGAAAGTTTAAAATGGAATGAATGAAGTCGTTGTTTCAGTGAACTTCTCTTGCTCTTATTGAAATTAGAAAAGCTTTCTACAACTCGCCCTTTGAATATCCTTTTCTCTAATACATGAAGCTGGATTCAACGTGAGACTACTGTTTATTTTCTGTTTGAAATGGAGAAAGCGTTAAAAGTTCCAATCGTGAAATTCCAATTGCATTATAATTACAGAATAGGTTTAAAAAATCGTCTCCAAACATACCCACGCACGCTTGCAATATTTACAACGAATATAAATTAAGATGGCCTCATGTTACGGCTATAAATATTGATGTTTGGTGGTGGCAACAAGAAACATAAATACATTCACGTAAATTACATCAATTTCAAAACAAAAAATTAAATAACATATACATCGTTTGCAACTCAAGCTTTACCATGTATTGACTATCTATCTACATGTTATAATCTATCTGCACTCAAGTTTGTTGATAAGTAATTGATTAGACATTCTCTGTACAATTATTACCATTACGTCTACTCTCTTCCTTTTCGCATCCATCCAGTTGTGTATAGCTGCCTGTTTTTCCATGTGTAACTTTACTCATTGGCAAAAATACGATGTTGTTATTTGATTCTGCTTTGTAAGCTACACTTTCACTATATTTTGTTTCGTATGTTTTCATTTTGTCACTTGTGGTTTCTTGGTGAGAATTAATTTTCTTTGAGAAAAAGCAAATGATTAGGACGATGATGAAAATCACAAGTAAGGCAAAAATGCTCCAATATCACAGTAAGTTTGATGTTTGGCACTAGAAAACAAAAAAAGAAAAACATAGACAATATGTTCCATAAAATGAACTTTAGTAGTTTAAAAGCAATTGTAAAAAGGCACTGCTTATTTCCAATTCAATTTTTGGCACATGCATTTGAGTTCAAACCATAAATGGTTTTACTTTCGAAGGATTTGGGGAAAAACTAATTATTTAACATAAAAACACCACAATTATCTGGATTTGAGATCACAACACTGAAACAACACTCATTTATGATGCCGTATACCCACATGTTTCGTCTGCAACACCATTGACATTGGTAAAGTTTTTGGAAGTGTATTTTGAACACACTAGATCACAACCAGGCAAATCGTTAGATTTGTTGCATAAATTACAACTGTAATTTTCTGTAAACATGAAAGAAATACAATTACTACAAGTAAGAAATTCCTTACTATGCCCTATTTAATAGTCTTTCGTTACCTTTCATCAATTTGCCAACCAATAAAATATTTTCAATTGTCAACAATTGGGAAGAAAGATTCCAGTATCTTTCAATGTCATGTATCTTCTTTTCAGCGATGTTGAGTATATTCATCCTTGGAAATGATGATTGAATTTGGAATAACTTCATGCCCAATAGATCCAAAATAACATTGCTAATCTGTAGCTCTTGAAATTCGGCAAAAGATAAAATACCAAAGAATTTTGCGATGTTTTTGAGATGAATAAACTTTATGAAGATGTCAATGTTATATTTTGCAATCAGTTTTTCATTGACTTGTCCGTGAGATTTCTTGCCACTTCATAAGAGCAATTACTTACGAAATTTGACAAACTTAATACGTTGTATTGAATACCAGGTTGAAGATATTCAATAAAAGCAACAAGTTCTACAATTCGAGCCACTTTTATTTCGATCAATTTGCCTTGATCTACTTTCATTTGAAGTGTTTTGAAATCCATTTTCAAGGAATACAGCACAGCTAATGACATACGAGTGTAAAAAGCCATTTCAACGATCGTTACATTAAGCAATTCACCATACATCTTTATGGTGAGGTTATAAGGGATTTTGTCAACATTATCTAATTTCCCAAGAAAGATCCGAAACATTGTAGACTTGCAAGTCTTTCTAATGTCCCAAAAATAATGTTTGGCGATATCGATTGGTGTTATTGAGTAGAGTTTGGCAATCGATTGTGGATAAAATGCCCAAGTTCTTACTACATCAACTGGTTTTACAATCGAATAAAACGCTTTAATGATAGAAAACAGATTTCTGGTGCATAGCTCGTGATAGTCATAATGTGTCGTTATCTGTTTGTGGATTTCTTCAATATTCATGGTATTCATTTTTCGCAGTTGAAAATCTTCTCCTAATGGTTAAAAATTGCCAAAGTCTTAATTCATTGAGAAGCAAAAAGTCGTTTTAGGGACACCAAGGGTTTTTTATATGGTAAGGGTTTGGTCATTTAATTTTTCACAAGCTCATCTTAATTTTGGCAGCCTGAATATGAATTGCATATTGGCAGCCTGAATGGTATATTGGCAGCCTGAATTTTACATCCGTATATGAATTGCAGCTTTTATGGAAACAGCCTTACCTGACATAACTTTATCAATGAATGGCATAAACTGTGACACATTTAAATATACACCATATTTATTTGGCCTTGCGCAACCAATACCCCAACTGACAAGACCATGTACTCTCCACGTGTCTGCATCATGATCATCACATTGCAAAGGCCCACCGCTATCGCCATAGCACGTATCATTCTCTCCTCGAGAGAATCCAGCACAAAAGTAGGTATTCGGTATACTGTTGTTGTATGACACATTACTGTTACATCGGTCTTGAGATACAATACCAATGTGAAGTTGCTTCAAAGTTTCTGATCGCATGTATTGTTGAGTATCTTCGGTATTTCCCCAGCCGACCGCATAGCAACGTTTACTAGCACGATGAGCTCGTTCCGGACCACGAGGCAGACAAATCTAGATAAATTTGAGAAAAGTATAATTCTCTAACATATATCTCTTCATCTGAAATGTTTGACCGACCGCAAAGTGGATAAAAATTCTAGTTTTGTTCAGCCATAATTCTGTTGAAACAGACGACTATGACACAATACAATGTTATTTGCCATATATTTGTCGAAGAAAGAAAGAAAGTTATCGGAGCTCACCCACCGGTTTGACAGCATTGTTCCATTCCAGCGAATACTTGAGTTTTATCAAACATATATCGTTGTTACCAGGGTAATCCATAGCAGGAGATATATAATCAGGATGAAAGTAACTATTCTCGGGAAAAATGCGCCGTTCCCCTTTGTCAATTTTTCCTATGGTGTGATCACCAACATAATAAAGAAATTCATCGACATACGACTTTCGGTGTTCACCGAGAAAGCAATGAGCAGATGTAAGAATCCAGTTTGAAGCTATGACAACACCGCCGCAAATTTGATCTTTTTTTCTCATTGTATATATATTTACCATCCATGGCCAATTATGTATTACCGCTTGTGTACCACCAACTATTCGTTTGTGACGTCGTACATTTTTCTTGCGAACGCCACAAGAGGTTTTAGCTGCAAAAGGTTCCAATGACACAATCATGTTGGTAAAGATTTCAATACATAAAGACGATCATATCAAAATAGCAGTAACATAACTAACTTAAAGTTTTATTGGGTCGTCTCTGGCAATATGTAATTCAGATCCTTAACAGTATTTATTTTTAAAATATAGTTTTTCTGTAGCGAGGAAACGCCGAAATACAACCACGCAACAAAAACTCGCTAGCCGTAGTAGGGATAATATTGGAGTGAATATGTTGTACGTGCAACAATATATAGGAAAATAGTGAATATTTTGAAAAGTGCGAATTTGTAGCAAGAGGTTTACAAAGCACTAAATACGTTCAGTGTATATTGCTAAAAATATCAGTGCTTCTTCTTCTTTAAAATTGAAACATTGTTTTAGTTATACTGCAGTAACAAACTTTAACAAAAAAACGCAATTTTACTTTTTTTCTCGAGCAGTGAAACGCGGCAAACGTTCAGTAAAACATTGAAATTACTCATTTTTCTGCTGACTTATCTCGTACTGTACCTTGTATAATCTTCCTAATATACGGTACAAGTACTTTAACATTTGTATAAACACCATAATGGTTCTTTCTAGCACAGCCTTTTCCCCAACTTACGATACCACTTAGGAACCACTTGCCATCTTTACTTTGGTACTGTAATGGTCCACCACTATCCCCAAAACAAGCATCTTGATCCCCACTAGAATGGGCAGCACATATTTGGCGTTTTGTGACGTTTCCGCCGTAGCTAACATTGCATATTTCTTTCGGAATGATTCTTAATTGCAACTCCTAGAATGTATTCCAGGCTACATTTACTTGAAAAAAGCGAAACGAGAAAAGGGTACAATTTTTGCTGACTTTTTATTAAACTACGTATTTGTACTCATTGATACTTAAATCTCTATTTAAATTTCCGAAATAATCTTAAACATGACCATATTGGCAAAACTTCTCAAACGTAAAATTTACGTATAGATTGAATGAGTCAGTGAGGTGAACATAGAGTTTACAAACCTTTAGAATGGTAGATCTTGTGTAACGTGGTGTGTCTTTAACATTTCCCCATCCTACAACAAAATGGCTTCTATTGACCACATCGTTTTCATCGTCATCTGTAACATTTGGTAAGCAAATCGTTCGAACGTGTGCAGTGATATTCACAGGTTTCTTGAGACGAATCAATGCAAGATCATAGTCTCCAGGAGAGTCATCTGTTAGCAATTTATACTTTGGATGAATATAGAGTTCTTCTGGTTGCAGTACCTTGATTAAAACAAATTTGATTAAAACAACATGTTTATCTTTACTGAGGAACAGTTCCAGCGCTACTATACAACATCAATAAAACAAAGGAAATACAGTTATGAAATTAATTATATTCGATTGCCTGACGTCGCGAAAAATCACGTGGCAATTGTAATGATCAAAGGATATCATCGATTATCTCAGTCATTGAAATGCCAAGTCAATATAGAAAGAAGAATATTGAAGTCAAATTTCACGGATCAAAGCGAACATAGTAGCAACTTTAAGAGCTCCTTTTTTTTCATAAATTAGATCAACAATACAAAACATATACCTGCTCATGAGGGTCAACTTTTTGTAAGTTGTGATCACCAGCAATGTAGGTCCACTCGTTTAAGGAAAATCGAAAGACGCTCGAGACAAAGCAATGCGCTGTTGTCAGTATCCATTGAGGATCTATAAGACTTCCTGAACACACTTGAAAGTCTTTCTTAGTCGTGTTTACAAAGTTCACTAACCAAGGCCAGGAATTCATTGCGGCTTCTCTGCCTCCAACTATTCGTCTTGTTCGTGAGTTTTCGGATTCACTAAGAAATCTCTCTCCACAATCTTCGATAGAAATGTCTGTTCGAGACGTACAAAGAAAAAGTAAAAGAAGTTGGCTGCAACAGATGTATAAGGATTACACGACGTAATGCGGATGATAACAGCCGCTGGGCATGTTTTACAGATAGATGGACAACACACACCAATAAGGAGAGATAAATTACTTGGCATTCACTGTTGGGCATGTTTTACAGATAAACGAACAACACATCCAAGAAAGGATGTATCCAGTCTCCATAATAAATAAACTTTCATGCTTGGTGTTAAACATTGGACTTTTTTCGAGATTTTGGGGATTTACGTGACACGAGCATGAATGAAGGGCAAATCTATAGATATTGTCATACAAAATTCACTTACGTAGTGTATTTAGAAGAACAATCAGAGCGAGAAATTTTGCAAATACATTCTCACGGGATCACCTACTTAATTTCAACAAGAAAATCTTGAACCTGTAAAAACATTTAATAAGTGAATTAGAGATTGATATATATGATTGCTAAAAAATTTTGGAAGTTCAATCAATAAAACCCTAGACGTTTTGATTTTCCAAACACTTCTTCCAATGATTTTTTCTTACATTTGCAATTTTTTACTTTATATGATTCACTATTGGCCAAGCACTATATTACTAACAAGCACATCATATTTATATTCAAGCATTTCTTCCGGATTATTCACTGAATGTAATAACTAATATATATACTCTCATTTGCCATTATGAAAAATCAAATCTTTTCTCATTATTTAAATACTTTTGCCGATCGTACTTTACAGCCGGTTGAACTCCGTTATTGCACATGCAGTTTGCATTTATAATATGTTAAGCTTTCAATAGAAGCACGGCTGCTTTCCCTCCATACATGGTGGTGTTTGATGAACGATGAGCGATGACCCAAACGCTCAATTGCTCAATTTCATCGTGTACCTTATAAAATGTCTCCTTAGAAAGTACTCTACACAGCGATAATTAGATTTTACAAGTAGAAAGTGATGTACATCGCTCACAATTGTAGAGTGAACTGATTCAATGTATAAAATACAAGGTTGCGTACGCAGTTGGTTTACATTAAGGCATACTTATCTTTGGTACGTGCCACATAACATGCTTAAATAAACAAGATATCCAGGATTATTTTTTTAATATACAAACGCACACACACGTCCAAATCATTATGTTGCACCTAAGTAATATTTATGCAATGTGAAAATGATATGTTTTATATAACAATTTAGTGTAATATTATTTCTGAAGACATACACGAACACGACTGAGCTCTATCGTAACTGTGATGATTCTTTCTAAATATAATTCCAGAGTATAATTCTAAATACAAGGCAGTCTTGAGTCGCTCCTACACGAAATATAGAAATATCTACTGTGGCAAGTGTGAAGGACAACGTAAGAAAATGACCAAGCATTCACAGCTCTTACGTTTGTGAGGAAATAATTCTTTGTTTTTGTGATCAGCCAAAAAGTAATTGTTGCGCATAACCCGCATATTTGCGCAAAATATGGTAATTAATTGATACAGGCAATCGAATGCTGAATCTCAAACGTGTAGCAGTAAACCATACTTAATCATTATAACCATCGAGAAAATGCCCAAATTATGAGAGCTATTTTACATACATACATTCCTTTACTTATTGTGCCATTCATAATATCATAAATTTTCTTGTTATTTAACTCTAACGTTCTTCAAGGATGACATTGCTGCATGCAGTAAACGTTTTCTATAATGTTTAAGCAACATCAGAATATATTTTTGTGCCACTTTAAATACACAACAATAAGGCTAATATTTTATATCTAAATAAAATAAACGCAACTTAAATAAATCAAGGGCTAAATAAACTATCAATAACATACCAAAATGCTCAATCTTTTATAAGACTGCAGTTGATGTGAAAGACGCGAATTTTGTTTCCTCATAACAGTACATTAATAAACGACAACAGCCATGTGGGAACTAATTAAGCATTTCGTGTTTGCATGCAGAAAGAGAGGATAAACGGTTTGAAATGCCAGTTTCATACCAACCAGGGGGCTTCATTCATCATTTGACCTTCATGCAACTGCTTGTCAGTTTCTCGAAATTAGGCAGTAAGAAACGTTGCGTCAGATATTTACCAAGAATGATGATGGTTACAAGTTGAATTTATTACTTCGATAAGGCGTAAATTTGATAGTATCAGATCGAGATTTATGTGATGATCGCGTCAGTGAATGCTTTAGAACATTACAGCCATTACAGCGATGAAAGATGAGTAAACACAATGACTTTATTAACAGCGGTATTGGGTATAAATAAATTCGATATGGCAGGCATGTGAACATCAACTATTTGTTGATGCCAAAAATATCTTGCAGAGAACAAAAAATAAGTTGATATGACGCTCTTCGTTTTGTTATATTGTTGAAATTGTGTTTAGTACAATAAAAAAACGATGTTTATGTGAATGTCAGCAGTCAGCATGGCCTATTTCTCTATCGCAACATTTAAATACAAAAATAATGTTGCTTATAACAAACAAAAAAGAAAAATGACATCAGTAAAGGCCGAAAGTGTAGTGAACAAAAATATAATATTTCATTTTAATTTAAAATGTAGCTAGCTACTGGAATTAATCATTGTCCTATGAGAAAATAAAAACAATCCCATTACTTCATCCGAGGAACTATTTGATTAGTATCTGTGATATTAATCTGATAATTTCATTAGATATTTCTTGATGTAATTAAAATCAGCGTGCGAAGACAAAAATTGCACGAAAACATCGTTTTGCGAGGAATTGATGACTAGATTATTATTATTGAACGTCCCATCTATCAATTTACATCTTTTCAATCGTTTCTACCGCGAATTGTCGACACTTTCATTTAGAAAAGTCCCTTAGAATGATCTGAACTCAATATTTTTCATTGAAATTTGCACTCAATTTCCGTTTCCACTGAAATATCAATAAAGTCAACATAACATGGAAATTGTTTAAAAATTTGAGGTGTCTTCTACGCTCTGAGCGAGATTCTGCGACCGACTTTTGTAATATTTGCGTTTGATAGAACAGACCACTTTTATCAATCCGATTTTTTTTGTCTTCCATCAAAGTAATTTTACAGCTACATATTTCGTCGACGTCAGACTCCCAATTTTTTTACGCCGGATCCAAAACAGATCAATGCGTAACAATATAAAAAAAAACTGTAGGAAACTGTAATATTAAACAAGCATCGCGAATGACCGTACGGAATATTTTTCACCTTGCAAAAAGCTTACAGGTGTGCATAGATCACGACTATGCAGTAAAAACTAGCTTTATGCAGCAAGTTTAGATACCTAAAAATTACCTTCTATTTTAGAAACAGATGAAACCAATCAGGATTTTGGATTTCAACAGCAGATCTCACATCCCCTAAAATAAGATTTCCTGAGGTGAGCAAGAAAATTAATGATAGCTACGGTTATTGGAGCAGTTATTTCTGTAATACTTGCATCATGCTAACCTATAATACTGAGACCGTCTCTTCGCATAAGAAATCTAGATTTAATGAGCTTGCAGTATGAATTGATAACAAGAGTGTGCCGTTATAGATTATCGATGAAACCATATCTGAACACTTAGCAACATTACCTCTGCATTAATATGAATTAATTGTTATTTGTTAACGCTCAACATATTGAATATAATCACTCACACAGATTATTGACGAGCGAGATTAAACGCGGTGTTTTTCATTAAATTGTCAAGAACTGAAGTTAAACAGCGTGCAGTTAAATGTACTTGAATGCATCTCGAAGTTTCTACAATACTTTGCAAATAGTAAATCTCAAGCCTCACATTTAACTCACATGCACCTCGAATAACTGATAGTAATTGAATTTTTAAAACTTTACATGCATAATATCAGCAACAAAGTCTACAAAATTGTATAAATGAGCAGATGTGAAATGGTTTTATTCAATAATCATGCATGCAGCATCGTCATAAAAGACGATCAACAGTACACATCACTTGCTACTTCGGCAGTTATTAAAAAAACTTCCAATTTTGTAAAATGTATTATAAGCGCAAAAGCATGTGAGCATCCCTTTGTTGAAGTGATATACGATGAATTTCTACCTCGTTGCAAGTGCCATATGCTTGGTCACAGTCAGAGAACCTAAAACATTATTCATATAACTCAGAGATGAGATCAAAATACATCATTTACCTTATACAATCACAGAAACAAAGCTGGATAGCACTATATTGAATCTCTAACTAAATAAGTCTGTTAACGTAGCGATTATATAACAGTGACATACATTCAAACTTACACATGGTAAAATCGTTAACATAATGCGCTTTTAATGAAAAGACACACTTTTTAGCGATATAGATAAGATGTTTTTATCAGAAAATTCATGCGGCAGGTGCATGAATTACGCCATAGCTAAAGCAATATTATTCTTTGTTGCATTGTGTACTTAATATCAACTCGATCTAGAAAGATGGAATCGACCCTGAATAAAATATATCATTTGATTGTTCACCTGCATACAATCAAAAATATGTACCAAAATAAACAAATGCTTCCCTTGCTTGCGTAAATGGTGTATGTATCTCAAACAAAATTTTTTTCTGTATTCTCGTTCGCGTGAACGCCGTAAATCTTTGCAAAAAGTGTATAAGTGATGCGTTTGAAAAATATCCTAATCTCGACAAACGAAAGAGCATTTAAATCTTTTTTACTTGTGTTAAGCGATGTCCAAATTTGGAAGCTCTAGAACATAGGCGAAGCATAAATACAGTAAATAAAAACCAAGTGTTCTTTGAATTCAGCTTTGTTTCAAGTTGTTTTTAATTTGCATATAAAACTAGAAGACGATAGCTACATGCAGAACAATGATAGTTCGCAATATGTCTGCATGTATGTCATTATAAATGACAGAAAATGTAATATTGCAGAGTTTTATGGCATTTTAACTATTCAGTTACAGTGTGCTCCAGTTTTGTAATCCAAATTCGTAATCGACATTGGGCTAACTAGAAGTCATCGTCAAAGTAGTCAATATGTTCTCTTTTAACGGACTTTTTCTTTCTATGAATCTATAAAATGAAATTAATTTTTAATGAGGAAAACTTAGACTCTTGAAATGATAACCTAGACTGTAGAAATGACTGTAACCTAGAATGCAGAAATTATTGTACCCTAGAATGTAGAAATGAGTGCGATTAAAAAATGCATGTATAATTGTACAATGACAACATGACGTATGCTTACCGCACATTCCCTATGCCCGAATCGGGCAAAACTGCGACGGGTGGCGGAGGTTGAGGATTTATAACGCGTTGTAACTGTGATGATAGTTTGACGCGAGGGCATTGTGAATCTCTAGAATCGTAACAGAGAAAAGTTGACGTGATGTTAAGTATAAAAAATATGCTTTTGGGTATTTTAAAACTTGTAATGTTGTACATGAAAATATAATCCGTGCAGCTTAGCCATATACATATGTAACCTAACAATTTGATCACAAGAGTTGTTTTAGTTAAATTTTATCTGTTTATTTGTTTTTCTTCTTAATTTTTTTGCAAAATTTTGATGATCTTGCACAGAATAATGAATATATGTACACAGAGGGGTGATTTCGTGTCCGCCGCTTTTACTCCACTTTTCCCGACGACTGCTTTCCGACCATCTGACGTCGTTTCTTCAGTCCACATAAATATTCTTAAATCCATCACTCAGAAGTGACGTCCTATGTCATTTTAGTGGTTGAAAAAAGGTGACAAACTACAATCGATTGGTTGGAATGGAGGATATGCGAAGGAGACGTTGCAAACAGGAGTGACCTTTCTGTATAATAACCATTCCGTATTGTTCACCTGAAAACCATCTACACGTTATAACCGCGTATAAAGAACTCACTTTGTGGCAGTGACAACAGTATTTCTATTCGGCTCTTGGTCGTGACTTATCGTCGTACAACGATACATTGTCGCCAACTCGTGAATGAAGCGTCGATTATTTCTATTCATAGGCGCAAAAGAGTGAGTGAGTTTGGGGCTTTGAACCTAAAGAAACATTAAAATTTAACACATCACCGGTCACATCAAATTTTCACGTTAAAGATTTTTTACCTTCGATACATTTTTGATCAACGTATCCAATGCATCTTCAACAAAATATACCAACTTCATGTTTCCTCTAATAAAAAACACAAAAAATGGGATGGATTTTCTCTCATACGCGAAGTTGCATTAAATCATGCATAATGCAATAATTTTACTCAACATTTACGTCATGTACCTTCCATGTTGCTCGAGAAAATGGGAATATTGAACAACCTCAGGGGTTTCTGACCTGGATATACCAAGAGCTTCAGCAAATTGTCTGTAAAATGGAAGAACTCTCATCAAAATAAGAGAGTCTAGGTACAGAAAATACCATTCGTCATTACATTCTTACATGATATGATGCGATATACTAAGATATAAAATGCAAGATGGAAAATGATGTACTATAGTATATGCACCTGTTACGATGAAGACGTGGATGTTCATCATTACATTCTTACATGATATAATATGGTACACGATGATATACATGTGTACATGTTACGTTCATGACGTGCACATTCGTCATCACATGGTATAAAATGATACAGCGTTCATGGAATGCATTGGTTGGCACACGTACCTGTTGCGTTGAAGACGTGCACATTCATCATCACATTCTAATCTAGTAACGTTAAAACAAAAACTTTAAGATGTGCATATATCACACAAAATAATAAAATATGGCAAAAAAATACACAATGAATGAATCCACGCGGAATCTTATTCGTACAAAACGTCAGCCTTTCTATTGAAACGCTTTATTTACTAACTGAGATTTTTGCTCGTTCAAATTCAATAATTCACTGATGTCCACAGACTGACCATCTTGTACTCCTTTCATTTTCTCGGCCAAATTTTTGGTGGTAAATCTTGACAAGCAAAATAAGATGTACGTAGTTTATTTTTGTTTAGAATTTACATATTTTTATTGACAGCAATACATGCGAATCTGACGTCATTAAGTCATTCTGCAAATTGTCTTCCACACCTTTGATAAGCCAGTGCAACGTCCATTTTATCACCACCTTTTAGGCAAATGCCATCTTCTGATTTTCGACCGCACAAACAGTAAATGCGCACCTAAATTATACAAGCTGATGCATGTGTACTTGTGTTCAAATCTTATTAAAATTCATATTTAAATGAGTATATACATGTTAAATAACTAGATATTTTTTACACTCCTAAGTGATACTACATTCTGATACTGTTATTTTGCAGTAAAAAAAAAACAAAAAAATTAAATTTAACCAAATTAATATGGCGATGAAATAACCGCAAGATAAGTATACCTTGTTTTTGCAAGGTGTCTGCGGGCACTCTCCGTCATGACAAGGAGATCCACAAGGATGTCCACAACTTTCTCGTGGTAAATTACACAGTTGCGTACACTTCTCGTTTTCTTTTAAGCATGGAGGCTTAATAATCAAAGATTTCGTTTCAAGCAGAAGATATAGAGAATAAACTGCATTCAAAACTTCAAGGGATAGTAAAACAAGCAATTGATATACAAATCATATTTTCATTGAGGAGAGGGTTAAACACAGTGGAATTTCAGTGAGCTTTCTAAAACAGTTCAGTCACATTCCTATTCATTCTGAGGAATTAAATAGAAGAATTAAATATCGAAGTTCTGTAATGTCCGATTTACACAGCTTGTAACTTCAAATGCACAACGAAAAACTCAATTATCAGAAATCTTTAGTGATATGCTACTTCAACCAGACTTAATACATTCTTCTCGTTGTGAAGTGTTAAAAGGAATGAAATTCTGAATTTCATCCAAAATTGTGCAAAACCTTTATAATGCAATGTGACGTCTCTGATTCAGTAAATCAGACAAAATGAAAACTTCAATATCTTAAGAAGGGAAACAGATATGAATAAACTGTTTCAGAAAGTCTACTGTTATTTTAAGAGTTCTCTATCATGAAAATATAATTAGTGCATGAAAATTTTCGTTTTACTTTTTAAAGTTTTGGTCAACATTAATAGGTTACCATCCCCATTGCACATGTATGTTCACATTAATAGATTACCTAACCCCGTTGTATATCTATGTTCACATAAATTTTTTTCTGCAATGTCATACACTGATTCGTAAAAAAGTAAAATAGCAAGACCGTAAAATAACCAACCAAATGACATCCTTTTAGACATAGGTGCTTGCCACATTTAAGGGGCTTGCCACATTGTTGCCCACAGGAAACATTATCAACATAACAAGGGATGTTTCGCCTTTCCTAAACACAATATAAATAAAATGAAGTATAATGACGTGAATATACTGCGTAAGGTAATAATTATGCATAATCATTTTTGAGATGTCGACGATGCTTCTCAACCAGACTTTTCATAAATTAAGAAAATTTTGATAAGCGAAGGGATATTTTTCGAAAGTTGATGGAAGAATTGGAAAATTAGTGGAATGCCCTTGCAGGTAAAACAGGCGATTGAAAAACTTTTAAGTAATTTTGATAAAAGCAACAAGTAGAATTTTGTTCAACAATTTACTTTCCTTTTCCTCTTCCCCCTCCGCCTCAAAAGCCACTTAAGTCTTATTATTGAAATACTTGTTCTTTTCAATGATATCTATTATTTTCCAGTGATTCAATAGTCTCTCGCATGTAAAATCTTAATTGATTTAACCAATAAGTTTATGAATTTGTGTCTAAAATTTTAATTTCTATTTTGTTGATATTAGTGAAAGTGCTATCGATACTTTGCCCTAATTTCATCGATAGACTACGTATGTGAAAAGCAATCTGGTGATTGACTAAGAAAATGGCGTCAAAACAAAGATTCACCTCATGCCGTCCCATGCACCACTTCGTGACCAACACAGTACATGGAGGGCATTCTTCTTCGTAATGGCAATTGTGTTGCACTGTTCAAAACACAAAATAGATAATATCATGGTTGTGCAACGAGAACACTTGGTTTGTTGCAATGTAGCGATATTTGGCATGAAATAAAAGGTATGTGAAACATTAGAAACATCAACCTTCATGATGGCAAGAATGCATTCTTGAACAAGGTCGGTGGCAAATTGGTGGGGGTGTACCACAGGGAATAGGAGGTTCTTGGACAGTAGCTCCACAAGGACAAAACACTTCCTCGAACCCTTTAAAAATTTGATCAGCCATTGTGAATTTAAAATTTGTAAATCAAGATTGGTATTCAACTGTACGCTTGAAAGTTTAACAAAACTTAAAACAGCATTCCCCAACTACGGTTTGGAGAATTCATCATATTCAGAAACATATAGTTGCGTCTACAAACCTGCCATGAGACAGGGAGGACAGGATCCCGAGTGACATGGCTCCATACATTTATGCTTTCCACATTTTAATTTCTTACCACATAAAAATGTGCACCTGTGCTCACCACCCTACGTATGTTGCAAGAATAATTCTATCATAAGGTCGTAATTTTTTAGTCTTGTTATGAAAAGTCACCTAAGACCAAAAACAAGTGTTAAAATTGAACATTTCTCAACACTAACAGGGCAACATTTCTGTGAACATCGATGCCTTCCACAGTCAAACTTCTTGTTACATTTTCTTTCGCACGTGAACACCTCACCTTTCAATCAAACAGAGATAAAGAACTAAATGATATGTTCCAGCAAGCGGTAGTTTAATGAAAACAACAATTAATCAACATTATACATCATAAGGGTTCATACCAGACAAATTCAAGTCAGCACACTTCATTTTCTGCGAAAAATAACAATTTTTTCACAACTGACTGAAGGATATCTCTTAGACAAAACACACAAATAAAAGCACCTTCGATGTAGCCCGACAACGACATTTCACGATCGTATCACCCTCACAAACAGAACAAGGTCCATGATGACACAACTTTTTACATCGATGGTCTGAACTACCTTTTCTTATTTCTGTACAACAGGTAAAAGTGAACAAGATTAAACAAAAAAGGCATGGGACGAAATTCGTAAAAAGGATGTACCATTGTATTGTGCACACGGTAGAAGAGCATCACAAACATTTTCACATGTAGGTATCGGATCAAGACAGCTCGTTCGCTTTTCTCCATGCAACAAATCATCAACTTTTCTTTTTCCACATGGGCAAAATGTGACAACTTCAGGCCTCAATTTGCAAGGAGTGCATTTATAATCATGACAAATATCCTGACAAAAATGGTTTCCACAATCTAACTGCCTAAAAAAGTTCAAGACATTCAAAGACAATATTTGTCAATTACATCTGTGTTATAAATCTCAGTGTTAATAATTGAAAAGTCAAACGTACTTTGCGCAAACATTCCCGCAAGAAAAATATCTTGGTTCACCGTCGATAAAAGTTGGAGATCCTAAATTAAACAAGCATTCAATGGAAGTGGTTGACATATTCACTCATCTGACAATTTAATACAACTGCGTGAGCATAATACTCAATTTTACACAATTTTATTAAAGTCTTAGCAATATTTCATATAAAAAACGATTAACATTTCAGCTATTACCAACACCGCAGATGACTTCTCTTGTACTTTTCCCACAGTAACAACCTGGAAGTACCAAACAACCATGGTTGAAACGTGTTAAAACGTTACATGTAAATTTCCAGGGAATGTAGTTTTTCCTAAACTCGAGTTCATATGGTTTCACAATTTAACGGATCAGATCAACTTATGCACTAGCAAAAATTTTCACTCGTACTGCCTCAACCAAAGCACTTACTTTGTTCTTGTAAAACAACACAAGGTTCACAACTTCCTACATTAAAAATGTAATGAATTTTGTAGATTAAATGTATTTTATTCATAAAACGTTTCTTCCTATTTTAGAAGCATTTATTCACCAGGATGACATTTTTCTTGGCAAAAATGAACACCACAGTTCAGTCTCTTTCCACAAATAGAGGAACATGTTACATCAGAAGAGTTTCCACAACGTACGGATATACTGAAGGCAGGGACAAATAGTTAAGAAGTAAAACGTTCTGTGTAGTTTGAAAATCGCAAAACTTTTTCAATAGAATAAATCATATTGAACTCCAACCTGGTAGCTACTATACGCCTTGAACACTACCGAGTGCATGTACAAATTGTACATGCACCTGGTAGAATTGTACAAGCACTCTACAATTTGTTCAATTAAAGTTGAAAAATCCTGTAAATCCTATTTTGTGCCACACATACCATACTACGCAAGCGATTAGAATAGTGGCAGGCGGGAAATTGCGTTTACTGACCAACAGGTGCGCTGAGCTGCTTAACGGCAGCAAGCTGTTACATATACAGCAGCAAGCTGCCCAGCGAAGTGGTCATACTGTATATTTCTCATAATGTGGCATAGATAAAGTAAATGTAATATAACATGATACAGGTGAAATGCCAAAGACACAGTAAAGCAAGGCAGCAAGCTTATACATTAGACAGTCGGACGTTTATAGTTCCGACTAATCTATGGCGCCGAGGTTCCAAGATAGCAAGAAAAGGATACACTTTTTTCCCGCAACAGCATTTCTTCGTAATCATGACAGGACAGCTTGGACAAGGACCAGGATGACATAATCTAAGATATTTTAAAGATTTGAAGAGAAATGAGTAAAACACCAGCATATTTCTAAGCTATATTTCACCGATGCCCGTGATGGTAGCATAAGTTACATAAATACACTACATAAAAAAAAACTCGCAGGCTGTAAATACGTATTTCTAAATTTTAATCAGCCAGAATGAAAATTCTTACTGATTGCATGGATGAGGACAGTTTTTATCAGCTCTTTGCTTCATACACAACTCGCCACAGCCTGCAAATAGGTAGCAACATAATTGAGTAAAATAACGGCACTAAAATGACCTTTTACGTGTACAAACTCTAAATACTTTTATAAAATACGTGTTTCGTATACAACATTCTTTATGATGGAAACCTGCGTTCGAGCATCTCTACACAAAGATGCAATATATAACACTTACTGTGAGGCGTGATACCATCTCGGGGATGCCATTTTGGATCTTCAACTTTACCTACAACAAAAACATGATGAACACCATACAGCCAAGGAAAGTTCAATGACTAGAATACAAACATGGTTGACATGATGAGAATAGAAAGACGACAAGAGCACATCATACATTCATATTTCTCCTCGGTCAAGAAGGAGATCTCCTCTATCATCGCCTCGAAGAGAGGACAATGAGTACATCATTTTTATCATATATCTTTACTCTCATTACGGTACAAAATGATATATGTACATACCACAAAAACATCTGTACGCATTGGGGATATTGTGCTCCACAAACTGACAAATTGGACATCGCCATCCTCGACTCTTTCCTCTATCATCTACAAAGATGATTTTTTATTTTAATTTACTTCCTCATTGCCAATTGAAAACTATGAGATACGACTTATGTGATACCACGTGACCGTGCGTATGCACATAAATAGTATGAGCAACTTCATCAGAACATTGTAACGTAAATGATAACGTGAATGATAACGTAAATGAAAACGTAAATGATGGCGTAAATAAAGTCATCAGGTCGATGAAATATGGTCTCTTCAAATATGGTCTCAAACATGGTCAGGTGAAACTACTTTTCAAGAGATGTCTCTGGTGTGGTATTGCAAAGATACCAGGAGATTACCAATTGCTCCCACTACGATGACAAAACAAAAAGCCAGCTGCGTAAGATGAACAGACTTTGAGTACAGACTTGTGTCATTTAGAAGTGACATTTTCACTCGTAGAATTCATTATGAATGATGATAAAACATTATTTATAACCTTAAATAAACAAAGAAGGAAATTTTGATTGACACAGCATTTGTTTAATAAGATGTTGGCTTAGTCAAACTAAATGTTTTATGATTTACAACAACAGTATGTTTACAAGGCAAACAATAGCAACAGAAATCAAAATTTTCATTACAAACTTGTGGCAAACAATGATTAAATAACTAGATCATCGATGCAAGATGACAATTGTATAATTTTCATTGTAGCCCACATCACAAAATTACTGCAAGTGAATTAAAAGGATGTTAAATCAGTTCATGCATTACCTTCTATAGTAGCTGCTGGTGAAATTGCCCAACGTTTAACACAATGCAGGTGAAATACATGAAAACAATTTTTGCAGGACCATACTGCTTTATGACATTTAATGACTTCACAGCAAATCATACATTCATATTTCTCCTCGGTCAATTGCTCAATCAACACACCAGCTTGAACAGAGGTCTGAGTATGCGGTCTTAAAGAAAACTTTCGAAAGTTTTCAGTGATAGTTGTGTTCATTTTGTGGTCTGATTCTTGATTACTAACACCATAATCAACATCATAAGAATATTTATAGTTAGTAGGAGTTTGCATGGAATGAAACCTTCTACCCGACAATATAACCCTTCTTCGTTCACTAAATGATGGTCTTTGTGGACATTCTTCAAGTCTTTGCTTTCTTTTTGGCACATAGATTCCATTAGCTACAATGCCATTTCTATTCTCTACATCTACACTTTGGAAAAATGGGTGCTGTGGATTGCTATCTCCTGTTTCATTTTTATCTGTCCTTTGATTGCTTCTAAGGTGAGCGTTTGAATTTAATCGTGAATCGTTACGATGTGCAGCACGTCTATCGTTTTTGTTTCTGGTAGATTTTTTATTCTCACCAAGATCATTGTGACCTTTGAAGCCAATTGATGACTTTTTTAATGAGGCAAAGTTTTTGCGTTTTGATATACCACCATCATCTTGTGCTTGCACAAAAGAACTCACAGAACCGTCTTTAGATTTCTCTCTATTTCCATGCGAAGGCTTTCGTTTGGTTGTTCCTCTGACTTTTGCTGCAGTTTTAAGTATTGTAGAATTTTCTCTTTGATTTTCACCATTCTCAGTTGATTTCTGATTGTTAACATTTCGTGATTTGTGAAATCTCTTCCCTTTTCCTCGTGAGTTTCCGCGTCCACGATTACCTTCACCTTCTTCACTGATACCTTGGTGAGACGGCAAATCACTATCTGATGGTCCACACGAAGCCATTATTGGTAATATTACGAAATCGAATAAGAAATTTAAAAAACATCATCGCAAAATTGGATTCGTAGTAATCATGACGAAGAAGTTTCAGTGAGTTAAGTTGTTAGACCCACGAACTAATGAACTATAGATACTCAATGTTACTTGAAGTATATTAAGGCATTTAAAATGTCTCGAAAAACATAAATAATGCACTGCTATAATAGTATTAAACTTTGCAGTGATGATTTGTGAACTAATTTATTTAATAGCCCTTGGTACAAGCTTTCGTTCGAATTTGATGAATATTTTTTTTCAAGGCAGTTAAAGAATTAAAAGGAATCAAAAAGACGGAAGTGTGATTTTCAGTACCATGTCCCCAGCAACCGGCGAGCTCCACAAAGTCAAGATGGAGGCCGTAGTAGATTTACAGCGGTTTACTCAGATTCGTCAGACAATTAGTTTACACGTTAAATTCATGAAAGACGTTTTATAATTAGTTTATACGCATATAAAATTTATAATGGAGGAGTTGGAACAATTAGAAAAGCTCTCGCTTGTATCCAAGATATGTACAGAACTTGAGAATCATCTTGGTTTGAATGATAAAGATCTTGGTAAGAACCAATTATTTCTATTCCATGAAGCAAACAAACATGTATTTCGTTGTTGAACATCTTTCTGCTTCCATGATGATAAGACACCAGATTGGAAAGATTGTACTATGCAGTGTGCACCCTAAATATTGGGCTTGCAATTTTGAGAAAAATAGTCACTTAGCAAATTTACTTGTGCTATGCAAATTTTTATTCTTAAGTGCGCAGTTTACACACTTTCCAGTTGGGATAACACATAAACATGGCAAAAATTATATATGTGTGTAATGTGGCAAGTAGGTGTAAATTATAAGTATGTATATATATATATATATTATTATGGATAATATTCCTGGATAAAAGAGCGCTCAATATTCTATATATTAGAAGAGCATAAGATAAAATGAACTAAAATAAAATGGACAATTGTTTGCTGTCGCTACTCAGAGTTTCACGCCATAGGGCGATCTTCAGGCAACTGTCCACTGAGTAGCGACAGCAAACAATTGTCCATTTTATTTTAGTTCATTTTATATATATATATATATATATAAGCTTGAAAAATGGTAATCCAGGCATTTAATGTATAAAAATGAAAGAATGTGTGTAATGTGCAATTGGTGTAAATGTGTAGTGTGTAACTGTGTGTGTTCGGTGTAAATTATATACATATGTGTGTGTAATATGGCAAGTAGTACTGTAGCCAGTATAAACATTAGGCAATGTAATGTTGCCATGATGCATAAAATGAACCTCTGTTCATGGTATAAGGCACTTAATATGCAATTGATGTGCATGCACCATTATATAAGGCACTTTATGTGCAATTTAGCCAACATCTACAACTATCTTGTACTGACATGATAAAGAAGGTATGTACATACCTATGGTAATAAATGATAGAAAAATGCCAATCAACAACAACACTAATGAGAACACTTGAATAACAACTACTAAAAAATCTTAAAAAGAATGGAGGAGTGTGAAAGAAAAAGCAACATGGTAGAAGTCAGTGTGTTAGTGTTGGAGCTAGAACTTATCAATTTGAACTTACAGGAGTTATCAACTTATAAAACCATTGAATTTTTAAGCATTTGGCACTTCACCGAGCACTTTGTGAGTTGCGACACAAAGCTGAACTTGCACAATTAGGGGATCATTATATTGATTTTCAGTTGATGATTTCAAAATTATGTTGAACTGTGATATATAACCATAGAAGTGAATAATGTGTACTACTTGAAATTTTTCAGCCGAGTTCATCATTATGTTGGGTGAAACTAGTGGGACACTTGAGAAATTTAAGAATTCCCTGAAAAAGAATGGAGCAGAGTTTCCTGTAAGTTTGCCTTCATGAATATAAGTGTTCTGTAGTTTTGCAGAAGAACATGCAAAGTTGAGTTTACTGCTACTAATGTCGCTTCTTCATTTCTTTTAGGACTCATTTACAGCAAATCTTTTGCGTCTTATCCAGCAAATGAGACCTTCATCTGAAGCGAAATCTGATTCTAAAAATGGTAAAATTGTTTATTTGATTACACTACTAGGGTTTCAAAATGAGGTACCAATCTATTTAGAAATAAAGTACTTTGATCTGGATTCTTGTGAATAGTTTGAAAACAGGCAGCTCCATGTTTTTATGACAAAATTCATGGTAAAAAAATGTTTAACTTCCAGAGGCACACTAGGGGTGTGTGGCGATGTGAGCCCCCCCCCTCCCCCCCTCTTATTTATCTTTTCTGAAGCATGTATGAATAGTTAGTACAGAAATTGTTAGAGGATAAAAAGTGCAGCTCAAAAAAATTATGAGCTTTCTATCAAAGAAAGTAATACGTATAAATGTCTGTCCAAGAACGCAGAATCCACCCACGTTTTTTGAGACGTGTGAGCCCTTGATTCTTTCCTTTATTTCTTACTTTACTTTCATTCATTGAAGCAATCCTTATGCTTGCCATTGTATATAGTTAACAATAAAACAGGATACAAATTAACTGGTCGCAAAAAAACAGGATGCAAATCAACGTGTTGCAATATGCAAATTTTTTTACACTTTTATAAATTTCCTTACAAAATGTTCAGAATGTAGTAGAATCACTCTACGGTAGAATTATGTTCATCAATTGACATACGTATGAAACTTGAGATTTGTAAAAAGTTTTGAAAATGTCAATACTCTAGCAGACACACTTTGCGTCTTTGTGTTATTTCAACAGAAAAACTTTCCGTGAATTTTTTAACGTAAATTTATCCTTTGTTATGATTAATTTTTATGAACTGAACATGTTAGTGTAACTTTTACTTTTAACGATATAATCACTTTCATTCTAACTACGTGCAGTTGAAGCAATTGGTGACGAGGAGTTTGACGAAGAACAACTGAAGAAACGAAAACAATTTAGCGGTCTTTGCCTTCCGGATGAAAAGACCTTGATTTCAGTAAGTTGCGTAGTTTAACTACGTACTTAACTATTAAAATATGTTACCACTATGAAAATTATACATGGTACTCACAGCATGGGTGTTAATCTTTTTGCAGTAGTTACAAAGTTTAGACATTTCATTTGATGACAAATTATGTAGGCAGAAGATGTGAAAGTAAACAATGACAAAGATGATGCTGTTGTGTCAAAAGCAATGGGCGAGGTACGCATGTCATCATACACTGTATCTCGTCATTAGGATTCTTTGGTTTATTAAAAAAGTTATTAAAAACCATCGTTATTATTCTCTTAGCTTGAAGCACTAATGGCCAAGGCAAAAGATGATGAAAGTAGTTTAAAAAGGTCATTACTATTTCATTTTTACATAGAAAAGTTTTGTGAAGGTATCTTTTTTCAAACAGAGTTTCCTTACCTACCCTTGATTTTTGCAGTAAGAAATCTGAGCGTAGGAATAGTCGTAGTCCGAACAGAAGACGATCACGAAGTAGAAGTAGAGATCGCAGAAGACGGTAAATAAAGTAATTTTGAATGTTTAATGTAGACAGCTTTCTTGCTTATTTATTTGTATAATAGTTACAAAACGAAAACGATAACGACTACCTGTTTTACACAGTAAGTGTAGGTTGACGTAGCTAGTTCCTTTTGCGCTCGTTTCCGCTCTAAATATTTTACTACATTTCCAATACATTTGAATGTCGCATTAGTCTGAACTATGAAAAACAAAAAAAGTCTTTCCCTCCAGTTTCTTGGCGACTGTTAGTATTGTAGAAATCAACGGTATTGACCTACATTATGTTAATTATATTAATTATTAAATGAAGATATGATCTTCGCACTTTGCTGGACAATTTAAGCAATTGTCTCATGAACCTGAAAAATTCAGGTGACTCAACGGGATTCGAACCCATGACCTCTGCATATAACATTCTTTCATATATTAATTATGTCAATTATGTGTTTTTGTATCAGTTCACTATCATGGCGTACGAGAGCAAGTGATAATTTCCAAACCATTTTTATTCAACTGACTAAGACTGAATTTATCGCCTTAATATCACAGATAGCTATCTAGTTGCTGTTTTTACCAAAATAGTTATCGTTGTATAAATGATCAACAACAGACTTGCGTTATTGCTTACGTTTGATTCTATTCTTTTTCTTTCTTGCCAAGCACTTAAATTGCTTTTTATTCTCACTTTGAAAATATGTTGCGATTGTAGTAAGAGTCAGACAAAGGTCAAAATATCACGTGTGCGTCTTTTGTAGCTATGTTTCGTTTAGATCTCGCTCTCGAAGCCATGAAAGAGATCGAGACAGAAGAAGACATAGATCAAGAAGTAACGACAGAAGAGGTGGAGATAGACATGATAGAAGGAGAAATGGTGATAGATATGGAAGGAGTGGTACATCTCGTGTTGAGAAACCACTTCCTGATAAGCCTACTATTAACCACGTACGTAGCTATGTTAGTTTTGATTAAACGAGTATAGCTATGTTAGTTTTGATTGAACGAGTATAGCTACGTTAATTTTGATTGAACGAGTATAGCTACGTTAGTTTTGATTAAACGAGTATAGCTATGTTAATTTTGATTGAACGAGTATAGCTACGTTAATTTTGATTGAACGAGTATAGCTACGTTAGTTTTGATTAAACAAGTAGCTATGTTAGTTTTGATTGAACGAGTATAGCTACGTTAGTTTTGATTGAACGAGTATAGCTACGTTAGTTTTGATTAAACAAGTAGCTATGTTAGTTTTGATTGAACGAGTATAGCTATGTTAATTTTGATTGAACGAGTATAGCTACGTTAATTTTGATTGAACGAGTATAGCTATGTTAGTTTTGATTGAACGAGTATAGGTACGTTAGTTTTGATTGAACGAGTACGTAGCTATTAAAAGTCTCTCCTTAATTGAATGCCTGATTATTTTCCATGCTTTCTTTATTTTTTCATGATTATTTCTAGATTGTAGACCTAACTTTTAACACAAATAAATATATTTATCCGTTGTGCTCTGCTCTTTATATTACATGATCAACCGCTGTTCGCTGTACTTTGGATGCAGAACTATTGCTCATTTTCTTACATTGAATCGTTGTGCACCGTCTTGTACGTAGATATACAACGGCAGAGTGACGGGAATTATGCAGTTTGGTTGCTTTGCGCAACTCGAGGGTTTGCGAGGAAAACACGAGGGACTGGTTCATATATCTGAGGTACATATTTACACGTTTTGACCGTTTGACACACTTTTCAAACACATTCTGAGCTCTTATTTAAAAACTTTCTAAAGCTGCGCCAGGAAGGTCGCGTTGCCAATGTTGCCGACGTTGTTAGTCGTGGACAGAAAGTGAAAATCAAGGTTCTTTCAATGGCCGGCACCAAAATTAGTCTTAGCATTAAGGTATGTACACATGCATTTGAAATAAACGTAATGTGTACACGTTAACCTAAAGACCCGTTCACGCGATCCGATTTGTCGTATCCGATTCTGTTAGATCCTAAAAAACGGATCGTGTGAACACATTTAAAGTGAGCCTCCGACAGTCGGATTCGTCAATCTAAAAAATCAGATGGAAATAGAACTTGCTCTATTTTCATCCGACAAGGTCATAGGAAGCCAACTGGTCAAATTACATAGATTTGAAAAAGACTTGGAATCAAGAACAAAAATACGCAAAATATGTCGATAAATGTACTGGATAAGACAAATGGCCGTTCACACGACTATAAACATCTAAACGAGTATAAATATGAACAAAATTGTCGGACCGTCTGAACAAGCAACCAAGGGACGAACCGAAACAATCGGATCGTGTGAACGGGCCTTAAGTATGGCAAATTATCAATTGTGGCAGTGAGCTTAATGACTACGTAGTTTTACGAATATGTCGTGTTCATATAATTGGTGGAATCCCATGAATCATGAATGTCGTCGTATTGGACTTTTAGGATGTTGATCAAAGTACGGGAGAAGATTTAAATCCTACAAGAGTTAGAGCCAATACAACCGGAGAATCACCAGCGATGACCAGGAACCCTGACAGGTAAGGGTTTCCCAGATCTATATAGTTATTATATAACTTTATTATTGAAGGTCATCGGGGATTTTCTCCTCCTGTTGTCTCCGTTAGATGTTATCTAGGTAAATTGTCAGACTTTAAATATCATCGTAAACGTTTTTCAATGAAACACTTCTTACTTTAGACCTTCAGCTGCGTCGGTTCCAGTCTACGACGAAGACTCGGCCCGAAGCAAGAGAAAAGTACAGCGTGTTACATCCCCTGAGAAGTGGGAGATCAAACAGGTAATGTTTAAAGGCCCATTTCCACTTCATTCGCAATTCGCAAATCGTATGCCCTTTGCGAATTGCGACGTGCGTACACTTGCGAATTCAATACACACTTAACACTGTTCGCACGATTTTCTATTGTTTAATCGACCAATAAAATGAAATTATTTTGTATGGCAGATTTGGCGGGGGTAATAAAAAACATGGCAGTTTTTTGCAGAAGAAAACTTTTAATATTATTGACGAAAAAGGCATCAAAAAAGGAAGGCAAAATACAGAAAACGATTTTGAGTCCGTTTTTGTTCTTGTAATTTGCATTGCTAGTATCCCAAACAACTTTGTTTGAACGAAAGTTTTTAAACAAGGCTTCAACTAATTCTGGCGTCCATTCTATCTTTCCTGTCACCGCCATTTTGGTTTGTTGTTGTCTTTTTCTGATTCGTTGCCCCTGCAGGTTCGCATGCGAACGTTCGTAAAAACTCAAACATTGCGAACTTGTCAAATTCGCAACGCGAACGTTCGCATGCGATTTGCATTATTTATTAGTTTTTTTAAATTTGTCTATGTAGCTGTGGTACGTAGATCGTATCTTACATTTATATATCAACATTTTTGTGCCATTTTCTTGCCATGGTATGTCGCACAGTGTAAACGATAAACTTAGATAATGACTTTTTTAGCTAATATCAGCTGGAGTCCTAGATAAATCTGAATATCCTGACTTCGATGACGAAACTGGAGTGCTCCCTCAGGAAGGTGAAGGCTCTGGTAAGTTTTCTCTCGTTTTTCGTGCAAAGTGCTTTAAGTGGATAAACATTCCAGCAGTGCCAGATAATCCTTGTTATCATAAAATGTTTGTTCATTCTCGATTGTAATTGGCTAAGAGACCACTTATAAAGTAAATGGTTTGAACCCGGGAGTATCGTTATATGTTTGTAAATGATGATCGTCCAGGTTAATAAAGTCCTGAGAAGGACTGTTTTTGTTGTTGTTGACTGACGTTTCGACAACCTTAGCGGTAGTCATCTTCAGAGTCAGGTGACTACCAGATGACTACCGCTAAGGATGTCTTCAGATGACTACCGCTAAGATTGTCGAAACGTCAGTCAACAACAACAAAAACAGTCCTTCTCAGAACTTTATTAACCTGGACGATCATCATTTACAAACATATAGACCACTTATAATTCTCAATGTCTTGGTACTTAAAATGCCGTTGAAAATTGTCTGTAGGTGCCGTATTTTTTAATGTAACAACTGTGAAAACACATAAGGTATCATGGCAGAGTCTTCCTCGATACTTGCCAGCGATTCACAAACGAATTTGGCTTGAATTATTGAGAATAATGACATGAGAAAAAAAACACGGAAACGACTGCGCCGTCAGTCAGGAGAGTTTTCTTCGAGTATTTTCCGGAAAAGAAGAAAGTTAATTGCTAAAATTATTGTTGATGCGCGGAAAACTCTATGGCTTCCGTACAAAATTTAAAGGCTTCTGCACTGTTTGTTTTTTAAACCATGATTTGTGTTAGCTTTTTTCGAGTTCCTGGAAGCTCCGTTCACATTATTTTTGAAAGATTGCTGGAGCTCCGTTCACATTTCAATGATTCCTGGAGCTCCATTCACATCATATTCCAAAGATTCCTGGAGCTCCGTTCACATTATATTTCAATGATTCCTGGAGCTCCGTTCACATTATATAGCTAAGTCCATATATTGAAGGGTTCATCCTGGCATTTCCAAATTTAGTTGAGAGAGAAAATATTTTGAATTCAAAACCGTCGGGAACAACTCCCTGTGAAAGCACTCCCGAAAATACAATATTTCATAACAATTATTAGAGTGCATTCACCACTCTTGGTGTATGAATGTACAATGAGAATGAAAGAATCCCAGCTGTTTCAGAGGCTTGGTCATTTTTGTCATCTTTACTTCCACTTTGCTCTACTTTGCTCTTTTGCTCTAGCTTAATCATCTTTTCTTCCTTAAATAATTTATTACGATATAATGGATGAGAGTTTGTTTGTGATACAGTAGGTTTTTACCTTCCAGAATGAGATATGTAAAAGAATTTGTTGAAAAAGTGTGATCTTTCAATTAAATTTGACTTTTGTATTTTATGCAGATGAGGAAATTGAAATTGAGCTTGTTGAAGAGGAGCCGCCATTTCTAAATGGACAAACAAAACTTAGTATTGACATGAGTCCTGTGAAAATTGTTAAGGTAAACCACGTTTGTTGTGGCTTCCTTCATTTTTTGACTGTGTTGTGTAATGAGTTTTGCTAAAATTACTAGTTTTTTCATCTTTTTTTTTGAATTCGATGAATTAAATTTGTTTTTCCGTTTATACACAATCATTTACTTTGATTGTGCTATATTATGTTTCAATTTTTGACTTTCTTTTTTGTGAATTGCGTCACACACAGCTAAGAAAGTGTTTCAGAAATAGTTTGAACCCGGGAGTATCGTTATATGTTTTTGATGTTGATCGTTCGAGTTAGGCAAGTCCAGAGAAGGAGTGTTGATGTCAGTGTTAACTGGCGTTTGACGTACTTAGCAGTAGACATTTTCTGTTTTAACCAGCGCAATAAACATCTACAAACATGTATCTATTACAAATATTGTCATCTACAAAAGTAATACACTCAGTTTGTCTGGTTTTCAGAATCCTGATGGATCTCTTCAAAGAGCAGCGATGACTCAAACCGCTCTCGCCAAAGAAAGACGCGAATTAAAACAAGCTCAACGAGAAGAGCAAGCAAATTCTGTTCCCAAAGATCTTAATAAACTTTGGGTTGATCCCGTTCCTTCAGGTAGCTACACAGAGTTCTCTTCATTCATTGATTCTCAGTATTTGTATTGACCTTATTGGCCTTGAAGGTTATCAGTGTTTCTTTTTTGATTTTTGTCTTCGATATTATCCACCACCTGTACTTTACTCATCCAAATCTTTACCTTAATCACCCATCCCCCTTCCCCTCTCTCTACACCCCTAACTGCTACCTCAGTTTAATCTAATATTATGTGCAGGCGGGGAGGAGAGACCTCAATTTGCTCAGGAAGTGAAGGGAATGGGATTGTCTGCGAAAGACGACATGCCAGAATGGAGAAAAGCATCGTTTGGTGGAAAGAAAGTTTCATATGGAAAGAAAACAAACTTATCAATTTTAGAACAACGACAGAGTTTGCCAATTTATAAACTTAGAGATGAGTTGGTGAAGGTAGGTTGTGTATGGTCACAGAATAGACGTCTAACAGAAGGCCCACTGGGCTAAAATCGTGGCGTATTATTTCACTACGCATGCGTGACTTCCCAGCAAGATACTTTCACAAAATCAATATGGAATAGTATTGCACGAGAATGTTATTTTACTAATAATTCACATTTAAAGCAAGAGTTTGCCGAAAGTTTTATTTAGAGTTATCATCTTGGGAAGGAGATAAGGTAGCAAGCTTTTGTTATGGAAAACGATATATTTGTAAAAATATCTATATTTTCTATTGTGATCTTGCTGAAGTATCTTGCCGGAAGGCGTGTCTGCTTAGAATTTGCTTCAGAAAAGTAGGGGGAAACGAACATCAAAGGTTCCGACACTAGTGGGACCTTCTGTTAAGTTATCTATTCTGTGGTATGGTTACAAATTTTTTGATTGTTAGCATCACGTAGTCTTTGGAAATTCCCTTTTGTTCATGAGAAGAATTGATGAATTTGTGTAAATATTATGTATTCGTTGGAAACTTCTTAAAAGCCTTGTACTGCACCCACACGATAGCCAAAGAATGTTTAAAAAGCTTTGCTATAGATCGTCATGAAAATGTTTATTCCCTTCTTCCAGGCTGTTCATGATAACCAACTTTTAATTGTCATCGGAGAGACCGGAAGTGGCAAGACAACCCAAATTACTCAATACGTCGCCGAAGCTGGTCTAGCATCCGTTGGAAAAATTGGGTGTACTCAACCACGTCGTGTGGCTGCCATGTCCGTCGCAAAAAGAGTATCTGAAGAATTTGGCTGTCGTTTAGGTCAAGAAGTTGGCTATACAATTCGTTTTGAAGATTGTACAACACCTGAAACTAAGATCAAATACATGACTGAAGGAATGTTACTTCGAGAGTGTTTGATTGATCCTGACCTTTCGCAGTACTCCATGATCATGTTGGATGAAGCTCATGAAAGAACCATTCATACCGATGTTTTGTTTGGTCTGATGAAGAAGGCCGTGAAAAAGAGACCTGACCTGAAATTGATTGTGACGTCAGCAACGCTTGATGCCGTCAAGTTCTCGACCTATTTCTTTGAGGCACCCATCTTTACCATACCTGGTCGCACTTTTCCCGTCGAGATTTTGTACACGAAAGAAGCTGAGACTGATTATCTTGATGCAGCTTTGGTCACAGTCATGCAAATTCATTTGACTGAACCACCAGGGGATATTCTGGTGTTTTTGACAGGTATGAAATAGTTTCTTTGGTGTTTTAAATAACTATACGTGTCTCGACTACTCGTTCTATATATAATTACGTCATAGCAAAACTCAATCGAAATTGTGAAGGGTAGCAAAACTCAATCGAAATTGTGAAGGGTAGCAAAACTCAGTCGAAATTGTGAAGGGTGACTTGTAATCATGTCAATCATGCAGGTCAAGAAGAAATTGATACTTCATGTGAGATTTTGTACGAACGAATGAAATCACTTGGACCCGAGGTTCCAGAACTGATAATTCTTCCAGTTTACAGTGCATTACCCAGTGAAATGCAAACTAGAATCTTTGAGCCTGCTCCGCCGGGAAGTAGAAAGGTTTGTTCATATGTTCCAGTTATCGTGTTGCTGCAATTATATTTCGCCAACATTGTTTAGGAACTTTCTGTTAAAACTTTAAGAGAGAATTTTCTCAATGTAGGTTGTAATTGCAACAAATATCGCAGAAACATCTCTCACAATTGATGGTATTTATTATGTTGTTGATCCTGGTTTTGTCAAACAGAAAGTATACAACTCCAAAAGTGGAATGGACGCCTTAGTTGTCACACCAATTTCACAAGTAAGTTTGCTGGCGTTCTAGTTTTGCATTTTCATTCCTTGAATATGTGGAGTAACTTTTGCAAATTTTATGTTGTTACTTTAATGACAGGCTCAGGCGAAGCAGAGGTCTGGACGTGCCGGACGAACAGGGCCTGGAAAATGCTATAGGTGTGTTAAAATCACATTAAGTAATGCTACATTAGTTTTAAAACCACATTTAAAAATGCTACAGGTGTGTTAGAATTTCACATGAAAAATTTCCAAATTATGTAATTTTCTTGTTCAATTACACAATGGGTAACAAACATATCTAACCCCGTGCCTATTATCATTTCGTTTCTTTGTATTTTATTCATTTAGACTTTACACTGAACGAGCTTATCGCGATGAAATGTTACAGACAGCTGTGCCTGAAATCCAACGGACCAACCTGACAAGTACTATACTGTCTTTAAAAGCCATGGGAATAAACGACTTGTTGGCTTTTGATTTTATGGATCCGCCACCTATGGAGGTTGGTGATATTTCATGCTGGTTATCATGTGTCAGATGACGTAATTTCTAAATAAAACAGATAACATTTACTGATTGAATGACGTGATCTAGCCTTTCGGTTAAAGATTGTTACTATCAACCAATAGTTTTCATTTGTTTAAACTGAAATATCAATAATGTTAAGATCTTACTTAATTTACAGCAATCTTCTTATACATGGAATATGAATATACAGGAAATAGCCAGCATTAGAAGTCATATTATACACAATTTTTACTGTGCATTGTCTGTGCGCAAATCATTATCCGTCCTCGCGTATTTTGCAAGAAACTGTAGAATTACATTACTTTGAGAAATTCAATCAAATTTGTGTGATGCGTAATTATCTATTTTATTTCTACAGACGATGATTACTGCGATGGAACAGCTTCATTCCTTAGGCTCGTTAGATGACGAGGGTCTTTTAACACGTCTTGGTCGAAGAATGGCCGAATTCCCTCTCGAACCACCTTTATCGAAAATGTTGATTCAATCTGTTCATCTTGGCTGTAGTGACGAAATCCTCACCATTGTATCAATGTTGTCGGTTCAAAATGTCTTTTACAGACCCAAAGTATATATATTCACTACATTTTTCTTTTTTTTATATTGAAAAGCTATGTTTCTCTACCAACATCATTTTCCTTTCCACACAGAAGAGGAATAATAATCACATCAATAAATAATGTTTGTAGATGTAGATCGCCCCAATTAGTACAAGAGTAACGTTGAACCGCTATGGATCTCTAAACGCCAGTCAACTCCAGCCCCTATATTTCTTCTCAGGACTACCCTAACCTGGATGATTAACATCTACTAACATGTAATGACGCTCCTTTGTGTAGATCATTCGCTTTGATCAATTTAGTCATTACATGAATTTCATTCATTTTTGTATTGGTGAATCATCTTATTTTTACATGACTTGAGTCGCACCTCTATCTATTGAGCACTTTTTTAACATTTTTTTTGATGGAACCTGTCCTGCTATGTTTATTTATGTCTATGGTGTTTTGCCGATAAACGGACATATTACTGTATCTTCACTCTGATGAGCTCGTTGTTTTTTCACTCAATTTTTGCCAGGAAAAACAAGCTCTTGCTGACCAAAAGAAAGCGAAGTTTCATCAAGCTGAAGGAGATCATATCACGTTACTGGCCGTGTATAATTCATGGAAGAACAATAAGTTTTCAAATCCTTGGTGCTTCGAAAATTTTATTCAAGCTAGATCATTGAGAAGGGCCCAGGATATACGAAAACAGATGCTTGGAATAATGGACAGGTTAGGGTCCTTGCAAATGGCTTTTGCAAAAATGCAATTTCGTCAAACGTTTTTGCTAACACTTACCTCATCTCCAGGCATAAACTGGACATTGTTTCTTGTGGAAAAAACGTCGCCCGCGTGCAAAAAGCAATATGCAGCGGTTTTTTCCGGAATGCAGCTCGAAAGGATCCACAGGAGGGCTATAGAACATTGGTGGACAATCAAGTTGTGTATATCCATCCATCAAGTGCGCTTTTTAATCGCCAACCTGATTGGGTGATCTACCATGAACTAGTACTTACTACCAAAGAGTATATGCGAGAATGCACAGCGATTGATCCCAAATGGTTAGTGGAGTTCGCACCATCTTTTTTTAAAGTTGCAGATCCTACGAAGCTCAGCAAACGAAAGAGACAAGAACGGTTGGAGCCGTTGTATAACAGGTTTGATGTCTTTAAATGAATATCAATCCAATTATTGTGTAAAAATATGTGTATCGCGCTCATGAAAGAGATTTACCTGAATCTCTATTTAGAAAGTAGGGCTTATATTATCTAAGAAAAACAGCGAAAACAACACATTTTCCCAATTCTCAAATGATTAAAAGTCATTACTATTGCACGTAGATTATGGTGACAGTTTTCTATCACATTTATTACTGCTATTACAAATAATTATTATGGTGATTAGTATTAAGTACATAAAATCTTTTCATAATCATTGTCGTGACCATAATCTTAATCTTTTCATAATCATAGTCGTGACCGTACTCTTAATCTTAATCTTTTCATAATCATAGTCGTGACCATAATCTTAATCTTAATCTTTTCATAATCGTAGTCGTGACCATAATCTTAATCTTAATCTTTTCATAATCATAGTCGTGACCATAATCTTAATTTTAAATGCAATATCGTGTACGACAAGGATGATAACTGTAATTTTTATCATCAACGTCAACCTCAACTTACATATTTATCTTTAGATATGAAGAGCCCAACGCATGGAGAATTTCAAGAGCTTTTCGAAGACGATAACTGTTGTGGCTATTGTATTTTTACCCACTTGACAAACAAGATATTTCTGGAAAGCTCATTTATTGTATCTTGTGGTCATATTTTTATTCTTTTAAAACTTTCATGGAACTACTGGTTATATGCGTGTCCAAAAGCTACCCCTCCCCGTCCAAATGACATTGTTTATAGACAAAAATTCTTAAAAATAATTTGCAATAAAAATTTTGTTATTTACTGAGAATGTCTCAGCAAAAGCGTTTTGTGCAAAGGTTATTTTTCTGCAATGGTTTTCTTACAACGAAGAGTCCAGCGTTTCATACGATGTATTTTACGAGTATAAAATTCGATCCAATTCATAATTTATAAGAAAACGCAGAGTTGACATGTAATGGAAGCCCTTGAATTTTTACGTGTATCACGAAGTTTATTAAATAACTAATATACGATCTTCTATGTGACATGAAGGCAATAATATTACCACTGAAAATAGTTTATTTGCACGGGGCTTTCAAAACCGCATGGCCTCTGGAGACTGGCGATAGCGCATTCTCTTTGATCTGGCCCTGAATACGGTTGCAGCTAAAAAGCATCCATATCACAGATCTAATAATACACTAGATAGTGCAACTGACATAAAAGTTGAAGCCGGGCAAATTTACTTCCGGAGCCCCAAAGTTGTGAGAATCAATATGGCGTTGTATTAGAAAATATGTGGTCCAAGTTAATATCTCGCAATTATTAGCAAATCGCGGAGGTTGCATCAACTTTTTTGCACTATTTATGAAATAAATCATTGTGACTATAGTTTGTAAGAAAAAAATTGCAGAATACGCCAATAAATCGCCGTAAAATTGATTTCAAGTGTAGCTCGATTTGAAAGCATCAGCAGCGACTAAGGCTTATGTACTGGAATTTACACATCTAAATATCGTATCACAGCACAATCTGCGATAGTGTGGCTTAGTTCGTGTGGCAAATACAGCGTTATCATACTCGATCTAAGGATGTATTGTAATAGAACAGGCATATTACAAAAATCAGTCAGAAATTGACACATGTTACGAGCACAAATTAAATATTTTGCTCAGAATAAATAAATTAGGTTTGATATTTTCAATAACAAGAATGTGTAGAAAGTTTTATATGCATATACATGCCTGAATGGTAAAAAAGACAGTAAAAATGTTGAAAACAGTAGCATAACATCACCATAACAGTACATTAAGCACTGTGGGCAGTGGCCATATAACCCACTGGTTTAGACTATGTCAATACACTGTTTATATATATGTGTAAAACACAGTCAAGACTACAAGTCTGGTGACTCTTCTTGCTTTAACAAGTAAATATTTTCCCCGTGTTGGACAGAGTGTATTGTATCAACCTGTGGTATCAACAGTTTCACAAGTGACCTGCATTTTATACTTCACAAAAAAATTTGGTGTAGCAGAGGTAGACTCATAATATAAAACAAATTCCGAAGAAGCAAGACAGACTCTATGACATAGACAAGCAAGACAAGCAAGACATAGACAAGACATAGACAAGCAAGACATAGACTCTTCGAGGTAGACTCTTCACATTCTTTCTGTAAATAATTTCTGAACGTATTAATTACTCACATCTTGACATAGCTATATTCGTTTGCCGACCAGAAACACCAGAAAAATGCATTTCTGGTACAATAATCCAGTGCAATATTTAATTATGTACAGTGAACAATATACTTTATATAAATCGTGAAAAATCTTTCAAACTGTTATCTCCAACTCGTTTTACTTAACAATAAATATCGGAAGATAATTCTACGACGTTCGATTGAACATTTTGTGGCAGATTGTGCTGTGATACGATATTTAGATGTGCAAATTCCAGTACCTTAAGCCTTCGTCGCTCCTGATGCTTTCAAATCGAGCTACACTTGAAATCAATTTTACGGCGATGTATTGGCGTATTCTGCTATCTTTTTCTTGAAAAACTATGGTCACATTGATTTTTTTCATTAATAGAGTAAACCAGTTTATGTAACCGTCGTGACTTGCAAGTAATTGCAAGATTTCAGCTTTGACCAGATATTTTCTAATACAACGCCATATTGATTCTCACTACTTTGGGGCTCCGGAAGTAAATTTGCCCGGCTTCAACCACCACTTATGAAATGTAAGCCGTTGCACTATCTAGTGTATTATTAGATCTGTGGCTTATTTCCGTAACACGATCTGGGTTTTGCATTCGATTTGTTAGAAGGCAGTTGTTGTAAGCAAATGCTTTCCGCGAAATGGCATTATCACACCACGATGTTGATATAGAGGTATGAGAAAATGTATTGATTTTATTTTCACGAAGGTAAATTATGCCTTTAGCGGTAAACCTCGTGTTGTAAATGATGTCAGATGCCATTGTATTGGTCTTGCCGGACTGTCCCAGTATTTTTTGATGAGATTTTTAGTCGTGCCAACCCTTGAATCTACTTAGATTTAAATAACGCAATCGAGATGGGCCAGACTGGAAAGTATGTCGTTTTTCGACGAGATCTCCGGTGCGCACTATGAAATTACTGGTGTGCTGGTGTGCAAAATATATTTTATGGTGCACTGGTGCGCATATGACGATCAAAGCATAATAATATTAAATTAATATACGAAGTATCGCTAATCTCGGTGTACACAGGCTCTTTTCAGTGTTTTATTGTGTCAAACATGTTGTACGTCGCAAAATCTTTGGAAGGAAAAATAGTAATTTAAGCAATATTGATGAGACAGGGTGTGATATTGCAAGAGACTGAATCTTGCTTTGTAAGCCTTTGTTGCTGTTAAAATATCGGAAGTTACTGTTTATACAAATGTCATTTCTCAACGCATAACTTCCGTTTGAATTGGATGTGAATATCTCGAGGTTTTGGTTCATAGATCTATAGTAGATTGGTGCGTTCCCCAGCCCGTTTCATGTCCTCGTACCATGAGAGCCATTGCAGAAATTTATACAAACGGTGATGAAGACTATAAGCTACCAAAGCATCGGCTACCATATTTTTAAGAACACAGAGCGTCAAATTTTGAAGTGAGCAAAGTTGTGGATAGAGTGAGGCATGAGCCTCCTCGATGTCCACATGTTTTGCATGAAAATGATTTTGGTGAAATATGACGGAGTTGTACTCACTCAAGGATTTATAGTTTTAAATGCGATATTTTATCTTTTAGTTTTTACTTTATCTGTAAACTGTAAATGTACACTTTAATTGTAAATGCTTGTTGCCATTGTAAACTATTCAACAAACACGCAAGAGCTTAAACAAAGTTAACTACTGCGTTATTTCAGGAATACTCAGCACCACATGCATCATTGAATGACCCTGCCACGCCCACAAATATGGCGGAATTTTGCCACGCCCAAATATGCCTGGTGTGCAATAATATTATTAAAAAAAATCTCCGGTGTGCAGAAGACATACTTTCCATACTGGGAGATGGGTATAAATATAAAGTCAACCTTTATAAATTACTGATTCAATACACAGCGCTATCTCTATACGAATATATGATAGCTATTCAACAGCAAATGAATTATGTATCGAATTTCATATAGTGTGTAAATCTCATTGCTTGTTTAGTTACTTGTTAAGTTCAATGAATATGTTATTCGTTGTTTATTTTATCCATATATTAACCCTTGTAGCAAATGCATTGGAAATCACTAATAAATTCTGTCAGATTATGCAATATTTTTGTTATTCACCAGTGTAGATTATGTGCTACATGTTTAATGCTAATATATATTAATAAAACATGTAGTCACCAGAGCCCTCTATTAGTAAGAGTTGGGACAAACGGTCTGGGGCGAGCGCGGAGCCGCCATTTTGGTTCCTACTTGCAAAGTTTAACTATAATAATACTATTGGAAATTGGGTTTATATGCAAAAGAAGAAGGCAATTTAAGCTTATTCCATGGTAGTATCAAATATATTAGGAATAATAGCAAGCTCTTTGCATTTTTTTAACGATTTGCGGCAGACCTGATTTAATTTCATTGGTTTGAGCTTCGTTTGCGGTTTACTAGTTCGTGCTTCAAATTGATCGTGACCCATTGTAAGAAGTATTTTCGTACGTGAACGTGTTTTCTCGGCTTATGTTCCGACTCTGTAACAAGTTTTCAAGATCTTTAAGCTTGGCGGCAAGCGGCAATGTTATCCTGGCATCAGTGTTATCAAATACTTGGACAAGACTTTGTTCGAAACTTTGAATCATAGTAATCATGCAGATTTGGTCCGAGAGATTTGTGTTCAAGATTTGTAACAATTTAATGGTAGTGAGTGATTTATGCCCCAATTTAATCCAAGCATGATATTTTTATTCCGAAAGATCACAAAATTTTCTTGCTCAGCAGAAAATGACAGACTTTTTTACTTTTTAGTTATTGAAATATGATTTGACCAAGATGCATTTGACCTTAAACGTTTTATTCCTGTATATGAAGTTATTTCGCCTTTATCACTTTATAAAGTATTAAAGTTTATTTCTAATAAAGTTTGTTAGGGATTCTGCTGAAAATTTTGGTGAAGCATTTCTTTAAAATGAATATATTATTTCTATAATATGAAACATTTCTGTTGTTGAAGAACAGTCTGTTTGCTATAAATGCTACTGTTTGTAGTCTTTTATACAGCATATGAGTCTGATCCCAATCTTTAATTTAGCAAAGAGTTAAATTTATTGGTTGAGGAATGACAAAACTTCTATATGTGTTTAATGATCAAACAGGGGTGTGTTGGAGGGAGCTCAGCCCCCGTTTGTTCAAATTCTATGCCTTGTATTGCCAGTGAAATATATATATCAAAAAGCTAGCAGCACCTAAATATATATCAGAAAGCCGGCAATATTTTAATATATATGAGAAAGGCAGTAACAGTTGTGATATACATTAAAAAGCCCAAATAGCTGAAATTATGGAGATATGCCTCTGATCTTATAAACCAAAGCCTACAATTAAAATATCATCGACAAGTCTAGAAGAGAAGTAATGTTCTACTTTGAGCTACAGAAGTAGGGTACATTTGTACAATTCATTACCAAAAATATATTGTACTCAGATGTTTCAGTGAATATCCTAATTATAATTACTTCATTTTTAAATGATGAACTAAAAATAATAAATACAACATGGAAAATCATAAGAGTTTCTGTGATTTGGTGTAGTTGTTTCAGTGTGGAAGTGGCTGAGAATTGAGAGGTTTGTAGATTGACCAATTTCAGAACATAATGAGAAATCATCTTCGATTAAAAAACAAGCTTTGGAGTAAGAAAACTATTGAAACTGCATCAGCACGAACTTTTCAATGTTATTTGGCCCAAAAATGTTTCTCTACTTGAGTCAGTTAATTGAACCTTATATCAAAAGCAGTTCAGCACAACAATCACCATACGCAATCAAATTTCGTAAGTTCGACGAAAAGGTATTTCTTTAATTTTTTTCGTAATCCTCGATTCTTGCGATATGTAATGACATTTAGTAGTCTTCAACAATCAGTTATTACACACTTATCCATAAAAAATCGCAATATTATCTCAAAATACTGTATTACTAGCAGCAATTGCTATATAAACACTAGCTGAAATTTCAAAACTAGGAACCAAAATGGCGGAAATTGATCAGGTGATCAATATTGCCCAATCAACGTAAGCTAAACGGATAACAATAGATGTCCCAACTCTTACTAATAGAGGGCTCTGGTAGTCACCCCCATAGCATCAATTTTTCTAAATCAAATATGGCGGGTCACGAAGAAAGGCATGTGAGAAAATTTGAGGTAAGTTTAATTTCATTTTTTGTTTTGAAATATGGTGATTTGTTCTATAAATTTTAATTTTATTTAAAAAAGGGCTTTTTTAGACATTTTATGCTGACTTTTAGCAAAGAATACGGATATTTTATGTTCGAAAATTTTCGATAAAAATCCTTGTAGTAAATCTGCTACATTGGTCAATAATTGATAAAACAAGCTACATGAAGTATTTAGAATAAAGTTGAGGTTTTTGTAAAAATTACGAAATAAATGCCTGCTTGCTATCAATTTTATGATGTCTTTAACATGTCAAGTACTGTGTAGAATGAAATTTCATACTACGACTATAGTTTCTTCTACTATTTACATATAATATTGATTTATACATGCTTTTTAGATGTCGAATCGGTTTGAAGACAAGTGAGATAATTAATTATGTTATTGGTTCAGAGAGTGAGTTGAGTGATTTGTCAAGAGATGATGAAACAGATGAATGGTTACCACCTGGTGATGAAAACCATGGTGCCGAACAACATGATGATAATATGGACATCAAGGCTGACAGTCCTCATGATGAGGATACGAACATTGATTTTAAAGATGTATTTCCTGAAAAAGTGGCCCATGCCTCAACTGCAAGAAACCAAGCAAAACATAAAATTGTATATAAGTTTGACAAGAGAAGAGCATTTGTTCCACCTTCAAACTTAGAATTCATTGATGCACAGCTTGAACCCGAACCAAAAGATGACACTTCCTACAACTACTTCAAATATTTTGTCACCAGGGACATGTTTGAATATTTGGCTGAAGAGTCCAATCATTACGCACATCAAAAAGTTGGAATTTCTCTTCAAACATCAGCTTGTGAACTGGAAACATTTGTTGATCTTTTTTTCACATGGGATTAGTGCAAATGCCTGCTGTCGGTTGCTATTGGGAAGCACACATCCGTTATAATCCAATAGCTGATGTAATATCAAGACAAACAGTTTCAGAAGCTAGTTTCCTATTTGCACAATGCCAACAACTTAACAGTAACCAAGGACAATAAAACTGATAAAGTCTGGAAGATAAGGCAATGGTGTGATGATTTAAATTCAAACTTTTTGAAAGTAATTCCATCTGAAAACCAATGCATAGATGAAGTTATGGTTGCCTTCAAAGGAAGATCAATGCTAAAGCAATATCTTCCAAAGAAGCCATGAAAATGGAGATTCAAGCTTTGGGCTCGATGTTCATCAACAGGCTTTTTGCATGTTTTTGATATTTATCAAGGGAAGAATGCCACAATTGAAGATGAAAGCAATGTCTCTGGTTGTGGATCGGGTGGAAATGTTGATTTCAAGTTGTGTTCAACTCTTCCTGCAAAAAGAAATTTCAAAATCTTTGCCGACAATTTTTTTCTAATTTTGAGATGGTTGCTGAACTGGAAAAAAGAGGATTGCATTATGTTGGTACCATTAACAACAATCGTCTTCGTGGTGCTCCTCTTAAATCTGAGAAAGAATTAAAAAAAGAGGGAAGAGGCTCAGATAACAGTGTTGTTGAGACAACCAGAAATCTCTCTTTGGTTCGATGGTGCGACAACAAGTGTGTCACAATGATATCTTCTTATTTAGGAAATGAAGATTGCAATGATATACAGAGATATGATAGATCAAAGAAACAGCACATAAGTGTTAGTCGTCCATCAATTATTGCTGTTTATAATAAATCAATGGGAGGAATTGACCTAATGGATATGCCGTGTTCGCTCTATAAATGTCAGCTTAGAAGCAAAAGATGGTATATTTACATCTTTTACCGCACTCTCACAATTGCACTGGTAAATGCATGACTCTTATACAGAAGAGATTGCAAAATTCTTAACTTCAGAGCAATGTCATTGAGAAAATTTCTAGCTATGGTTGCCTTTGCCTTATGTAATGTGAACAAACCACAACGTGGGCGTCGGGCATTGAAAAGTGCAAGGAAGAAAAGAAAAATTCAGTTAATCCAGCACCTGTACAAGATGTCCGATTTGACGGTGTTGATCATTTGTCCATTTATGCAAAGAAATGGCAACGTTGCCGAAATTGCACAGGTGGATTTTCCATCGTAATGTGTGGGAAGTGCAAGGTTTATTTATGCTTGAACAAAAACCGTAATTGCTACGTTGCATATCATTCAAAGTAACACCTTTTTGAATTTTTTAATAGCTTATATTATGCTGTAATATAACTTAAGCCTCTTATTGAACAAACAGAATTTTTGCAATACATATTAACAAAACATTATTAATACTAGCTTTTGCCTTATTTACCATTGTAGCAAATATGCTACATTAAGGAAATTCTCGGAAAACATAATAATTTATCGTTTTTTCTTTTTCATGGGTTAATTATGTATAAAGTAATGTAATAACCAAGGGAAAAATTTTTCAGAAGTAATTAGTCACTTTGGTTAATATAGAGTTGTAAACTGTATATCAAATTGGTAAAAATTGTGAAAAATTTTTAGAATGACCCAGAATTGATATTTGCTATATGAGATGTTTACGTTATGAAGAATCACTTCTTGTCTTGCACTAAACGTCACCATTTGTAATATATAACTGTCTCTTATTGTCGTGAAAGTATTTTTTCCTCCATCGGTCCGGTGCAAACGACTAATTCGTACGGTTCTTGCACTACTATTAACATTGATTTCAAAAAACCTCTTAAAAGGGAAAAATATACGGCTTGAACTGAGCAATCACTGAAAGAAAATATTGCTTCTAAGATCACAAATTTTATTTTTTGTCAGAAAAATATAAACACTTTCTTTATAAAGTTGAGAATTTTATTATCCAATGGATAACGTTAACCAGTCTTCGTGTGATAGGCCCTTGATTTTAAAACAATATGAAATCGAACTGTCATCATATTAAAAATAGTTTGATAAAATATTGTAAATGAGCAAGCATTTGCGTCTATAAAATTAGGAGTGCGCACTGCGTATTTGACAGTTCATGTAACTATTTCTAATAACCAGGATATATTTCTAAAGAAATGAGTTATGATAACGCTTAGAAACTTACCAAATCTTGCAGGCTGGTTAGTTACTAGTAGATACGCTATGGAGCCGACACATGTTCAAGACAGTTCAATATATTCCATTCAAATTTCAAAGGTTTATACAGTAGAGTATATAACGTTCAATAAAATTTACTATCCAGTGGATAGCGCCATTTGGGACTTCGTGCAACTGTCCCCAGATTATGAAAATCTTTTCTTCTGTTTCTCACATGGAATGTAATTAGAGGTATTTTAACCAACATCAGACAAAACAAAATTTAAAGTGAACGTCTTTTATAGAACCTTTTAGCTCTAAATCCGAGAATTCATCCTCACGCTACAATTGTTCACTCTGCGGCGACAAAAAGAATAAAGAAGCATTGGAAACGAAATCAAGACAAGTCGTGTTCTGTATGTATGAACATTTGAATATTCAAGTTAACTTTAATTAAAAAATTCATATTGTGATAAACAAAGAAACTTTATGGTCTACATCAAAATTTTTCAGAGCGTTTTCTGTACTGTTACAAAATCTTACTCAAACAATTTGCCAATTAGACTTGTGCGGATCTCACGAAGAACTTTGATGATATCAAACATACTACATTGAGTGAAAGAGGTGCTCTAAGAGAGGCAGCGAGGTGACAAGGATATTTTCCACTAAAATCTTTTAAAAAACAGCAATCTTGCATAGTCTAAAATGGTTTAAAGCCAAAAAAGTAAAATAACGTAGATCTATGTATAAGGGTGAAAGTCACGTTAGATAACCTATCCCAAACATGAAATATAAAAAATTTTGTTAAGTTTCAGCCATTCAAATCAATGAGAATTGTTCTACCCAAACCCAAACCCTAACCCTAAGCCTAAGCCTAATCTCAACCCTAACCGCAACCCTAAAACTATTCCTATCAATTCAGGCATTTTTGGAAATTGTTTGGGGATTGTAATCTAATAATTTTTTTGATCTATCTTAAGATGTTTGAAATGTGCTGATGCGCCTTGTCAGAAGAGCTGCCCCACCCAGCTTGATATCAAATCATTTATTACAAGTATATCCAACAAGGTAAAATCTTAATATTTATCGACTGTCTGTGTTTATTCTGAGATTCAGCAGTTGAGCGCAACTAAATTTCTTTCAAGAATACTGTCTTGCTTTATAGCATTAATAACTATAATTTCCTTCATTGATGTGGGTTTTAGTACCTATATCACCCTCAGGGAAATTATCTACGTAGATAGAGTTGGCTATTTTAAGAACATGTTCTCCAATGTACGCCACGTCCGGTGAACAACACCCAGTCACAGCACCTCACGGTCAAACACGAAAAAAGTCAACGTTGAGGCACAAAAAGTCAATTTTGAGGCCCAAAAAGTCAACGTTGATGCCCAAAAAGTCAACGTTGATGCCCAAAAAGCCAACGTTGAGGCCCAAAAAGTCAACGTTGATGCCCAAAAAGTCAACGTTGAGGCCCAAAAAGTCAACGTTGAGGCCCAAAAAGCCAACGTTTAGGCCCAAAAAGTCAACGTTGAGGCCCAAAAAGTCAATGTTGAGGCCCAAAAAGTCAACGTTGAGGCCCAAAAAGCCAACGTTGATGCCCAAAAAGTCAACGTTGAGGCTCAAAAAGCCAACGTTGATGCCCAAAAAGTCAACGTTGATGCCCAAAAAGTAAACGTTGAGGCCCAAAAAGTAAACGTTGAGGCCCAAAAAGCCAACGTTCATGCCCAAAAAGCCAACGTTGAGGCCCAAAAAGCCAACGTTCATGCCTCAAAAGCCAACGTTCATGCCCAAAAAGTCAACGTTGAGGCCCAAAAAGTCAACGTTGAGGCCCAAAAAGCCAACGTTGATGCCCAAAAAGCCAACGTTGAGGCCCAAAAAGCCAACGTTGAGGCCCAAAAAGCCAACGTTGATGCCCAAAAAGTCAACGTTGAGGCCCAAAAAGTCAACGTTGAGGCCCAAAAAGCCAATTTTGAGGCCCAAAAAGTCAACGTTGAGGCCCAAAAAGCCAACGTTGATGCCCAAAAAGTCAACGTTGATGCCCAAAAAGTCAGCGTTGAGGCCCAAAAAGCCAATTTTTAGGCCCAAAAAGTCAACGTTGAGGCCCAAAAAGCCAACGTTGATGCCCAAAAAGTCAACGTTGATGCCCAAAAAGCCAATTTTGAGGCCCAAAAAGCCAACGTTGATGCCCAAAAAGCCAACGTTGAGGCCCAAAAAGCCAATTTTGAGGCCCAAAAAGTAAACGTTGAGGCCCAAAAAGTCAACGTTGATGCCCAAAAAGTCAAGGAAGATCAAATTTTCGTCTTATAAATTATATTGCAAATGTTCTTAAAATAGTCAACTCTATCGAAACAGATTATTTCCCTGGGGTGATATAGGCACTTTAAACAACACAGTAAGTGAGTAATTCCAAAAAAAATTATCTTACAAATGCGAAGTATTGTGTACGTTCTAAACTACTAATGTTGTGGTACATGGTTAAAATTTGTGCAGAATTTCTATGGTGCAGCAAAGACAATCTTTAGTGACAACCCACTTGGTTTGACCTGTGGTATGGTATGTCCAACGAGTGATCTCTGTGTTGGTGGATGTAACTTATATGCCAGCGAAGAAGGTCCTATCAATATCGGTGGACTTCAACAATTTGCAACGGAGGTTGACTATTTGCTTTTCACATTCCTGCAACATTTGTGCCTTTCCAATAAGGACCTTCTTTTATCTAAACACGTGACGTAGGTATTTAAAAAGATGCACTTACCTCAAATTCGCGATCCCAGTTTACCGAAATACGAAGAATTACCGACAAGTTATCGAGCCAAGGTAAGGCTAGATTATAGAATACAAATTCACTCATTATCCACTCGTATATATAATATGCCTCGTTCCTTATATTGATTTCTAAATGATACTAAATAGATAATTGAGAAGTAAATGATGCTTAAATTTAACTTTACTATTACTTTTAACTATGTATGCGGTATCCTCGAGTTTGTAAGGGGCCTTCAAAAACGGGCGGGTATTCTATAATCCTCCAAGGTAAAATTTCTATGATTTTTTTACGTCTGCAAGCAATTGCCTACTCAAGCACTTTGTTATTATTACTAACTCTACATCATATACATCGCGTGATCATCACTGATCTCTATAGATTGTGTAAGTAACTGTACAGTGTCTAACTGACTTTTGTTAGATTGCTCTAATTGGCTGTGGTCCGGCATCATTGAGTTGCGCAACATTCTTGGCAAGATTGGGATACAGTTGTATTACAATATATGAGAAAGAGAATTATATAGGTGGTCTGAGGTATATTTGTTAGGTTTCATTTTTACTATAAATGTGATACGATATCTGTACAAGTATGTGTGACCAAAAAGTCTTTGTATATGCGAGCTCAAAAAGTAGTTTTCAACAAATTTTACATCACAACGTCACCCACGTCGGCATGAAGAAGATGTTAGTTTGCAAGTGATGACTTTAACGTCAATTGTTCGACGATATTTTTCTTATCTAGTTCTTCGGAGATTCCACAATTTCGACTTCCATATGATGCTGTTTCGTTTGAAATTGAATTAGTGAAGGATTTAGGTGTAAAGGTATGTGAAGTTGTCTTTCAAATTTTCTTTATCACTTTCCTTCAATTTAATTCGCTAATTTCCAGGCAATAATTTGCATTTCTATATCATTACACGGCTGGGTTTTTTTCATTTTTTTATATTAAGTTATCGTATCTTTTAGATTAAGACAGGCACAGCTCTTGAATCTAATGGAATGAGCATCGAGTCGCTACGAGCTATTGGAAACAAGGCGATTTTTATTGGCATTGGTAGTAGTGAAATTTTTATGTATGTGTTTACTGTTATTTTTACATGAAAAACAATTTGCGTTTTTTTTACATTAGGACTTCCACAACCAAAAAACATACCAATATTTGAAGGTTTGGAAATGAAACATGGGTTTTATACGTCAAAAGATTTTTTACCAATGGTTTCTAAGGCAAGTAAGCCAGGTGAGTTCAATCAATCTTTCTCATTATATCATATTTCCATTGCATCCATTTTGCAAATACCTTTGACTCATTACAATTTGTATTCTTCAATGGAATGTCTTACTTCAATGCAGGGCCGTTGGAACATGATTAAGTTCAGGGGGGTCTACATCGTTCACTGAATATACCAGGGTTTGCTTTGAGGTGTTCGGGGGGAGAGGAAGCTAAAACCCTACAGGAAGATTTTGGTTCTTAAATCTTTATGCGTTACTCGTTTTGCTGAATTAAAAATTAATTTTTATACTTATCTCACTTAAAAAAACATGATTATTTAGAATTCTTAAGAGGGCTCAGGTTTATGCTTTTGAAAGTTAGATGTATCGAGCCTCTTGTCCCAGTTTTACATATTCACTGAATATCCGAAGCTGTTGTTCTTTGCAGTCTTAGTTTATCGATGAAATCCTGTTGGTCTTGAACACTCTCGGACATGATAAATTAAAAAATTGAACATTAAGTTTCTATGTACAAAGGAATGGAACCATTTTTTTTCATTAAACGAATATTTTTTTAAGGAATGTGTGGCTGTAAGTCACAGCTACCTCAGTTATCAGGAACAGTCATCGTTCTGGGTGCTGGCGATACAGCATTTGATTGTTGCACGTCTGCTTTGAGATGTGGTGCTAAACGCGTATTTGTCGTTTTTCGAAAGGGTTTTAGCAATATCAGAGCTGTTCCTGAAGAAGTAAGTCTTATTGGTTTGAAATGTTATGTTCACATTTTTACCACGTATTAATTGGTGAAAGTCTCTTTCCTTAGATGGAAGCTGCAAGAGAGGAAAAATGTGAGTTTTTACCGTTCAAGTCACCGCGCAAGGTAATGTCTTCTCTCTAAAAACTTATATTACTCTTCAGATCACACACAAGTTATCATCATCGAACACCTATTGTACATCGTGAAGTATCGTATAACGTATGTAAATATAACTATTTAGGTTTATCTGTACATCGTGATGTATCGTATAACGTATGTAAATATAATTATTTAGGTTTATCTGTACATCGTGATGTATCGTATAACGTATGTAAATATAATTATTTAGGTTTATCTGTAACATCGTGATGTATCGTATAACGTATGTAAATATAATTATTTAGGTTTATCTGTAACATCGTGATGTATCGTATAACGTATGTAAATATAATTATTTAGGTTTATCTGTAACATCGTGATGTATCGTATAACGTATGTAAATATAATTATTTAGGTTTATCTGTACCATCGTGATGTATCGTATAACGTATGTAAATATAATTATTTAGGTTTATCTGTACATCGTGATGTATCGTATAACGTATGTAAATATAATTATTTAGGTTTATCTGTAACATCGTGATGTATCGTATAACGTATGTAAATATAATTATTTAGGTTTATCTGTACATCGTGATGTATCGTATAACGTATGTAAATATAATTATTTAGGTTTATCTGTACATCGTGATGTATTATTTTCTTTAATATAATTTTATAGGTACATCTCAAAAATGGGCGCATATATGCCATGGAGTTTTGCCACACGGAAAAGGTATGTTGTATATACCTACTGTTATATGTAGTGTAATCACTTTTCAATCATAAAAAGTCGTTCATGATATTTCCACGAGTCATATATAATGTGAAGAGGTCAGGGTATCATTAATCGCGATATTTTTACCAGGGGTCGGTTGCACGAAGAACGAATAGCGCTATCCACTCGATAGCAAATTTTTTTGAACGTTTAAAAAACCTCTTAAAAGAGAAAAATATGATTTGAAATGAGCATTCAGCAAAAGAAAATATTGCTTCCAAGATTACGAACAACTTTTTTACAAGTTTGAAAATTTTACTATCCAATGAATAACGCTATTCAGTCTTCGTGCAATTGCCCTATTCTACGTTTATGTTTTGTATAAAAAGTTATGAAAACGTATTCTACGTTTATGTTGGTTTTTGAAAAAGGTTTGATGAGCTAAATAAAAAACAATGGTGTGGAGTCAAAAAAATGCGCCATCTATTCAATACGTTTTACATTTGGCTCATACTCTGTGCGACAAAATAACGAAGTAAATTTTCTGCGAGTGTCTTTCAATCAAATTACTTTAATGTTGACTTAACATAACATATGCTACCTGTCATTTTCACTTATTTGTGGATAATATATCTTATATAGTTGGATGATGGGACGTGGATTGAGGATGAAGAGCAAACATTGAAAATAAAAACAAATTTTATCATCTCGGCTTTTGGATCAACAATTTCAAATGACGGTAGCGTTTAGTGCAATGTTCAACAACAAATTTGTTAAAATAGGTTTCTATAAGGAGATCTTCTAATAAAAGTGCTAGGAAATCAATCACAATGTCATGCACAATATTGAAAAAACTCATATTATGATATGTCCTGTATAGTGATTGAGTGAAATCAGGTTTTATTGTTCATAATCTTCAAATGTTTTCCCCTGATGAATTCAACTGTTGTAATTATTTTGGCTACTTTATTTAAAGTTGTTGACGCGTTGAAGCCGCTAAAGTTCAATTCATGGGGCTTGCCTAAAGTCGATGAAGAAACTATGGCAACAAGTGAGCGTGACGTGTTTTGTGGAGGAGATATTGCTGGTGTTGCTAATACGACGGTGGAATCTGTAAATGATGGCAAGACAGCTGCTTGGCACATGCATAGATACATTCAAGTAGGGGCTATTTTCTTTTTGACTTTTTGGGTTATTTAGATACCTTCGGAATCTTCTAAGGTCCCGTTTATACTATACCGGATTGCTATCGTAGCAGGTTGAATATTCTTTATATTTAAAAGGCAGTGAAATTGTTCAGCGTCAGAAACACAATGAAATAGACTAAATCTATCAGCTTAATAAGCTTTTACTCCGTACATTTACAGGTGTAAAAGGAAATGAAGATGTCGTGATGAGCGAATCCGGTATAGTGTAAACGCAGCCTAAGCATTAAAAGATACTAAACAATCGACCATATCGTTTATTTCAGTCAGCCTTTGGGGAGACTATTTTACCAACTCCGAAACTGCCAAACTTCTTCACGCCCGTTGATCTTGTTGATATTAGTGTGGAGATTTTCTCCTTGAAGTTTGAGAATCCTTTCGGCTTAGCAAGTGCTCCACCCACAACAACATCTGCGATGATTCGTCGCGGTTTTGAAGCTGGCTGGGGATTTGCCGTCACCAAAACTTTTGCACTAAATAAGGTAATTTAGATGAGTTATTTAATTTTGCGATTCGTAGTATCACTGTTTTTACTTCTGTAGGATTGCGTTAAAAATGTGTCGCCACGAATTATTCGCGGAACTACTTCCGGTCACATGTATGGCCCAGGACAAGGAGCTTTCCTCAACATTGAGTTGATTAGTGAGAAGTCAGCTGCCTACTGGTGTAAATCTATTACTGAACTCAAAGAAAGTTTTCCAAACAAGGTGCGCTTGTTCTTGAATATAAATATGTTTCTTGTTATAGCTCAGTGTTATAGTACTTTTCAATTTTATGTTATCGTCTCAGTCAATCCAGATTGATATCGTATCTTGTTATAGCTCAGTGTTATAGTACTTTTCAATTTTATGTTATCGTCTCAGTCAATCCAGATTGATATCGTAACTTGTTATAGCTCAGTGTTATAGTACTTTTCAATTTTATGTTATTGTCTCAGTCAATCCAGATTGATATCGTATCTTGTTATAGCTCAGTGTTATAGTACTTTTTCATTTTATATTATCGTCTCAGTCAATCCAGATTGATATTGATCGGCTTAAAAGTTTGCACTGTTACATGTCAAAGCTTGCTGTATTTGAACTAAGACTGTTTGCTTAAACGTCATGATAATCAACTCTTTCTGTGGCAGTGTAGCAGATCTGCAACAATCACCACACGAAATGTGGCAAAAAAATTTTGAAAAAATTCGTCGCCTAAAGGGTTAAATCCAAATGGTGTACGTCAAACTTTAGTTGTAAAAGGACTTCATAGGTTTAGTAGCTTATTGAAAGCAGAATAACCTAAGTTGCTCTCAGAAATATTTAAAATCACGATGAAATCATTGATAAATGGTCTTTTCGTATGAATTGTTCTATTTTAATAATGAAATTTAAGATGTGCTTTGTATAAGTTGGAAATATTTATTTGTATTTATGTACTTCAAAAAATAGCCAAAAAAGTTACGTCAATTGCTAGGTTTATAAGTTTGCTTCTATAAATTGATTATATGATTATTTATCAGGTTCTTATTGCCAGTATAATGTGTGGTTACTCCAAGGAAGATTGGTCTCAATTGGCAAAAATGGCAGAGGTTAATACTTTTTTCTTGTAGCTTTTGTATGATTAAGTGGGAAAATTGCTACATTGACCTTCAATGGACCATTTCCAGAAATTACCAGAAAAAAAATATTATCTTGAAAATCGTTTATTTATACTTTCTTTATTAATATGATGAAAACACAAAGTCGTAAAATTTTGAAAAAAAGTTCACGAATTTTTAATGTTCATGAAACGTTCATGAAGAAAGCAAAACGTTCACAAATCTGTGAACTCTGTTCACGATCTGGCAGCATTGTAAACATGTTTTCAACGCATTAATACGAATTCCAGTTCGGATTCGATGATTTCGACGCAGACAATCAGATGTATTTCTGATTTTAACTAGCCTAATGTTTGTTTATGTTGATAATCGTTTATATCTGTAAAAAATTCATTTTGGCATTTTACCACTGCTTTTCTTGTTCTTTTTTACTTTGTTTATATTATATTAAATTGCCTTAGTTATTTAATTTCAAGGGGGGCTCAAACCCCTCAGCCCCCCTATACTCCCTCTACGCCTATACTCCCAATCGTAGCGTAGCTAGGTGCTTGCTATTCAACATACTTAGCAAGGAAACGACTCATTTGTTAATCCAAATAGCCTGCTACAAATCTTTGGTCAGTTTTTCAAAGCAGGAATTTATATCCATCTTATAGACTGCTGGATCTGATGCATTAGAGCTAAACTTGTCGTGCCCGCACGGTATGGGTGAAAGAGGCATGGGCCTTGCCTGCGGACAGGTAAGAGTCGGAGCTGGTGTGAGTGAGATGTTCATTGTTTACATGTAACAGCACGTAAATACTAAACACTTTGTTATTCAGGATCCTGAAATGATAAGAAATATATCAAAGTGGGTAAAAAATGCAGTCAAAATTCCATTCTTTGCCAAAATGACACCCAACGTCACTGACATTGTTGTCATCGCTCGTGCTGCTAAAGAAGGCAAGTGAATAACTTAGTTGCTGCATGGAGATAGCGAATGGTTATATTTGAACTAAACGCACTCAAAGGCACAGTTCTCTGAGTTCTGTCTCAATTTGTTTACAATGTATTTGGCGTTTCTTATAACGGTCGATGTGTGTGTAGGCGGTGCAGATGGTGTTACAGCAACCAATACTGTGTCAGGTCTGATGGGCCTTAGTGGAAAAGGAATACCTTGGCCACATGTAGGTGTGGAAAAGCGCACTACGTACGGTGGCGTATCGGGAAACGCCATCCGCCCTATTTGTTTACGAGCGGTTTCGGCTATCGCTCGAGCCTTACCGGGCTTTCCGATCTTAGCAAGTGGTGGCATAGACAGTGCTGACGTTGCATTACAATTCATACATGCTGGTGCTTCGGCCGTCCAGGTTTGAAAACATTTTGATGACACTAGATCCTCTTTTGCGTAAAGTAAGTTTTAGAAAGATTCATAGAGATGAATTTTATCATCATTTTGGGAAATTAAAAATTTACTTTTGAACAATACGAGCTCATTGTCATTAAAATGAGTTTCATTTACTTCATAGAAATATCAAATGGATTATTTCTATTTTGTTTTCAACGGAGTGTGTAAGTTACATTATTTTTCCTTCACGGACTTTTAAAGGTATGTAGTGCCGTACAAAATCAAGATTTCACCGTTATCGAAGACTATGTCACAGGATTGAAGTGTTTACTCTACATGGAGTCCTGCAAAGATTTTGATAACTGGGATGGCCAGAGTGCTCCTACTGTAAAACATCAAAAAGGAAAACCTGTACCTAGAGTCATAGATCAAATTGGAAAGGTGAGCGGGAAGATCATTTCATATTTTTACTAATAACTATGTATTTTTGGCATTTATTTATGTTCAAGTTTAACTTAGTGTTATCAAAATTTTAGCAACTTTCGGTTCAAATTGCCAGTTCAAATTATTTTAGCAATAATAATGAACAATAGTTCAGGAACGGGAGTGGACTGACAGAAGTTGAGTTCAAAACTAATTGAAGTTCAAAACTAATTCATAAATTTTCAGAACCTTCCAAGCTTCGGGACCTATTTGAATGAAAGAGAGAGAATAATCGGTGAATATAAATCAAAGATGGACTTACTTAACGAGGAGAACATGCCTAACGGCGTTTGCCTGCCGGTGCAGGCAATCAAGGCCACTCCCACAGTGAGAGTGAGTTTTACGATTAACCACCGTACATTTTGCATCTTTCAATTGCTCGTATGTTTTTGATATTCTCAATGATGTAATTTCTGTGATTATTTGTATCAAAGGACATGATTGGTCGAGCACTCGACAAGATCAGTTCTTACGGTGAACTAGACAACAAACAACAAGCTGTTGCAGTAATTGATGAAGAGATGTGCATCAATTGTGGGAAATGTTACATGACATGCAATGATTCTGGATACCAAGCTATTACCTTCGACCCATTAACGCATTTACCTCATGTAACTAAGGATTGTACTGGCTGCACATTATGTGTCAGCGTCTGTCCTATCATTGGTAAGTATTATTGATGTGTCAAGTCACAAATAATTGTATCAAATCCTAATTATATCGGAAAACTCGAACATTTTGTGCGGTAAATACATAAAAACCAAAATGAAAATTTATGCGTTGTAAATATTTAAGAATTATCACAATCACAAGTTTTATGTTTTCAGATTGTATCAAAATGGTGCCAAGAACGACTCCATACGAACCTAATCGCGGTATACCATTGACAATGAAAGGATAGATTATTGAGGCACACAGAATCTACTCTGGAACAGCTGAGAGAAGTTGAAAATCCATAATAGATGAGAAAAAGGAAATTACAATGAGCGAAACTAGGAATGTTCAGAAATTTAGTTAGGAATTATCATTAATCATTTTGACGAATTTATTTTTGTATTTTTAATCGCAGAATGTTTTTTTTTATCTACATACTTCAATAATAGTTGTTGTCCTAATCATGCAAATTTTTTTCAAAACTTGCACTTTTTATATTTTCACCAGATTTACGATATAAAAAGATTGCTGAAATCGATAATAACTAGGAATGGCCATTTGTGATCAAAGTGTTCTTGCTGCCATTGATATTCATCGCTTCTTGCTTTGTTTTACGAGCATAAGATCTCCTGTATTTGGAATCGACATGTTGCAGATAATACGTTCCGTCCCAAAAATGCTCAACAGAGCCAGACGGCGAATAGTCGTTCATGTGGGCATTTTTCTCTCTCATTTCCAGCGTTTGCTCGAACTCAGCTGGATCGAGGCATTGTCTTGATTGTAGCTTTGATTTCATATCCGAAACGTTGTTGCAAATCTGGATGAGTTTTGGATCTTGTGATTCTGAACAGACTTTAATTGAGTAGAATGCTGATGCAAAACCAGAGCCATAACAGAACATTCCGATTCGACACCCGGCCAATTCGTTGGGGGATAAACTATGGAAATAATTAATGCTGATCATTGTAAAATTTTTCAAACAATTTTTATACAACAATTTAAGTCTTTCTGTTCATCTCCTACGTTTTCCTTCAGAAGAAAAAATACAGCGATAAAACAAAAGAAGGAGAGTATTTCTAACCAAGCCAACTAGAAGCACAATCAATAATACTCACCTTGCTATTAGAGAGCCCAATCCTGCATAAACTGACGCGGTGTAGGCATTACCGACATTGGTTGCAAACGTCAGAGATGGCTTGGTTTTCTTTTGAAATTCTTTCAGACTAAAGTTCACCGACGCTTTCTCGATCTGCTTTGCTTTCACTTCGTCTTCGTACAACTCGTCAATTTTAACATCTCTGAAAATGATTTGTGCTCAAGAGTAATCTTATTCATACTGTTTAATATAGAACTCTGTGAAATCGAAGATTTTATCTAAAGAACAATCTTTCCAAAAGTTGTATATTGTTTTTGATTATTGGAAAAGCAACGAATGCCTTCGTGCACGTTTTCTAATCTCACTACTCTCACCTGAATTCTTTCAATGTTTCGTATTTTTTATCCAAATCGATGACGTCACTTCTCAAAAAGTCGAGAAATATTAAGCGAGCCAGTGACTTTTGCGTAAGCTTGCACACTGGACTATGAAATACCATGTAATCAATATCATTCATAGATCTAACATAATGAGATGAATCGCCATTGGCTTTTGTTTTGCAATTATATTTCTCAGATTTCATCAGATAACGATGGTAGCATTTCTCGACCGCTTTGAGATAGCAATTAATTGACAATTTTCCATCCACCACCGGATACTGAGACTCAAAATTTGGTTTGTAAAAATCGTAACAGTGCGACATAAACACGGAACGTAAGCCTAAAGAGATAAAAATTCTTCAGCATTAATTCCGCACGTCTATATGCATGTATTTCTCGAAACTCCAAAAATTCAATAAATGCTTTAAATTATCACCTCTTTCTATTACTAACGGAGCATTGGGTCCAACCAACATTGCAACAGCACCAGCACCTCCTGATGGTCTAGCGTTGCCAGCAGCATAAACAGCTATGTCAGCACACACAACTAATGCAAGTCGACCTTAATTGAAAAATTTATAGTTCGGTTAATTTTTTAGATATTGTATATAAAAATATGTCTGATGGAGTTATTCGTATGAGTCAAAACAGCTGTCCTACCGTCCCATGCACTGCTCTCCATCCAGTCTAAAGCGTTGAAAAATGCTTGAGTACTTCCAAAACAGGCATTAATTGTGTCAACTCCTTCGATATTAGAATTTCCACTCGCTTCAAACAGTTGCATCAGTACAGTTTTTACTGATTTGGATTTATCCAAAATCGACTCAGTACCAACTTCTAATCTTCCAATCTGCTTTGGGTCAATGGAATTCTTCTCAAGTATGTTATGAACTACAGTTAAACTGAGAGAGTTCGTGTCTTCGCGATCCCCACAAAATCCCATTCCAGTTTGGCCCAGACCAATTGTGTACTTGCCTTTACTAACACCATCATATTCTTCAAGTTTATTTTGATCTACGTACGTGGAAGGAAAATACACTTCAATGGCTAGAATACCTACATCGTCTGGCCAAGAAGCCATTACACCGTTGTGGCTGGTCATCGTTCGTTGCTTGCAGTAAATGATCTGATTTATTTGCAATCAGACAATCCATAAAAAATCGCGCAATGATACGAAAATGAACTTTGCTTCATCGCGAGTTCTTCCTGGTACTGAGTGGTACTTTTACAAGTACTACTTTTACCAAGTGGTACTTTTACCTATTGAAATCCTCTATAACCTTTTTACTATGAAGCGTTATAAAATTATTTTACATATACAAAATGAACTTGAAAATAATGGCTGAAGCGAGACCAATGCTGTGAAGGCGAAATATGCTCTAGGATTGAGGCAAGATGCTGTTGCTGTGATCAGATCAATATTTATCTTGTATTCTTGTTGTCTGTCGTGTGACATGGAAAACAAACAGAAATTGGCTTAATGCAATGTCTAATGATACGTTTCAAGGGTTTTATTCATCCAGTTTTACTCTAAAAGGATTTGGAACATCATTATTGTACAAATATCAGAATTATATTTTCTGCATTGATCGCGTGCGTGGGCCAAGAGTGTAAAAGGAAGTACAATGTGGTTGTAATCACGTGAAAAGGGCTGCCTGAAACTGCGTGGTACAAGAAAGACCTATGAATTCGCAAGTTTTGACTTCTTCTTTTGTTAATAACAAAAAACAAATGTTTAGCTTGCAACTAAGTAATGAGAAATATTTAATGTTGATTAATCAATGAATGTTTGATTTAACTTTATGGTCAATATACATAAAATTGTTTTTACGTAATATTTCATGTAAACATGGTTTTCATACTTTTCATAATTTTTGTACTAAATACGGCCCATCTTAACTGAAAAAGGATTAATTACTACAACAAAATGCATATTGGTTGCACTAAATCGGCGCACGCCGAGCACCTCAGTTTTGCGTGAGTTATATTTTTTCCAAACCGTGAAGATACGGCTTCAGATAACGCATAAGAATGGATCTACGTTTCCAAATCAAAGGAAATTCATTTGCACGCAAAACAACGCCAGCCAAGCATCTTCTGGTGCTTGGCTGCCTTTCACATGATTTGACTGGATTTGATATCCTCAAATCTTCGTTTGATTGATGGAAAAGAAGCGTTAGATCAGCAGGGGCAGAGTACAATTGTGAAAGACAAACTTTACATTTAAGACATTACGTTTAGATTTAATTTGCTATATAAATTCTACTGAATAGCATGTATCATGGGGAAGCTCACTTATGGCCCAAAAACGTAGGTATTCTAGCCATTGAAGTGTATTTTCCTTCCATGTACGTAGATCAAAATAAACTTGAAGAATATGATGGTGTTAGTAAAGGCAAGTACACAATTGGTCTGGGCCAAACTGGAATGGGATTTTGTGGGGATCGCGAAGACACGAACTCTCTCAGTTTAACTGTAGTTCATAACATACTTGATAAGAATTCCATTGATCCAAAGCAGATCGGAAGATTAGAAGTTGGTACTGAGTCGATTTTGGATAAATCCAAATCAGTAAAAACTGTACTGATGCAACTATTTGAATCGAGTGGAAATTCTAATATCGAAGGAGTTGACACAATTAATGCCTGTTTTGGTGGCACACAAGCTTTGTTTAATTCTGTTTCATGGATTGAAAGTAGTGCCTGGGATGGTATGTTCTTCAAGATTTTGCTTTGCCTTTCAGGCCCATTTTTGTTGTACTTGTACCCATTACCTCATGGTCATAAAGTCCAAAAATGCCATGTTCTAATAAAAATAATTTTTCCCAGTCTATGGTGAGGTTTCCATTTATCTGCTACATCCACCACCGATTATTTACCATATATGAAAATCTATCCTTAAGTATTGTGTGATAAGAAATTTTTAAAATGTATGGGTCATTCATGTGTTTGAGTTGATGAAACAAATTATAGTGTTGGAACAAGACTAACTGGTGATATAAGTCTTAGTTTGTTGATGTTTTTATTTAAGTTCAAACTGCTTGTCATGTTAAAACTACTTGTTATGGTAAAACTATGTGTTTTACCAGAATCCTGTGCTTTATAATGTACGTGTGAATGTATATTTTATTTTTCATTGATCTCCATCAGGCAAATTTCTCTTGTATTTTGAAGAATAACTTTATTCATATTTGGTCAATTCTTTCACCTTGGAATTATCACATTTATTTAATAAAAAACAAAATCAACTCAAGAATTGAAAACTAGTATGACAGAATTAAACATTTTGAACATCAAAGTGTGAATATGTTGTGCATAATGTGACATGAGTGAAAGTATCGATCATTACATTTAATTAAGGTCGACTTGCAATAGTTGTGTGTGCAGACATAGCTGTTTATGCTGCTGGTAATGCTCGACCATCAGGAGGTGCTGGTGCTGTTGCAATGTTGGTTGGACCCAATGCTCCATTAGCAATAGAAAGAGGTTGGTTTTAATAAACATCCTTTGATGCTTTATTTAAGATCATGACTGGTTTACATAGGTGTATCTACATCACAAGCAAATTGTCGCATGAACAAGTCCAGTTGGGCGCTTTTTTGTGATTTTTTCTGTAAATGATTTTTGTGGACTTAGGTAATCAAGGGAGTGAGCAACTTCCCCTCCCTCGTCCTTCCATCAAAAGAATAAATACTGTCCATTAAAATCATCATTTTGGTATGTATGATTGATTGAATGAAGAAATGTTATTCCCCCAGTTTATTGAATCAGTTTTGCATGGTGCGTGCTGTGTTCTATCATAGACAGTGATATATTCAATGAACATATGAACGGGGGGGCAGGAGATCCACCTGTTAAGAACACTTTCCTACGGATTATATATTAATTAAATATAATGAATATATATTAATCCTTAGGATTAATATGTTATATATATTCACTACGTTCCTGATATACACCAATAACAATATTATTTAAAACCATTTTTTATCCGTTTCCAGGCATGCGTTATGTTCATTGTGCTCATGTGTACGACTTTTACAAGCCAGATCTTTCTTCGGAGTACCCTTTGGTTGATGGTAAATTATCAATAAATTGTTATCTTGAAGCGTTGGACAAATGTTATCAAGGTTACAAGTCCAAGGTTGAACAAAAAAAGAATTCTGAAGGAACTTTTGAGGGCGATAACGACACAGTTAACTTGGAGTATTTCGATTACATGGTGTTTCATGTTCCTTTCTCACGTTTGTGTCAGAAGTCTTTAGCAAGGCTGATGCTGAACGATTTTCTCCAAGAAAATCCAAATAATGCAGAATCAACGAAGTACGAAGTTCTCCATGCCTTTAGGTACAGTTTAAAAATACTCATGACTCGTATTATTGACACAAATCGCTAGTTTTGCTTTATATGCATAGGCACTGGCAAGGGAGGGAGGTCACCCAACCTCGTTCCCAGGCTCTTTACTTTGACGCTCCTACCTCGCTAAAGCACAGAGGTACAAGCGTCAAAGTAAAGAGCCTGGGAACGAGGTTGGGGGTTCACCCTCGAATAATATTTTCACAACTCTAGTTTATACACCGTGTATAAAAGCGAAGTATTCTTTTGGAACAATTTCTCTTGAATAAGACCTGTGCGGCCGCGGAACAAGGAAAAACTTCTGTGATATTATTTACCTTTCTAACGTTATCTTGCACAGCTTGCACTACATTGCTTGCTAGAGGGGTGGTGCGGAGGGGTGAGCATTCTTTCCTCTCCTTGGCTAGAGGGGTGGTAAGGAGGAGTGGGCATTCTTTCCTCTCCTTGCCTAGAGGGGTGGTGAGGAGTGGTGGGCATTTTTCCTGTCCTTTGCTAGAGGGGTGGTGAGGAGGGGTGGGCATTCTTTCCTCTCCTTGGCTAGAGGGGTGGTGCGGAGGAGTGGGCATTCTTTCCTGTCCTTGGCTAGAGGGTTGGTGAGGAGGGGTGGGCATTTTTGTAGCGCCTCTTTATACATACGCATTTTATATGACAGGAAGATCAAGTTAACAGAACTGTCCAATGATCCTGTCTTGGCCAAAGACGTAGAAAAAGCATCATTAAAATGTAGCAAAGCCGTTTTTGAGGAGAAAACAAAACCATCACTGCTGGTCTCTCGAAATGTAGGCAACATGTATACGCCATCTTTGTATGCTGCGTTGGCTTCACTATTTGTCACGTGAGTATTTTGGGCATTTAAAGTTTTCGTGAAGTGAAAAATTGTCTACTAGCTTCCGTTTGCTTGAAGAAATATTAACTTTTGTGCAAGTGTTTTGATATTTTTTAGCTATGTTCAGTTGAAGTTGCTAAATGTCAACTCCAAAGGTCGTTCTCCTCTGTAAACTACACATTTGATTGCCATGTTTCCTCAATGTGACGTCATAACGAGTGGGGAGTGGTGCGGAAGTCGCGAGGCTCTCTAGCAATTTCCACAATTTGTAGTCGTTGTGACGTCAGATTGAGCATGCTTAGCGGCCAAAAACGTTCGCACAGAAAATGTCAAAAGTTGCAATTTGTGAGGGCTACAAATCGGTTTGAAAAGATCAATGAATTCTGTTTGCAGAATAAACTGATTTTGAGAGCATGTACTTTTAACTAAGCCAATGGAAAAGGATTCGAAAATTTCAGTTTTTAAGCACTTTAAAGCTAAATAAAATAGTCACACACGCATGTTTTGAAGCAAATTTCATTCAAGATTAACTTCTATATTCTTCCATCGTTGCTTCCTCTCATAGTGCATGCTTATAAATATCTTTAGAAGTTAATATTTACAGGAATTTTTTGTTTACATCATATTACTTTACATGTTTTGGTAAAGGTGAAAATATTTTTTCTTTTGTTGTTTTTTTGCATTGCGTCTTAAGCAGGAATTTTGTTAGAAAGTACGTTTTTTTGCTATGATATGATATAAATTACATTTGCGTAAACGATTAGCTAACATATCGACGGAGAACGAATGCTGCCAAGAAATTGAATAGAAAGAAAACGATTACTTGCAACCGAGTACTTAAAATAAGAATTATTTTTGTATATTATTTCCTACCTGACGATGCATCGTCTTAGGAGGAGACGACAAATTGATGACATGATTTTTCACTTCAAACGTGCAACATTTGAGTACGATCGTGTAATATTGTCTCTAAGTGTAGAAGAGTGATGTTTGTACTTTAATAGTTGCTGTATAAATTAAATGCCTTTCCTTTAATTTGGAAGAGAGATGTTGAACAGTAACGTTGGTAAAGATTTTAAAGTGCCCCTTCCACTAAAAATTGTTTTAGCAATATGATATTTGTCTATGATTTTAAGTCTCTTTGAGGAAGAAGTTTTTAATTTGGTCAAATCGTTTGATTTTTGTAAAGCGTTAAATTCACTAAAATCGTATATTCTTGTGAATCATGTCCGTGATAATGAGGAGTCTGAAACTAGTTAATTTTCTGACGTCATCCAAGGTACTCATCTCGTGTATTCAATGGCTATCAAGTCACTACTAAGGCGAAGATAAACTCTATAAGCGTCTAAAAGCATTCTCTTTGCACAAAGTAAGAGCAGAAAATGGTCAATAGTTGCGATGCAGGCAATTGTGCGAATAAATCAAGCCTTAGCTCTGATATAAGTCTTCACACTATTCCTTATAAAAGGCCCAAGGCTAAGTGAAGACAGAAAATCTGGGTTGATTTCATTGAAGCAAAGCCCGTATTTGAGCCTTTCAGCGCTTCAACACTTTGCTCAGTCCACTTCAGACAAGAGGATTTTCAGCGCCGATTTAGCAGTTTGCCGAATAAAAAAAACGCTAATTTTTCTAGGCTTAAAAGAGGCGAGATTGGAATTTGTGTCTTTCCAACCAATCGTTATCGGTCAAGTCTCATTGCCTTCCGAGTTTTCTAATTAGTACCTCGGTATAAAGTTTCTGTCTCAATCATCTGACTAAATACTCAATTCTGATTCCGATTCATCGCTTTCTTGGCAAGACATAATTCCCTCAAATATTATGATAAAACAGCGCGAAAGAACGTGTATGTTTAATATAAGCTAAGTATGCCCGAATGCCGACAGCCTTTATTGACGTTAAAATACCTTCTTGTGCCAGTTTCTTTCGTATTATAAAAAATGACGGCGATGTGCCAGAAATGCACAATCCCCATAAAAGCTTGTTGATTTGACTATCAAAAAGATTTTCACGGAGAGGCTTAAAATCATTGGCAGATTTCATCTTGCTAAAAAATTTTTGGTGGAAGGGGCACTTTAAAGGTCGTTCATTATTCTTGGTAATTTTTTTGTCACAGATGTTTTTCGAAAGTTGTGCTTCACAACCCTCAAAACTATCCTCCAAAAATCCGAAGCAAGCTGCGATTTTCTAATATTTACCTTGACGAAAAGACAATTTTTTGAACTTTAAGAGTTGCTTCAACTAATTGTAATATTCATCATTTAGTAAAACAATATCAGAGCTTCGTGGTTGCCGAATTGGAATGTTCTCGTATGGTTCTGGTCTCATTTCTGCCATGTTTTCTTTAACTGTGTCGAAAGATGTGACTCCGCTTTTCCAAAATCTTGTTAAAAATCTTGAAGATATCCCCGAAAGATTGAAAGTCAGAACCGAAGTACAACCTAATGAGTTTGTCAACATACTTGAAATTCGCGAAAAGACACACCATTTGAATAACCACACTCCTTGGCAATGTGCCTCAGATGTTTCTGTGGGGACGTTCTGTTTACTTCATGTCGACGAAAAGTACCGTCGCAGTTACGCTCGTAGAGTTCCGGATGGTTTTGTTGATTTTGATGGGAATTGTGTCATCGTGGACAAACCAGTTACGGAGTCCCCCCTTCCTGCTTGTCAGTTGTATTAAAACAAGTAAGTAGTCTAGATAAAGTTTTCACAGAAATTAAAGTAATGTCGTTTGGTGGGGTATACCGTCAGATTTCTTTGACATGCTTCCCGAGAGCAATATTGAATTTTTCAAAAAATACCTTAATGAATTAGGAAAGAACTATTTTAAATTTTAACAAGCATATAGCAGACAACAATGAAGCAATTACATGGTATTAAAAGCGAGAGAAAGACGAAACTTATTTCACGGATCTTAATTAGCAAAAATATGTTTCATTCGAGGTTAAGATTCTTATATTTCTTACTTCTCGTATTAAAATTCGAGAGTCCATCATAATTAGCAAAAGAGATCACAGCAAAGAAGGGATATTTATGGTACACTAGTGAGAGCTGCGATGTTATGCGTCTCATCCAGTACTACATATTTGTATGGGGTGATAAAAATTCGGCATTTTTTGTCGCTTCGAAAGTTTTTACCCATCAAAACGCATAATTTTCTTTGGTAAATAAACATGTTTGTCTTCACAATTAACTCTTTGCATACATACATCAGTGGAGTCTCAAGTGGGTGGGGGAATATGGGGATTTCGAGTGCGTTTTGCATTTTGCTAGCTATGAACCTTGTGTGTTATTCTGTAATTTTAAATTTTCTAATATAATTTTAAATGAACATGCAAGCATTTGTGCACAGCAAGTACAAGAGAAAGAGAGTAACTTTTTAATTACTTAATAGTACCTTCCTAAGAATTATCGTCTTTCAGAACTGCGATCCTTTTACTTTCTCCTTTGTAATCTTTGGTTACAAGTGGTATTTGAAAAACTGTCGGTTGGGGAAACCTTGCTTTCGCAATGTTCTTGTGGTGTTTCCAAACTTGGGACTTAGTCGATGTTAAGATTAAACTTAGTCTTTGTTGTCCTGTTCATTTCTTTGAAAGAGCATGAAGTCTAGTTTTTTTATTTTACTCTCTAATTGTGTTTTATGTACTGATTGACGCATTATTGCAAATTTCTTGTCAATGAAAAAGCTGTAAGATGTTAGCCAATTTCATCTGGCAAGTATGTAGTTGGTGTAAGTCATTCTTGTCTTATTCTGTCTACGTATTTATAGGCTAGTTATTTTCAATTTACACTCAGGAAGGTCAATTTTCGATTGCAGTCAACGAAAAATCCGATCTTTCGTCATTTTGTGAAGACGGAACATTCAATTTCTCATTTAAGCCATTATCGTTAGCCTCTGAAGTTTGTTCTATGGGTTCTTCGTTGTCGTTGTTGACTTCAGCGGTTATCATGACACGAGGTGCACTATGTCTGTGTATTATTCCATTGCATTTATATCTACTTCCAGCACTCATAGAGCGATACGCAGTACCATTGGTCATACGTGCTGGAATATTTTTGCACTCCTCGTTGTATGCGTTATTTTCAATGCCTTCCTTTTGCCCTGTATCAAATGTTATGAGTTTCTCTCGAACAGTAGGGTTTTCGATGAAGCTTAATTCCCGTGGGGGCGGACTGTCGACCATTGTACTTTTAGTGCTAGTGCTCAGTATGCTGCTTTTGTGATTTAACTGACTGCTGTCACTATCGTCTTTCGTTTTGTGATTTGTTGCCTCTTCTAATAAATTGTTTTCACCACCACTGCGTTTTCCATTGGTGTTTCGATATGTTCCGCCGTTAAATATTGACATTCGCTCGCGACGTCTTAAATAAAGATGGAACTTATGAGATGTGTTTCAAAAATTTTCTTTTTATCTTAGAATTAATTCTGTGTTACACAAATACTCGAAATCGATCCCTAATCAAATCTCTAATTAATATGCCAGCAATGGCATGGTACTATAAGGTTAAGGATAAGGGTTAGTGATAGATTTCGCATGTTTATAGAACACTGATTAGTTACCTTGATGTTTAGGTTGTTATGCACGGTACATACTGTTTAATCACGATTTACTCTTAGATATTAAAATAAATGTAGCTATATAGTTTTACTCAAGAAACAAAATTTGTTTTGTCGTTAGAATTATTTTTGTAGAGAGTTGCTACTTCACAATGCAAGCAGTTTCGAATTCTTACCGTGTAGAACCAAGATAAACTTCACTCGTTAGACCGTCGATAATACCTTTTTCCGAGGTCTCTTCATCGTTCTGCAATAAAGTATTTGCAGCACCAATCAGGATTCTTCTTGGCTTCTTTGGAAGTTTAAGTCTTGCTTGAGCATGGCGGTAGTATAGCGAGAAGTTTGCTCCAATGATGGAAATAGGCAATGCTGATATCAACATGCTCGTCACTGTAAGAGAAAAGCAGGAGATACAACTCAAAAATCCATCATTCCCCCCTCCGCCCCCAAAAAAATCTCTATGTTTTAAAATCTGTTTTTGCACATGCGCATATTTTACCAGCTCATGAATATCGGTTAACATAATTTTAAATTGATTTTTGAAATTTAGTTTAAGTTTTTCATTAGCTATTTTTCTATTAGTTTTGTCGCACATACCCGCGCATATGCTGCCAAAAATCTTTCCCTGCGTTGTCAATGGCGACACGTCACCATAGCCGACTGTAGTAAGTGTAATTATTGCCCACCAAAAAGCTTCAGGAATGGATTTAAACTTCGTGTCAGAAACTGTACTTTCGCAAATATGCAGTATTTTTGCAAAGATCAACACTGGAATCGATACCAACAAGAGGAGAAGCAACATTTCTTTCGAACTGGCGAGCAGAGTATGTTTCAGGATTTGAAATCCCAAAGACATTTTGTTGAAGAATCGTAGTAACCTTAACATACGCCCAAGTGCAAGAATTTCGCTCACGATATGCGGACCATATGTAATATTGATGTAAAATGGTATAATAGCTAGAAAATCTATCCAGTTGAGAAAGTCTATTGAAAATTTCTTTATGTCTCGGCATGTTGCAATTCTTATAATAAACTCTATTGTAAACCACACTCCACAAACATAATCGACAATCTTTATCACCCGTTCACCGTCGTTGTTATTCTCAACATGCGTATCTGTCGATGCACATAGTGATATTACAGAGATGATGACGAATACTAGGGAAATCCAAATATATACCTAAGAAATGAAAGATAATTATCATGGAAAACAATAAGTTCTGCTTATGACCTGCAATCTTTTACATGTAGTTTGGGAAATCTGGGAAGCATTGTTTTGGAAACATTCATGTTTGCACAACTATGGCGACATTATCGTGAAGAAAAAAGAATTTTAAAGAACGGCCTTTAAATATTCTCAAAAGAAATTTGATGTTTTTTAACTCGTGTTTTTTTTTTCACGGAAATACTCATTAATGGAGTTACGTAATACTTGTCAGTACCGTCTTTCTGCTTTTTTATTCTCCCACATGCACTTGCCTCATCTATAGTTGTCATTATACTAATGTTATTGTCAGAACTACCCAGCCTCCAATACATGAATGTAACTCTTCCAAACCTATCATCTTTCCCTTTCCTTTACCCACGTTGCTTGTGTGTTGAGCAGGAATGCCATTTGTTATCTCAAAAAAATTGTTTTTAAACACGGATCACCTGCATGAGAGCTAAAAACTGATAAAATACAAAGCTCCCTCCTTTTATCAGTTGAAAGGTTATTTCAGACGTAATTTATTTTTCATAAAATTCGAAGTTTGCTTCTATGTTTTTATAAAGTCAAGGTTTTTCACTTTCTTACTCTGCGCCATGCATATGTCAAAGTTAAATAACAGTGAACACTGCGCGCACTTGACGCGCACCTCAAGCATTGCCTAATTTTCAATTCTTTCGCCAATGCAAATAAGCGCAGGTGTGTTCGTCTTCTTGTTGTTATGTTTGAATTAATCATTTCTAATACGAATTTCGGAAACGGCTTTGACATGTGTGCTATATACATGTGTGCTTTGTACTTTTCACTCCCCTTTTACGCTGTCGCTAAATATAATCGTCCATGTAATAATGAAGCTATTCTGCTTGGGATGTTTCGATAAACAGTTCATTTGAAATGTGTGACATTTTGAGCGTTATATTTTTCCATCCACTGTTTCATGTAAGAAGTAACTTTCATGAGTGGACTGATGTTTTTGCAACTTATTTTTCTGAATGGTTTTAACAAAGCCTGGTTCATATACTGCCCTGAGAATTAAATGTACATGGAGTTTCTTCGCGAGTGGACTTTTTCTGAAGTGTTTGGTCCCTTTTAAATTTGTGATTTGTGACAAAGCTTCGCGTGTCTGAATAAGTTTGTTGACAAATGCGTCTCAAATAGAAATATACTCTTGTAGCTATATCAACCTCAAAAACTAAATAAAAATACATCGATGAACATGCCGTTTATTTGTGTACATGCTATCGAAGTGGTGATACAAATCGACAAATGAACGTAGAGCGAAGTATAATAACCAATGACTTTGAGATAAATACCTTAGACATTGTAGTTGATGTATGATCATCGACTACTTCCCATATCCTTTTCCTCCATCTTTGAGAACGTGAAGAAGTAGTAGAACCACCATTATTTTCGTTTCCGGTTTCTTCACCTTTCGAATGTTTTGGGTCATTTTCGATATTTGAGTGTTGAATATAAGGTCCGTTAAATTTTGCCAAATTTTTCTGAGCTTCTCTGTGTAAGGTATACGTAGACCAACAACACGGTTCCATCTCTTTTTCATCGATTCCCCAGAATTTCAATTCTTCTTCGAATAACGGTCCGCATACGTCCGAAGGACAATGTAGCTTGCCTGTGCGGTAAAAGTTTATAATTTGTTCAAAAACTCCTGGATGACGATCAAAGAAATATTCGTTCTTTTCTGGGTCATAGTCCACGTAGTCGTTCCTTTGTGTTAGCCAGGCCAGTCTTGTGTCTGGGAAATTTTTTATAGTACTTATAAATGTTTCATGTCTTACTCCACCGACATTCAAAATGATTCTATCGTTGTTTCGTAGGTTATTTTCCGAGTTCGAGTTCATGTTATTCAATTGAATGAAGTTTTCTATGTTGCTCATCGCAAGATTTTTTGCTGCAAAAATATGCACTCGTTATGTTGAACAGAACTTGGATATGTCATTGAAGAAACTTGAAAATATTTTCTTGTTTTCTAACAGAGCAAATAGTCCCCGTCTTCACGATTGCCGTTTTAAACCACCAATATCACTCCTTGATCGTTCTTACACTTTTATTCTCTATTTCTTTTTATTATGTTTGGCTTCTCGCACCAACGATACTGCCCAGCTTAGAGTAGTATTATCTACAAATTCACTTTATCTTTTCTTCAAAGGTAATTGTTTTGCGTTTATCATTTTCTCAATCTTGCTTGTTGCTAGGTTTTTGTCATTTGAGACTAAATACACATGCGTAGTAACTGTTGTAATGAATGATCTATCCACCTGTTCTCAACTACAGCAGACAGCAATTTAAAAGTGACTCACTTCATTGGTCGGTATTCGTGTTAAGAAGCAATACTTTAGCAAACCCAAGTTATTATATTAATGATGATATTGACAAGGCGATATTTCAAAATTGATTGCATGAAGTTGGTTGGATAAAAACCGATTGAATGATGAATGAGTATTTTCGACCTCTTTTTTCAGGTGAATGATTGTCGTTTATCCGAAAGTGAGTTAATATTTTACACTTTCTATATATATTGTCCTCTTTGAGTGATGATAATAAACGCAACGTGTTAAGGAGGAAAATGTAATGTTAGTTGCTTACTCAAATGTTTCATTTGTGGGTTCTTAGTTCTACTTTATGTTAATTACGACAATAGATCATGAATATTTCAGGTCTAGTTATAGAATTTCCAAAAAGTTCGAATTTTTAACTATTGTAACTTGTAAGACGAGATTACAGCACTGGGCTACAGGCTGGACAAATCATCGAAATAAAATCAACAATAAATTTGCTTCACCAAAATCAAAGTGTGGTATTTCAGTGTGGTATGTCTTGTTATTTCACTGTGGTATTAAAGTGTGGTATGTCTTGTTTTCACGCAGTCACGTGGCATAACTCGTGGTTCAATGGATAAAACATGTAGTGGTATCACTTTCGCTTTCAATTTGTTTTTTTCGATTAACTGTATTTGTGGCAACTGGTCTCAACTGCTGCAGCTTAGTTGAACTGTTCATTTGCAACGATGACTTCTTTTACCAGTTTCATACTTAAAAACGGAGTACTTATTACAGAAACTGAAGGCAAAGACAAAGTTGCGGGCTTTCTTTGATATCTGTCCCCCTCAATAAGTTCAGTCTCTTGACGACATTTACGTTCCTGGAGTTCCTTTTCTTTTGCATTTCCTAGCCTGTGGTTGGGAAAACCCACTTCTTCTTGAAACGTTTGAGCATCGTGTATTTACACAGTAGATCGTACGATTTTCAACTGCATGAATGGTCTAAATTAAGCACATTTAGCTAGAACGGAATATCAAAAATCAAGCACTAACTATATCAAGATACCACGAGCCACTCGAAAACCGGGCCTGTAGGCCAACCAACTTAGTATAAGCTGCTACAGTTGATGATGTACAATTGAACGAAAGAAGCACTGTTGTGTGAACCCCCATCAACCAGTCCTTAGTAGTAACGGAGTTTGGCCTGACAAGTACATTGTTCCTAGAGTCGAATTTGCAAACGGGTGGTTTGGCGGTTTAATGAAATGAATACGTTTAAGAATACGATTACAAATATGTCGGAGCTGTGAGATTTAAAAAATGTTTTAACTGATCAAAGATATTTAATTAAAAAATTGTGAAACACCCAATGCTTACTGTAATAAGGAAATTTAAGTCAGTGTAATTTTTACAACGTTATGGTTTTGGAAAACATAACATCGATTTTAACGTGGTTCTTCTCAGGGCCTGTTTACACTATACCATAAACCACACTATTCACATGTACAATTCTAACGTGGTCATTTTATTGGTCTTGTTTACACTTTACCATAAACCACACCATTCACATGTACAATTCTAACGTGGTCATTTTATTGGTCTTGTTTACACTTTACGATAAGCCACACCATTCACATGTACAATTCTAACGTGGTCATTTTATTGGTCTTGTTTACACTTTACCATAAGCCACACCATTTACATGTACCATTCTAACGTGGTCATTTTGTTGGTCTTGTTTACACTTTACCATAAACCACACTATTCACATGTACAATTCTAACGTGGTCATTTTATTGGTCTTGTTTACACTTTATCATAAACCACACCATTCACATGTACCATTCTAACGTGGTCATTTTATTGGTCTTGTTTACACTTTACCATAAGCCACACCATTCACAAGTACAATTCTAACGTGGTCATTTTGTTGGTCTTGTTTACACTTAAACCACACTATTCACATGTACAATTCTAACGTGGTCATTTTATTGGTCTTGCTTACACTTTACCATAAACCACACCATTCACATGTACAATTCTAACGTGGTCATTTTATTGGTCTTGTTTACACTTTACCATAAACCACACCATTTACATGTACCATTCTAACGTGGTCATTTTATTGGTCTTGTTTACACTTTACCATAAGCCATTCCATTCATTTACATTGTACCATTCCATTCTATTGGTCATTTTATTGGTCTTACCCATAAGCCACACCATTCACATGTACAATTCTAACGTGGTCATTTTATTGGTCTTGTTTACACTTTACCATAAGCCACACCATTCACATGTACAATTCTAACGTGGTCATTTTATTGGTCTTGTTTACACTTTACCATAAACCACACCATTCACATGTACAATTCTAACGTGGTCATTTTATTGGTCTTGTTTACACTTTACCATAAACCACACCATTTACATGTACCATTCTAACGTGGTCATTTTGTTGGTCTTGTTTACACTTTACCATAAACCACACCATTCACATGTACCATTCTAACGTGGTCATTTTGTTGGTCTTGCTTACACTTTACCATAAACCACACCATTCACATGTACCATTCTCATTCCCATTCACATGTTTCTGTGGTCATTTTATTGGTCCATCAACCATCCATTCACATGTACCATTCTAACGTGGTCATTTTATTGGTCTTGTTTACACTTTACCATAAACCACACCATTCACATGTACAATTCTTGTGGTCATTTTATTGGTCTTGTCACTTTACCATAAACCCATTCACCATTCGTTGGTCTTGTATTCCATTCTATTTTGTTGGTCTTGTTTACACTTTACCATAAATCACCATAACGTGGTCATTTTGTTGGTCCTGCTTACACTTCACATTTGGTCTTTGTTTACACTTTATCATAAACCACACCATTCACCATGTACCATTCTATTCCATTCCACCATGGTTTCCATTACCATTCTGTCCATGTGTTTTGTGCTTACATTTTTTCACATGTACCATTCTAACGTGGTCATTTTGTTGGTCTTGTTTACACTTTATCATAAACCACACCATTCACATGTACCATTCTAACGTGGTCATTTTATTGGTCTTGTTTACACTTTACTATAAATCACACCATTTACATGTACCATTCCAACGTGGCTATTTTGTTGGTCCTGATTTTGATGAAACTAGATTCCAAAAGAAGCGGATTTTTACAGCTTTTGAAAATCTGTGGCGACTTTTATTTTTTGATTGCAACGAAGCGATTCGACTATTAAACAATTTCTTCCGTGACTATGTATCCAATGTCTACTTTTCACACAAACCACAAAATTGTACCAGGGGGGAGTTACGACTTAAATTTACTATATTTATCGCGTCTTACTTTGCCTTAAGTTAGACTAAATTATTTACTGAAATGTCAGCAAAAACTCTATCTTGGAGAAAAAAGGGGGTGGAAGGTTCAAGTCCCAGTATTTCCCCCTTTGGCGCTGTATCTGAACACTTTCTCGTTGCGTGTTTTTCTATTTACCCAAACATATTATATACTATACATATTAGAGACTATATTTCATTACTCTATCCTATCCGTAGAATATGTTTCTTTTAATTAACGAACTTTATTTTTTTTTATCTTGATGCTTTTCAAACTGCATCTCATCGACGTTCACAAAGAACACCGACATTTCTAAAAAATGATCACGCCAGACTGGACAAATATCTCTCTGAATAAACCTATTTTGATCAAAAGCTTTCCGATGATGGTTGGCGTCTGGTAATGGAGAAATAATTTCAATACAGCCCGATAATTTTGCTAAGAAAATTTCAATTACAAAAAACGCATAATCTCAAATTTCATGCCACAAAGTTGCGTGAAGATCTTCGTTTTTAATCAGTTTTATAACAGCTGTGCAAATATGTTTCTGTTTTATTAACCAAATTCACTCGCAGGAACTGAGAGAAAATATTTCACAAACTATGAGCATGAGAAATTCAGTTTGCGTTTCGACAGGAAACAGATGTATTAGCCCATATTATATTATAAAAAGACGACGCTTGAAAACAATCTACGGTTCTTTATCTTGCCCTAATTACAGCTATAAACTTCATATCAAGCCAACGAGAAGTTGCAGTTTAAAGTGCAGTAGCTCGTTGATAACGCTCACTGACGTCATGCCAATTAGCCACATTGTAGATTGATTTGACGTAATCAGGTCGAAGATTTTTGTACTGAAGATAATATGCATGTTCCCAGACATCAATACCAAAGAGAGGAACCAGACCTAAATTACATAGTAGGCAAGTTAAGAGTTTGACTGCTAAACTTCAAAGATTTATCCACATGTACATAATCTCATTACATTATTCAACAAATACAACAAGATTCAAACAAAAATTTAAAAAATCAACATGATATCAAAGAACACAGGCGTAGAGAAGATCATATGTAATGATTGTTGTGTAAGTACTATATGCTAATGATTTGTGCAGGAAACAAAGGCAAGTCCCACTGGAGAGATTTTTGTCAGAATGGTCTGTCTTCTATTTTCTATACATTCCAGAGGGGGCAACTGGGATGATGTGATGATATTAATAACTATTAAAGATAAAAATTAAAAGTGTAATTTACTTTTATATTTAAGAAAGCAATTACCAGTTGTGGCTTCCAAGGGATCCTGATTGGCACAAGTTGCAAGTTTTAATCTTTGACTTGTTTTGCAATATCCCTGCACAAAAAAACACACTCAGCATAAACTTTCAGAGAAACTTATCAATAGGAATACTAGAAGATCTAGAAATAATACTTACCAACCAGCCCCATCCTGATCCTTGCACACCCACTGTAATAGCACTTAATTTTTCTTTCATTTTTTCAAATGAGCCAAACTCTCCATTGATAGCTTCCATAAGAAGTCCTGGACAAATTTAAAAATTTTAAAGCACATTTATTTGACTGTTTTCCCATGATATGAATGCATACGCAATTCAAGTAAACATGATGTCAGAACAATTTCGCACCATCCTACCTTGTGGTTCACCCCCACCATTTGGTGAAAGATTTTTCCAAAAAATAGAATGGTTAATATGACCACCACCATTAAACTTCAGAGCAGGCTGGAGAGCAACTGCTGCAGTCAAATCTCCTAATATAAATAGAGCACGAGTTCGAAGTCAACAACTACAATTATAATGTGTTTCATTTTTGAGTCTTTTATTGTTTTTAAATTTATGCATTGCATAATCCTTTAAGTGATTTAAGAAACGATTGATAAAGAATGCGTAAATTAAACAGATATAATTAGCAACCTTTCGCCTGCGCCTCTGCGTATTTTTCTTCTGCAATATTAAGATTGTTTACGTATGCTGCATGATGCTTGGAGTGATGTAACTCCATGATTTCAGCACAAATATGAGGATGCAATGCCCCATAATCATAATCAAGGGCAGGCAAAGTATGTTTGGCCTTCTTTAGAATTAACGAAGAAGTTGGAGCTGATCCATGTATGAAAGGAGAAAGTCTTGTCACTTTTCGTAACATTTTCTGCAGCTGGTAACTTGAACTTCGATAACCACTAATTACAAGTTTACATAAAGTATTGCAACCTTAAATGAAACATCATTACGTCATTTCCATACCAAAATATCAGTTCTACTTCTTGGATTCCAAGACTTGGAATGGCATCTTGCGTTGATCTTCTTCATATTTCACTGTTTTGATTTCCGTGGTACATTAAATTATGGAATTAAGCAGTGAGCAAGTAAAAAGGGTCAGTCAATCATTTTATTTTCCAATTGTAAATTTTTGGGCTTTTTGCATTGTCACTTAATTGGCAATATGGTCACGTTTGCTGATATATGTCTGCTTTGACTTTAATTAGATTTCAGATTCATGGTACTGGTGGCAATATTAATTTTTTAGATTTTTTTTCTTTAGTTTAACTAATTTTTAAATTTTTTTTTCTTCAGTTTAATGATGATGGTTATTTAATTGTACCCAATGTTTTCAACAACGAGGAGTGTCAGGCCTTAAGAGATGAATGTAGAAAAATAGTGGATGAACTTGATTTGGCTCAGCATCCCAGAACAGTATTTAAAACAGGGAAACAGAGAAAGGTATGCATTCATCTTAATTTTATTTGAATTATACAAAATCTACAATTTGGGTGTAACATAAGAGGGAGGTGTGATGGGGGGGGGGGAGGTTAATGCCCCCACAATCTAGACGTCATATTTTTAATAAGTTAGAAACTCAGTCAGATTTTTGACCTGTAAAAGATCTTAAAAGTTTATTGTATTAAGTTGCAGTGATGCTTCATGCTCCTTAATAACACTCCCCCCCCCTCCCATCTGACCTAATGAGCATGAAATTTTTAAGTATTTGCAGTGAACCATGCTTAGAGCTTTTATGTTTTTCCATAGTCTACAGATGAATATTTCATGACTAGTGCTGACAAAATCAGATTTTTCTTTGAAGAACATGCTTTTGATGATAATGGTATGAGAATTGTAATGAAACATCTTATCACAAGACACAGGATAAAAATTCCCCAGATCTCTATCTACTATGACTCAATGTAAACTTTATCAAATAGCAAGCAAAATAATCAAAACAATTTCTTTTGTAGGAAAACTTTGTGTTGAGAAACATTTATCTTTAAATAAAGTTGCACATGGTATGTAGCATGTGTGTATGACAGTGTGCAATAGTTTGACCAGCTTGCTGATCTACTCATGCTATTTAAGTGAACACAAAAATATTTGCATCATAGGAGGAAGAAGTCGAGCTAGGCTAACTAGATACTACTCAATCTGTGTAATTTTGCTTGGGTAGAATGGATAAGTTTATTACACTATAAAACACTATCTTTGAAGTCAGAAATTTTATAATACATTGTGTACATATCTAGTGATATACCTCAAACATTCACTCTTACAATACAATTCATTCGGCAAAATTATCATTTTTGTTTTTCACTGAATGAGCTCACAAATATTTTTGAGATAGGAGTAATAAAAAAGGCGAGCTTTCCCAGTGTACATAATATCATGTACCATATTTATCAGGTCAGATGTGTTTTTACTTCGCATTGTGTCTGTTACCGTATCAATCAATTTCTTAAAAGAAAAACTGTTTTTCAATTTATGACACTATGCTGCCCATTGGCAATTACATTATGACATGTTCTTTGAGATGTGCTTTATTTCATCAATGCCTAGGTAAACACAGTAGGGATAAATTCATGGGAATACCTATCTCAGTTTTATCTTATCAATGCTTAGGGGTAATAGGGGACCTCAATCTGGGGTGATCATTAAAATATGTCTCATCTCATCAAAGCTCACGTGATTGCTGTATGTGATAATCAACAGATTGACTTTACGTTACTTTATCCTCTTATCACAAGATTATGCTGAAAAATTTTTCATCTATCGTTTTTTAACCCTGGTGTTTTTTTGAAAGCCATTTTTCTTGGAGGTGATAGTTAATGTATAACATCTCTAAACGCTTATACAGATTTTTGTAAAGTCACTTCTTTCTTTTACCTTTAGCTCTCCATGCTCTTAATCCAACATTCAAAAAGATCACTTTTGATGAACGAGTAAAGGTAAAGTATAATTTATCATTGTCTACGTACGTCTTTTTCGTTGTACTTGTTTCTGAATTTCCTGCGATATCTAAGAGAGACGGTAAATGTAGTCTTTTTACTTGTCAAATCTCTGTCAAAATTGACTGTGCTGACACTGGTATGTAAAAATAAAATTGAACTCGCAGAAATCTCTTGGCGTTCATCTTTCGCTCATTATCTCAAGACTTTGATTGAGGCTAATAAAATTGAAACATTTAATGTACATTATTTTGTATTGCTCATTGTTTCTTTTGACAGTCCAGAAAAATTTAATTTTTTAGGCAACAATAAGATCACTTGGATTTAAGAAGCCTTCTATTTGCCAAAGCATGTATATTTTCAAGGTACGATTATCGTAATGGCCATAACGAGCCAATTCAATAGGCATTTCAATTATTTCATCTGTCTTTGAACATGCAAATAACTGTCTGGGATCATTTGTAATGTAGAATTGCAATTTATATCGTCATCGTTAAGAAAAATTTGTGCTCATAGATTTAAAAGCAAGTTTTTTTGTCAATTTTACAGATGTCTTTACATTTTCTAGATGTAGATCGTCCAGATTGGTTGAGTCATGAGAAAGACCGTTGATGTTGAATGTTGTCACCTTCAGATCTGAGTCAAGTGAATGTTCTCTATTCACCTCTCATATCTCTAACGAATTGCCTTTGTTGACACTGGCACATGAAATTTAGAAAAACTCAAGGAAACGTTTTCTGGTGTTGATTGTTTATTCATTATACATTGAAATGAATACTAATTGGGATATTTCTTGACTCTGAAGATGACTACCGACTAGGGTGCCGCAGCGTCAGTCAACATCAACAAAAATAATCCTTCTCAGGACTCGACAAACCTGGACGATCTACATCTACAAACATTTAACGATATTCCCGGGCTCAAACGATTTACTTTATTGATATCTTGTGAGGCATTTTACACTATAACGGAATAAATGTCCTCTGTTGCATCCAAGAGTGTTCTGTACATGTTAACTGATTTAATTGAATCAGAAAATGGTTTTTTCAAAATAAACAGTTTTGGTCACAGGTGTAGTAATTAAAACGTAACGAATAAATATTGTTTGTCACAATATCAATCACTTTCCATATGGATGCATGTACTTTTAGATTTCAAATATGTTTTCTTTTAGCAACCACGAATCGGTGGAGAAGGTATTCAACGGCTACTTGCATTTTATTTTTTCGTGCATGCGACGCAACAAACTAACATTGGTCGTATGTTTCGTCGCAGTTTCTCCCCATCAAGACGCAACATTCCTTCACACCATTCCGCAAAATCTTATTGGAATATGGATTGCTCTGGAGGACTGCACTATCGAAAATGGTTGCCTTTGCTTCTTGCCAAAGTCACACAATGGTACGTACGTGAAAGGAGTCACGACTTCAAAGAATTTCATTTTATCAAACATATTCTTAGAAAGATAAAGGGCTCCTCTTTCTTGCTATATTAAAGTTAAGCTCGATATTGATACACGCAATGAAGCTGAAACCTTATCCGGGAGGATGTTTTCCAGGGGGTCTTTCCCCGGGAGTTTTTTCCTAGGGAGTATTTCCAGGCTTCTTTTTCCTAGGATCTATTTTTCTAGGATCTATTATATATTCTCCTTGGTCATTTCCCTAGGGGTTTTCCTGGGGTTTTTTTTACCCTTTCGGGAGGGTCTTTCCTCGGGGGTTCATTTCCTCGTGTTTTATTGTACGCAGGATGTATAGAAAAGAAGATTTTTAGAAATTAACCTATTGTGGTACTTTCAACGCCCCATCACCATGGCAAGCTTATGGTTGCGTAAATTATTGTCAGCTATTTATCTATTACATGTGTTACAAACGTACAAGCTGATTTGTTTCTGTCAATTTATCAGCAAAATCTGCACAATAATGAACCAATGGGATTAACACAGTGTTCAGATATTGAAACTTTAACAATTTGCTAAGATCAAATAGCTCACCCTTTTCATACATCCCAAATGTAATAGTGCTATTCAGACAATATTATCATATTAGAAAGCTCTCTGTTCTTTTCTTTGTTTTATACTTTGAAATTTTTCTTGATGCCATTTTAACAATTTTTAATATAGACAAAGTCGTGCGACGTTTTGTCCGTGACCCTGATTCATCTGAACACGCCATGACATTTAAAGGACCAGTAATTGATTACGATTTGAGGAAGTTTGTTCCGGCTGAAGTAAAGACAGGTATAAAGTTCAATCTGACTTCTAGTTTTCAGAAGGGATTCATAAAACTTGAGCATTGTAACCTGATGAATCGACCATGTTTTCTCATTTTTCGTGACTGAACGATAATTTTCAGCAATCACAATTATTCCTCCTTTATTGTTTAGCAAATATAGAGTTGTGAAGTTTTAGATTAGCTTTTAAATAATTTTTACTTTCACTTATCTTTTCAAGTCATAAAAGCTACGAGGATATTACATTTTATCCGAACAATTAATGATAGCATAAATTTTATGCCTATTGGTTCAGTCATGAAATTCATTCTCCTAAATAATATTCTCCATTTTTAAATTTTTCAGTTTTGAATTTTGATTATACTTTTGGTACAATATGTTGTACCACGCGTTTTTTGGTACAATATATATATGTTTTGGTACAATATGTTATACCACGCGTTTTTGAAATCACCAGAAGATTCAGTTTGTCATATATACTCAATCGTACTTTTTTAAAAAATGTCGTTGATGTAGGAACTATGGTGGTAATTCATGGCAAGGTTATACACTATAGTGCCCCTAATACCTCTGACCGTTCACGTAACATCTATACCTTTCATATTGTGGAGGAAGAAAACACTAAATGGAGCGAGGAAAATTGGTAATTTTACACTTAGCTCGTTACTTAACCTTTTAGCTGCTTATAAACTTTAATAGAGTTTTAGTTTGGCGTTAACGGCAAACCGCCAAAAGTCACCTGATCATCATGACTTTGCGGCTTACGTTGCGGTTTGCTGTTCAGGTTTTAACGGCAAAAGGAGCTTCTTGCGGTATGTGATATATGGCAAGCTTTTTAGTGCTTTTAAAACAACCAAGTGTGGTTTATGGCTCAATGTTACATTTTTATGTGAGCATACAACATGAATGTGCTTTTTCATCCAAAAACGTCCAACGAAACATGAAATTTAAATCATGACATGCGAGTAGAATACAAATGCAAAACGCCAAACTAAATTCAATTTTTTTACGGCAAGCAGGTAGTTAAGGTTTGCCGTTCGCCGTAAACGTCGAACTAAAACTCTCTGATGACTCATTTTTTACAGGTTGCAGCCAACTGAAGATTTACCATTCATGCCGTTGTATGGTTGATAGTAGTTATTAGCTGAAATACTTCTCTTTGACATAAAGTGAATGGTTTGAATCCGAGAGTGTAGTTACGTGTTTTGTAGATCTCCCAGAAGGCTAGTGTAGTCCTGAGAAGAACTGTTGTAAGATGTCGGTAGTTGTTGTGATGTGATCAGGTCATTGCGTTTTCTTTTTGAGTTGGTTTACCAGCTTTTTAACTAAAGTCGTTGCTTGTAGTCGCTATACTGTACGTAATCAATGCACTTTGCTGAGTCCCAGGCAATGTTATGTTTTGTTATGTTCAGTGTATCGTATGTGTTCCTTCCAGTCTCAGCGATATATAGGCATGGCAGTCAGAGCAGTTTATTTTGTACCTTGAATCTCTGTCCTTGACGTTCGTCAGGATTTGTCGTAACGTTGTAATCGGTTTAACTGCTACCGCCGCCACACTTATGTTGTATGGTCATTTCCTATGTTTACACGATACAACAACACCGACTAAAGACAACAACTTACGTTAGAAATTTGGTGTACCAACTTAAAACAAAATCCGCTGAACGGATAACAACAATAAAAAGCACCTTACAAACGACATCTTCACAACCTCGAACAACCCGACGTTTATTCCTCACGTGACACTGAAGATGACTACAGCTAAGTTTGTCAAAACATCAGTGATAAGTCATCATCGAAAGTCCTTCTAAATACTCCATTAACCCATAAGATCTAGATCCATTAGTCCATTAACCCATACGATGTAGATTTACTAACATTTCTTTGACATGTTTCTTGGTGGTAGTGAACAAGATTTTATAACAGTCCATTTGGCTGAAAAGCATAATATAGTGCCATACATCAACTTGGGTGTTTTTAGCTGATCTTAATTCAAATTTCGTTCATATGAAAGAATCAACTATTTCTATGACATTTACATGTGTGTACATACAACATGGGTACCAGTATGTTTAGTCATGCTATGAATATTTTTCAATGATTGGTCACTATGAAAACAATGGACTTCCACAGAAATGAACAATGACAATGTTCAGAAATCCTCATTGCAGGACTAAATTTGGAGGCATGCTACTTTCTGTACGTGTATATAAATAGAAATATACTTATACTATTGTGTTTACAAATAAATTATACTGAAATAGAGCACTCAATATCAATACAGAGGAAAATTAGGATGCAAGATAATATCTCCAATAGTTTACAAAATACTGTTTTGTGGTGATTGTTTATACATGGCACATTGGGTAATGAGTGGAGACATAATACCATTACATTTTTATAAGTGGGTTTGGTTTGCAAGTTTTTTTAAAATTATTGTGAAAAAGCAGCTTGACACCACATAAGAATGTTGTTGCCTAAACCCAGTTTCTGACAAATGTGATTGCACTCAAACAAAAGTTTTTCAAACTCCAAATTGTCAGTTTCAGCTAACACTTGTTGATGATCAAAATTATGTATAGAGGGTGCATCTTTGACTTCCTCGGGTGGAATATTATTAAATTTTACTTTCCACATTTGTTTTTCTATTTTGTCAAGATTATCCATCAAATTGTCTATTTCTTGCTCACAGCTATCATTTTCCTTATTTCCTGTCTTTTTGTTCAAAACAATGTAGGAATGAAGGGCACTATACAAATAAAAAACATTAGAATTAAAACATTGTATATAAAGCAAAGAAATTAACGGTGCTTAATCAACAAACAATGTTATCCAAAAGAAACCTTCATGTTCATACAGAAAAATGACATTCACATGCATGGGCTATCCGTTTATAGATATGATTATATAAATTTCATGAAATGAAAATGTACTTACTTTAATACACCTCTTAACTTGCCAAACTTGCAGGAGGCTAGGAATGCTTTCTCATAGCCACAATCAAACCCATCTTGTACTGTTGATTGTGATCCTGCAGAGATGCCTTCTCGTACACCTATCTATTCAAACAAAGTTGATAAATTTATATAGCAATCTATCATGTGAATTTTTTACAGATGAGCTAGTAAATATTCACTGTATTTTAATGTGCATCTCAATGCTGTATATTTAATTAGATTAATTATTGTTTTGCTGTTAGATAACTCAAGCATTCCTAATAAAGTGAATGGTTGAATCCAAGAGTATCATTACAAGTTTGTAGATGTAAATCATCCAGGTTAGTAGAGTCGAAGGACTGTTTGTGGTTGATGTTCATTGATGTTTGCACAACCTTAGCGATAGTCATTCAGAGTCAAGTCAAAGGTTGTCGAAAAGATGACTGCCCCTAAGGTCATGGAAAATTAGAAAATTGAATTGACTTGCTGCCAATACGGTAATCAGTTGCGTGATAATCTTATCGCGTTAAACAGAAGATAAAACGAAGTGGCCCTACTGTATTTTTCCTTTATTGTTTAGTCTGAGCTCCTGTCCTCTATGATGTTTAAAATCCACCCGACCACCCATACATAATGTACATACAGGGTAAATAACTGACAGTGAAATAACTTTTTTAATTTCTTACTGTAAAGTGTTTGTCTCTTTGCCTCTCCGAGTCAATCCTTCCTAATAATGTATCATCAATGCCTGTTTCTTCTTCGAATGGGGAGTCTTTCTCGAGGAAAAGAATGTGGGGGGAATATTGGGTGCCCATGTCACCCTTCGATATCACTTACATTGAACGACTTCAAAAATATATTTTATGCGCATGCTCCGTAATTTCCGCTGATTGTGGCATCATGGCGGTTTTCAGGTTTCATAGAAGATCGCTCCACAATCTCACTGCATCTTCCTTTTCTATTTTATCCAACACAACATAAATTTTATAAGATAAGATATGAGGTTTTTTTAAAAATACATTGAATACACATGATTGCTGACGAGATCGACAAGCTCTCAAAACATTAGCTATAACATGCCAAACAATAATAACACACACCGAAATACGTCCTCGAATTATTCTCGTGAAAAGACGAAGAAGGCCAAGAAAAAGGCCAAAGAAAAGAATGAAAAGATAGCTAAGACAAAAAAATCTACCAAAAATGAAACTCCAAAGCCAACCAAAAACGAGTTACCGAAAATTAAAATCACTGCTTTGCAAGAGTACGAGGATATATCGCCTGTTACTGGAGAGGAAAGTGGGTCGGAAACTGAACAAGCAGGTTTTAGCATACAAAGCTCTTCAACACCTCCTCCCTCTTCTACTTCGAAGAAACATCGCAGTGACAAAAAGAAAAAGAAGAAAACTAAAGGAAATGGTAAGACAACAAAAGCAAAGAGTACGAAAGTGAAGTTGGAGAAGAAGCATGTTAAGACTAGTAAAAGGAAACGAACACCATCTCCTGTTGTAAAGGAAGACGTATCCGTCAGTGAATCTGTGCATTCTTCATACTCACCAACAGTTGACAGAAAAGTCAATAAAATTGTAAGTCCATTGAACATTGCAAATCAATCAAAACATGATTTTGAACTAAATAACCATTCAAGTCCAAGTGATACAGAGCCAGACAAAAAGAAGAGAAAACAGCTTAAAAAATCTCGTTCAAGGAGATCTGACTATCCTGTTATTCCAAGAGCTTATCAAGGAAATGAGGTAAATAGCCCAAGCCCTTATAGATCACCTGTACCAAAGTATTCTGTATCTCCAGAACCCCAACGACAGTATTTGTATAGTCGGTCAAGGTCACCCATGCGACAGAAGAGTCCATTGTCAAGTAGACCAAGACGGCGTAATCGATCTTTGTCAAGATCACCTTATAGAACTAGACCATACATGTCACCTTACAGGTCTCCTTTTAGATCACCACCACGATCCCCTTATCAGTCACCTCGCAATTACAGGTCACCATACTCTCCATACAAATCCCCAATGTACAACTGGTCTCCAGGGCAATCTCCTGAAGGCTATCATGGACGACATTCTAGAGTAAATAGACCTCAATCTCACGGGTATTCAAACTCAAGAAGTCCATCACCGCATAAATTGATTAGATCTGCTGTTAAGGCAATGAGTAGAAAATCTCACAGTAAACAATTGAGTAAATTGCAACCGCAAGCAGAATATGAATCAGATAGTAAATATGGAACTGTTAAGAAAAACTCAACTTCTCATAGGAAGCATTTGTCGTCTCATCACAACTCAACACAAGGAAGAAATAATGAAAATTCTTACACTAGAGAGAGAGATAAGTCTCCTGGTAGTAAAAATAAATCAAAAAGAGAAAAGGACAGCTCTTCTAAGAATGAAGATATTTCATACAAAGGTGTGGATGTTTCACTATCAAAAAACAAAGTTACAAATAACAGAGATAAAGGTACCTCAGTTACAGAGAGAAGTACAAGCAAAACAAAATGTGTTCCTAAAAAACACAAAGATGAGAAACATAAAGAAAAAGATTCAATTACTAAGGACAAAGATACATGTAGTAAAGATAAGGATAGTTATGATACAAACAAGGAAATAATACAGAAGGAACATAATCAACTTATGGAAAAAGTTACGTATGAATCAGATAGCTCCAACTCAATAAATAAAAAGGGCTCCGCAATAAACAGAGACAAAGAACTTGATAAAACTTCACCTCCAGGAAGTTCAACAATTAAAAATTCTCCAGCCATGAAAATTCAAGCGTTATCAAATGAGAAAGAGTTAAATACACAAGACCAAGATGAAAAATCACCTCCATCATTGCATAATGATAGACTTGATATCGATGTGCCTGCAGATGAGGCACCTTCATTACCAATAGATGAGAAAGAACCACCATTACATGTTGGTAGTGTAGCATCACCATCACAAAAAAAAATAGGAGATGCCCCACCTCCATCTTTGCCAAACTCTGACCCTCCTCCACTTCCCCCGGAAGATGATGCTCCTACTCAACCAGCTCTACCTCCATTACCTTTACCTCCTGTTCTTCCAAACTTACCAGATGAATCTCCCGATTCTGTGTTTTCTGAAGATGCAAAAGGAGCAGATGCCATGGCTTTGGATTCAAAACCTAACACACCATCAGCTGTTTCTTCACCAGGAAAGTCTGAGGATGGTTCTGATGAAGAAGGAGAATGGGGCGAAAGATGTGTTGATATGTTTGACATCATTGCCATTGTTGGTGAAGGAACATTTGGTCAGGTTTACAAGGCAAAAGAAAAGGAGACTGGTAGGTTAACTTATTGTTGATAATGCCATCTTCATTGTTTGGTTTAGGAAATTTATATTACTTTGCATCAAATAAATACTTTGCATTACCGTATATCGTATTTTCTACGTTTTACCCACTGGCTGCCATTTTATGGTTACCAAATTTTTATCGTTTGATTTTTGAAATTCATTTTGCGATATGACGTTCATATACCACTAGGTTTAAATGTTTTTACTAGGCGAAATTTTTCGATGGGGAGTATCGACACAGTTAAGTGCAGTCTTAAGATAGGCAGTTTTGTATCCATGTATGAATATGAGCCTCCCCAATATCCACGCTTTCCCCAGCTCTAAACTTAAACAAAAAGCAATTTGTTAAATAGTGGTCACACTGGGCGTATATACGTAAATGCCTTCTCAGGATGCCTATTGTCGACATAAAACTCATTTTTTGAACTGAAAATGCGAGCTTTTAGCCAAGCAGAATGAAATAGAAATTTCTGTTGCATTTCACCATTCTAGTTATTTGAAAGTTTTCTAGTTTTTGGTGCTGATAATCTTTAACCTAAAGTTTGTTGCCTCGGACTATACGCTGTGAGGGTTATCAGTACACTATTACCCCTCCCTCCCCCGTTCATTTCTGATTATAATCCTCAAATGATGAATTACTTACAGTCAAAATAGTACCTTGTATGTTGAAGATTAACTCTCTTTCTGATGGGGAATTTGTCTTTGCTAAAATAATACGTTACCTAGCTATGAAAGATTTTGGTAGGTAACCTCGCTTGTAGTTATGTTTGCTTAACTTGATGTAGGAGAAATAGTTGCCTTAAAGAAAGTTCGCTTAGATAACGAAAAGGAAGGCTTTCCCATAACAGCAGTTCGAGAAATAAAGATTCTTCGACAGTTGTCCCATAAGAATATTGTCAAATTGCAAGAGATCGTAACTGATAAGAAAAACGCTATGGATTTCAGAAAAGATAGAGGTATATAGTTTCCCCTCTTTATAGTTTATGCCTTCCGTAGTTTCATCATTTTATTTCGTATTCATTTGAAGGTGCTTTTTATCTTGTATTTGAATACCTTGATCACGACTTAATGGGGATTCTCGAATCTGGTCTCGTTTACTTCTCAGATGAACATATTCAGTCATTTATGAGACAGCTTATGGACGGTCTTAATTACTGTCACGAACGAAACTTCTTACATCGAGACATCAAGTGCTCGAATATTTTTTTAAATAACAAGTATGTTTTTAGAGCACGTTGAAGACGTGATGATTTGGGTTAATTTTTTCATCTTCGTGCTTTAGCAAGTCTGCTTTCATTTACTTTTTATTTCAGAGGAGAAATAAAACTCGGTGATTTTGGATTGGCAAGGTTGTATAATGCAGATGAAAGGTACTTCAACTAATTTTTTCAATTTTACTTAGGGAATAGCTATTTTTACATTGGTAGGTTCATGCGTTTTGTGTTGGATATTATTTCCAGTTTAGCCTGTTTATCTCTTTGTTTGTGATGGTCAACGACCTAGAATCCAATGTACGAGATATCTGATTCCGAGAAAGTTCTATATACGTAGCTACGAGTGAGGAAAGTCACCATCTTGAGAGGTGGCAAAACTGACAATACTTAAGTTAATATCTGCTTTTCTTGAGTTGATATGCAGTTGCAAGTTGACAGTGTGGATTTAATTTTTAAAATGTTTGATAATATTAGGTTTTTAAACCTTCTTTTAGCTTATTTTTCATTTTGAGTTTTTCTTTTTGCCACCTATCAAGATGGCGTCCTTGCCTCACCTTGACACGGTAGTTAGACATCTAGATGATTGGGTTCTAAATCATTGGTGATGATACGTATGGAAAATAATTTAAATGTCAATTGTATGTTTGTATTTAGCCGTCCTTACACTAATAAAGTCATCACGTTGTGGTACCGCCCTCCAGAATTATTGCTTGGTGAAGAACGCTATGGACCAGCTATTGATATATGGAGTTGCGGGTGTGTATGGCTTTGTCATCTTCAAAATGAGTTAAAATTTAGAGTAATAATCCTGTTAAGTTGCGACCATGTTTGTTCGTGCTTTGAGATTGTGGATACCCTCTTGATTTCCGTCATCTGTTTTTGCCAACACAGGTGCATTCTAGGAGAACTTTTTATGAAAAAACCGTTGTTTCAAGCTGGTGAGGAGCTTGGTCAGCTGGAACTGATCAGGTATACACATATTTCAAGAGCTTGAAAATTTCTCGTTCTTAGATATTAAGCTTTTAAAATCCTTGAGCTTTATGTAATATAAGAGACTAAGAGTTAATATGTTATTTAAATTGTTAAATGCGGCAACCGTTCGATAGGTTTGCTTTCATCCTACTAGTGAATTTTCGGGTGTTTTTTTAGCCGTATTTGTGGTAGTCCAACACCAGCGGTTTGGCCTGACGTCATTAATCTACCTCATTTTAATACAATTAAGCCAAAGAAACAATATAGACGAAGAGTTGTTGAAGAATATATATCGTAAGTATTGCTTTGAAAAGGAATATTATCTTTTGGTGAAGGGAGTTCGAATGCTCTTTGTTCGAGCTCGAGTCCGCCTGCTGCTCCTTGGTGACAGGCATTTTAAGAGGGTGGTACATCACCATACAATAGTTCTTGTCCTCAAAATGTTAGTCATTATCGGATTTAGAAAAAGTTGGCAACGATTTTTTCAATTATTCATGTGCGTTGATCTTGGGTTTATTTCTTTTTCTTATTTAGTCTACCTCCTGTAGCTCTTGATCTTCTGGATCGAATGTTGATTCTCGATCCATCGAAGAGAATAACGTCTGAGCAGTCTTTGGTCCATGATTTTTTAAAGGATGTCGATCCCACGAAGATCGCTCCACCCAGGTATGTGTCAAACAAAACAATGTATTTTCAGTTGTCTGCACCTGGTGCCTCCAAGCAGAAGGTATTCTAATGTATTTATCTTTGCCGTTCAGTAATGTTAACATGAAAAAGGCTTTTAACTTTCAAGATCACAGAATACGCCAGGGAAGAAAAGATAGGATTGCCTATATGTGTTCTTGAGAAACTCGTTCTGATCTGAAAAATTGACCAAGCTTGATTTTTGTCAAGCAAGTGCAGAGAACTTTTAGACTGCGCCGACTAATAAGATTTACGATCGCTATATTGGTGTTGAGTAAAATATAATTCCGACAATGTGCCCGATGCCATGACTAAACGCATTTTGTTTTTAGTTTTCCTTTATGGCAAGATTGTCATGAGATGTGGTGTAAAAACGAAGGCGTCATAAAGAAGGTAAAAGTCAAGAGGATATTTCTCGTTCCTCATCGAACAAACCATCCAGAAAAGACTCTTCTAAGTCTTCAAACACGGAGTTGCTTCCTGGTCAGAAATTGGGGCATGGAGCAAATGATGAAAAGCTGAGCCTGGCTACCGCCGTTGCGCCAAAAGACTCGCTTTCGAAAGTATTCACGCAAAAATTGCCCAATGAACTAGGTGGTGAAGTATCAGTTCCTCAGGGTGTTTCTCCCGGTGACATAGCCAGTACAGATCGTGATATTGATAATCGTATATCTCGCGCAATCTCAAATGAGGAATGTCGACCGTCTGAATTTGCAAGTATTGATTCTTTTTGAAATCACCGAATTAGCTATGATTGAAGTAGAATTTGTATATTACAGTTTACTGTGTAACGTGTTTATGACAGTCTGACTATATTATTATGTACAGATAAATATACACTCAAAGGAAGGAAATTTACCACACCTAAATGTTTTGTTCATAGTCAAGGAAAGGAAACATAATTTTATGTTAAAAATATTTGTAATAAATTTCTTCCAAGCTCTTGGTATGGGAAACGTTTTCAGCCTTTTCGGATAGTGAATACTAAATAGATAATATTAGTTACCTCGGCTCTAAACTAAACAATGGCGAGGCTATGCAAGGGATATATTGGTGACAGAGACGTCATTCTTTATGTAAATTTGATCATTCACAGGTTTATAAGAGCAATAGTTTCACCCGAGTTTATAAAAGCAATCGTTTCACCTTGCAGTCCTTGCAGTAGTGTTTCCACAATGCTAAGAGCTTTTAACTTCATATTTTTTTGATGTCAATTGAATGAAATGGACAAAATTGCTCTTACAAGATGCGAACCGCGCTTTTTTGCCGATGTAGCATGGCACACTGCATCGCCCAGTGGTCATTGATGCATTTGCTACTTACAAATCAAGTTAATTGAGGATTTTACGCTGAATTGTTTATAAACTAGAGAGTTTTTCTTCAGTCATGTTCATTGCTTATATTGATAGTTACATCAAGTAGAGTTAAAATACTTGTTTGTGACGTCATCATACACAAAACAAATACTTGCTTGACGTTGACCTCAAACAACAACGTCTTAGTTTGAGCGAATGCCGATATACAGTGGCTCATATATCTCTTAACTCTACATTTGGTAAAAAAAATTGTAAGTATGTCAAAAACCAAAGAAAAACAAACTGGATTACATAAAGTCATTATGGTGGGAAGCGGTGGTGTTGGCAAATCTGCTCTTACATTGCAGTTTATGTACGAAGAAGTAAGTTTAGTATTGATTGGGCTCCACCCTTTAATTGCGTAAAATAATCTTAAAACGACTCTATTTTCTCAACTTTCTTCGATTAAAACTATATGTGCTCATATATTTATACCATCAAAATACATGGCTTTATTTTGCTTCGTCTTCTCGGGTTTTAATGTGTTTTTGAAAATTCGCCCGATCTAATGCATTTTAATATGTTCAGGTATTTGTACTATTTGCTTGTATTACGCTCAAAAAACGCTTTAACTTTGATATCGATTTATTGTCTAGTTCGTTGAAGACTACGAACCGACAAAAGCTGATAGTTATCGGAAAAAAGTGATGTTGGAAGGCGAAGAATGTCAAATTGACATCCTTGATACAGCGGGCCAAGAAGATTATGCTGCAATTCGCGACAACTATTTTCGCAGTGGAGAAGGATTTTTGTGTGTATTTTCCATTACTGAGACTGAATCGTTTCAAGCCACGGGCGACTTTCGTGAACAAATTCTTCGAGTTAAAGGCGATGAGAACATTCCATTTTTGTTAGTTGGTAACAAAGCTGATCTGGAAGATAAACGTCAAGTTACTCAAGATGTTGCAAGGAGCAAAGCTGAAGAGTGGAAAGTACCTTACGTTGAAACCAGTGCAAAGACTAAGGAAAACGTTGATAAAGTGTTCTATGACCTCATGCTAGAAATTCGCTCAAGGAAAATAGAAGATGGAAGCAAGACGACCAGTAGACCAAAGAGTAAAAAGAAGAGGAAATGTTTAATTCTGTAGATGAGAAAATATTGGTCAGATATTTCACTTACTTGAAATAATCCCTATACTTCATGCTGCAATGTTGCCCATAAAATTACAAAACAACATGATAATGATATACTGAGTAATGTAATTGCATCTGTGCCTACATAAAAGAAATTAAAGTAACTCTCACACAGCCATGCTTAAATTTTTTAATTATGATTTTCTTTAGTTTATTTTAGATGTAATGTCTAAAACAAACTTTATTTCCCTTTTGCATTATAGCATTGGTTATTTAAATTGATTGTCCATAGAAAATATATTGCATTGTCCAGTTAATTATTCTGTTATAAATTTGAAAATTGAATTGTTTTTCAATGTGTTAAAATAGCAAAGCTCAATCTGTGTCATCACCAATGACAGATCTTATATTGTGAAAAATTTATGAATATATATTGTTGTATAAGACAAACAGTATATCATCTCCATTTTTGATATTCTATTGGTTGTTTAAAATATGTATCTTGCTTCAAATGTTCAACAGTCTAAGTGTGATTTTCATCTTCTGCACATGTATGTTACTAGAAGGAGTATTTCAGCATTAAAAAGAGTTGGGTTCTGTGGTTTCCAAGCTCCTCCATAAACAAATTGATGTATAATGTTAACCTGTTTAAGTATACAGCAACTAGCGGTATGGGTTGACTTATAAGTCCACTGTATCAAAGTTGAAAAGCCTTTCATGAGTTAACCAGTATGTGTGCTTAAATGTAGGCACTGAATAAAATGCTAGTGGTGATTGGTCAACAGAAGTAAATGTATTGGTTAAACAAGAACACACAACTGTGCACAACTTTTTAAATAGCAATATCATGAACTAGTCTAGGAACTTGTACAAGAAGTTCATCCTTTGATAATGAATAGAAACTGTCTTTCCACATCTCTTTCAACCGATTTAAAAGTTTTCCAAACTTTGGTCCTGGCTTAATCATGTATGGTTTCAAATCATTCCCACTCACTGGAAATTGGGGTATTTTCCACTTTGCTATCTCCTTAACCAAATCAAACTTGCCTTCATAGTAAAGCAGCTCAATTACATGATGGCGAATTGGTTCAGAGCTTTTTAATGGACATGATACAAGAATATCTTGGTAGACTTTAAGTGGAAATTCCAAATTGTGAGAAAGTTGTCTATGAGTTATAATAAACTTGCCAAGTTGTTTCTCTGAATTAGACAGTTTAAGTGCTTTCGTAAGAAATTCTACACTTTCCACATTGTCAACCAATGAAACCAATAATGTAACTGCATTAGGGGTATAGTTTTTCATGTTGCGCCATACTCTATCAAATTCATCAAATTTTGCGGATGATACATCAGGAAGACCTAAATATTAAAAAACAAGAATATTAGTAGATGAATATACCAAATTTATCTCAGTTGTAATCTACTTTTCAGGCAAAGCACAATAAACTCAATGATTTGACAGAGATATGGCAAAGAAAAAATTCATGGACCAGTCAAATTAATACTGTATACAAATGTTGTTTGTTTGTTTGTTTGTATTTGACAAGCACTGAAAAAACAAAAATCTTAATGTAAATGTTTTGTGGACTTAGGTTTCAAGGAGCTTAATTCATACCACTACCTATATATTTGGCAACTCCAAGATTATAAATATGCTTCATTATAGAAGGTGCAAAGTTTCCAATCATTATTTTCGACAATTCCATCCAAATTCTCTCAGCTGCAATTTTTTCCAAGCCGCTAGCTGTTTCTTTAATAACATCAAGTATTTCAACAACATGCTTATTTTCATCTGCTGCTATACGACCATAAAAACGGAAATAGCGCAATATCCTAAGATAGTCTTCTTTAATCCTTAGTCTTGCATCCCCAACAAATCTTACTTGACATCTTTCCAGGTCATCTCTCCCATCAAAGTAATCATATAATGTACAATCAGTATCCATGCTCATAGCATTAATGGTAAGGTCCCTTCTCTCCGCATCTAATTTCCAGTCATTTGTAAAAACAACCTTTGCCCAGCGACCATCCTGTTCAGTGTCGTACCTAAGTGTGGTAACTTCAAAATCTGAATGATTTATGTGAGCAGTCAATGTTCCATGCTCAAGGCCTGTCTCAATGTATTTTATTCCATTTTCATTAAAGACAGCTTTCATTTGATCAGGTGTAGCATTGGTACTTAAGTCAACATCTTTGCAAGGTATGTTGAGAAGCAAGTCTCGTACAACTCCACCAACAAGACGGATATCATAGCCACTGTCTTGGAAAGCCTTTGTCAGTTTCAGCAACTCTGGTGATAGAACATCTTTCAGGTATGATGAGTGCACTTTTTTTCTTGAATAATTTTCATCTGATGACATGTTCACCACGACTTGTTTTATAGTTCTAGCGCCGATATGCCTTGGGATACACAAGTGACTACACCAAAAAGAATATTAATGTCATATCTGCTATTAGACAGTTTAAAGAAAACAACGAGCAACAGCCAACAAACAGCCTAAATTTTAACACACAAGATAACTAGACTTAAATTTAATTAATACTCCTTCTTTACTCTTAAGTGTCATTTTAAACAGCAGTCTGGTGTTCTTAGATAAGAGTTTTCCTTACTTGCGAAAGCTCCTTGCAAACCCTAACATCAAATTGTACAATTGAAAAAGTTCTCGCAGGTGTATAAATATAACATTGAACAAAAACATACAGTAGCTTTCGTTTTGACGTTTTCTTAGCTGTTTTCTCAAATTAGCTCCCATCCCCCCGTTTAACAAAAAGCAGTAAAATATATTTCTAGTTTGCTACCTTAAGTTGCCAGGAATATTTTTATTGCCTCCATCTATATCACATAGACCAACCAGACAACTTATAATATGCGGGATCAAATAAATACTTTCGTAATTCAAAATTGTGAGTGAGAGATTTTAAATAGTGATATTGCCATCATGTTGTTTGCGGAGGATGTCGCTCTGCCGGGGGGTTGTAGCAAGGCTCTAAGAACTAGCAAGCATCAAAGTTATTTAAAATGGCGAGCGTTGTTCAGTTCAGTGCTCCGATAATCCGACGAAATCGTCCTGGAACAAGGGCAGAGGTACATTTTAAAGTTTCTACCATGTCAAAGCTAAATGGTTATGCGTTGCTAAGTTCTTATACAAAATTGAATGTTCATAAGAGGTTATTAGAACTGAAAATATGAAGACTCGCGACTCCGTCACTCCGACGACTTGAGTAGACTTTACATCAACAAATACAATTAGCTCTGAAAATTTCTTGATTAATTAATTTTTCCTTTGTCAGTCAATCCATTGGCTTACTGAGATCGTTATTTGTGGCGCGAGTCTGGAATTCATCCCAAGTTATTCAAATAGAACAGTAGCATCTATGCAGACTAATGACTATACTATGCCAGACTGCCAGTTTTGTTTTATCATTTCTGTTACATCTTTTAAAGGCTTCGTCAAAACAATAACCCCTTTTTAATTGATGTTTGTCTTATATTTCTTCAAACCGAATGGTTTAAAATTCAATTGTAGTTAGAATAAAAGAAAGCTTTTGCGTAGATAAAACTTTATAGAAGTAGAAATAATGGTAGAAATAGGCATAGTAAAAATGGGAAAATGAGGAGTAGGTCTTTTGACTTTTTTTTGTTGCCAATGACAATACCTTATTTGCAAGCATGTCTACTGAAGCCCATATACAACAGCATCTCACAAACACTGCTTTCTTCCTTTGCTCCTAAAACAAAATTGTATCTTGAAAACTTCACCCAAATCACCACATTCTGTATTCTCTTTGTGGAATTCCCTTTACAATTTCTACTTTTTTACAATGTTGATTGCAATGCTTTTCTCTTTCTTCATTCCCACAACTTTTTTCATTCTTTCTTTTTTTTCAGATTTAATGAAGCATTCATTCTACCATTAACATTTTATGCAATTTAGCTTGCTGTTTTGTTTTCTTGACATGTGTACATGAAATCATTTGTAAAATCATTTTTGTCTTCTCCCTTTTTTGACTGTCTTGAAATGGAATTTTGATTTATATAGTCATGTAAGTCTGTTTGAATGCATTATAAACCAATTGATGCAGCAATATGTATCAAATTTTTTTTGATAACCTTTACGGCTATCTAAATGCAATCCACAGCTGAATTTTTGCAAGTTTGTCCGCGGTCTTGTACTTATATCAGTTAATGCATAATATACACGAAATACATACCCTATTTTGCACCGATTCTGCCACTTCATGGACCATTTACATTTATAATTCTTCATCTAGTACCATCACTGCTGTCGTCACTCACCTTAACAGCCATCATGAAAATCAGTACACCTAGCTACTATGAATCATCATGACTTTTATTTTGCTTTGTTATACCCTTCACACCAATAGTCTGCTTTTTTCTTCTATCTCACTTCTTAAACATAGCCCACACATTCACCTTCATCTTGATCAGATCGGTCAAACAGCTCATTAGTCTTCCCATAATTTTTACTAAGGATCAGCACTTTCCTGTTTGTAATGTATTAAGGCAAAAGTAGTAGTTTTAAATTGACGATCAAATTTTTCATGAAAACACTCTCTGAAGATACAAATGGTGTCATAACATCTTCTCCATTAAAATGTTTGAAATTGGGGTTATCTATATTAGTGATACCATTATGAATTTCTTTGGAGGTTTGTGCACTTTGTTGAAACTGTGAAATTTCCTACTTTAGGCTATGTATGACTGGCCTGATGAACCTTTTGAAGAAATGGATAGTACATTAGCTGTACAACAGGTATGTATACGTAGTAGCTACGTTCATACCACATATTTTGCGTAATTTTTCATATATTTTTGTAATACATTTATGATGCACGTGATAAATGGCAAATTTCTATTATACGTACTTCGTCATTTTCTAGTACATTCAGCAACTAATTAAATCAGATTTTGAGAACATATCGTTGATACTTGAGCCACCAGAAGGTCAGGATAAGGGTGTATGGAAGTATGAACATTTACGGTAATTTTATTCAACTGTCATTATTATCTATCGTTACCATACTTAACACATGGATAGTTAGGCAAGCATGAGCAACTTGGCACAGGTGGCTCTTATTGCTTGGAGTCCAGTCCCCTCAGAAACACTTACATCCTGGACCTGACCGCACATACTTGCACCTCATGATATCGATGGGAAAAATTCTCAGAATGCTCAGCTTACAAACGAATGCGTTGAATAATAATCAGTTCACTTAGCCACTCGGTCCCAGGCCGTTACCTGCTCCTCTTATCAACTTTCGTTACTGTATAACTTCATTAAAAATTTCAACAAACTGAATAATGAATAATCTAAAAAAAGAAAATTCCAAATTTATAGTATAATGTGATATAATAAGTGACGGATTTTGCTTTGGTCAAAATTATAGTTGCTCAATTTTTTAATTTAAAATACCTTGCTAACAACACTGTTGGTTTTTGCAATTGCTAAAGAAAAGACTTTTTCCAATCGAGTTGCCTCGAACATTTTTGGAAAAGTAAATATATCAAGAAATGCACAGCAGTAATTTATATTGAGCCCCCCTACATCCTCACCTGATATAATATTTTGTAGTTTGTCTTTTCAATGTAAAATATCAACTTTTTCTAACCCTATTATAATGTGTAGCAATAAAGGAACCATACTTAAAATTTTAACAGTAAATTTTTGCTCGGCTTCTAATCGTACAATTGAACTTCTAATTATTACGGTTACCGTGCATGCAGCCTTTTAAAATCCCATGTGCGAAACTTTTTCAAATAAGACAAAGCAGATAATCCTTTAAAATAAATTAGGTGTTTCTTTATTCGCCTTGTATAACCGTTATTTATTTTACGTGAAACCATGATAGTGAGGTGACTTAGCGCAGGCCCCAGGGACTGTTAATAATTTCCTAGCTTTGAGTACATTTAATCACTAAGTTGCCTCACTACCGCGATTTTACTTATAATAAGGCGCTTTTTAGTTAACTGATGCTTCTCTCTCACTCTGTCAAAATTTTTATCACAGACAGTTTTGCCTTCAACTGAATGACTTGACAGTGAAATTGCAACGTGAGTGTTTACCTGATGTTTGCACCCAAATGACAGCCACTGAACAATGGATCTTTCTTTGTGCTGCCTACAAAACTCCAAAAGAGGTGTCGTTATTAAAATCATGTAATTGTTTCTTCGCTTTGTGCGTCTTTCATTCAATTGCGCATCTTTTGAATGGCTCCAGTTTTCAGTTAATCGTTTGTGGAATTTGCATATTTTATTTTTAGTGTCCCGCCCTTGACTACACTCGGCACACGTTGGATGGAGCGGCTTCATTGCTGAACAGCAATAAATATTTTCCCAGTAGGTACGTATTGACAATGTTTTCAAAATCTTTTTTTTTCATCTACAGTGTAAAATGTTTAAAATGTATTATTGCATCAAAATCAAATCATTTTGTCACTGATAAATGCCGACATTGTTGTGTTAAAAAATGTTCGGTGAACATTTTCCATGATCCAGTCCCCCATATTACTGATGTCAGTAATATTACGAATGAGTTGGATCACTTGGATGCTTGCAATACAAAGCCTTTTTTATAATAATAAATTTGTTTGAGCACTTTTAAACCGCAATCTAACCACTAGAAAACCTTTAAATCATTCGTTTATCTTCCATCTTGACAATTGACATCCATTCAATTTAGAGTAACCATAAAAGAATCATCAATATCAAAGCTGGGGTCCGTATGTCGCAGAATCTATAGAATATTTTCTCATGCTTACTATCACCACCGACGATTTATGATGAATTTGAGGTTAGTACCTTTCCTGTTCTACTTCAGTGATGATTTCCAAATTCGTTTGCATTTGTTCATTATATCCATGCACTGCTCATTATATCCATGCACTGCTCATTATATTCATGCACTGCTCATTATATCCATGCACTGCTCATTATATCCATGCACTGCTCATTATATCCATGCACTGTTCATTATATCCATGCACTGCTCATTATATCCATGCACTGCTCATTATATCCATGCACTGCTCATTATATCCATGCACTGTTCATTATATCCATGCACTACTCATTATATCCATGCACTGTTCATTATATCCATGCACTGCTCATTATATCCCTGCACTACTCATTATATCCCTGCGCTGTTCATTATATCCATGCACGAAACATTGTTGTATGCACAAGAGAATTCCTTGGTAATTCAAATCCGTGCTGAGACAGTACTTCATTATTAAAAAAGTTAATACTTTAATAAACTTTGTGTTAGTTGTATTTTACCTGCTATCGTAAACATATGATTGTTTATCTTCAGCGTAAAGTTTTGTACAGTAAAGTAATCCTGTATTAATGGTTGCAACCATCCCCTTGAGTAAGAGAACAATGGAATGCTCGCCATGTTGGATGAAATTTGCATTGTAAATAAGGAATGTCCTTTGTTAAAATCATCTAACATGGCGGCTATTACGTAGCTTGCAACCGAAGAATTGCTTATTCAGTATACTTTTATCTTATATACTGAAGAAACAATTTAATCTTTTTTAAATTTATTTCCAGGCAAGCACAAACTTATGTCGTCGCTTTACTGCGTTTGTTTTAAAGTACGAACTAATGGCGCAAGAGAGTCTTATTGTGCCTACAGATCAAAACCGAACAGAGATAAGTAGCACCTTACAGACTGGAGTGTAACCTTTTCGGGAAAAATGCATCAACAAATATTTTACTATAAATTAGATTTATTGGGGCAGAATTATCATGCAGAATTAACTTTAATGAAAGTGTTCGTCAAAATATGTCGATAATAGACTTGTCAAATAAACTTTCTTAAAATACCTAAATATTTATTGGCATATAATGGCTAACATATAAACGAACTAATATCAACAACATGGCGGGTGTGGCTAATTTGGAAAAAATTTTCCAACAATGACGAACACAGGGAATTTTTATTCCTGTTTTACGTAGCTGCATTTTTCATCTCGTTCCACGGGGTAAAAAAATGAATGAAAATAATATTCTATCTAAATGAATAATTCTGCTGAAAGATTTTTGTAGCATAGGATTTAAAGTTCAGGTTTATCTTGTAACTACTGACTTTGAATAATCTTGAAGAGTTTGGAAAGCAGCGTATCTCTGTTAGTAACTCTGCTACTTTCGAGGCAACTCTTTTGGGACGCTACTGCTCAAACTTATAAATTCCAGATGTAATTGTTACGCACGCAAAAGCTACTTAAGCAGGCGAGGTAACCTTTATATAGCAAGTTCTTCACTCTGTCGTCCAAATGATCGTAATAAAGTTAGCTAATCTTAAAGCTCTCGTCGAGCTCTTTCCAATGAGCTAAAAGTCATCGCCTTAACTCGGAGATAGAATCTGCGCATGTGCAATGGGATTTCCGTGCATATGCAGTACTATCTCCTAAAGTATTGAAGATACGGCGATGATCTGTAGATGTTTGTGGATATAGATCGTCCAGGTTAGTAGAGTCATTAGAAAGACTGTTGTTGTTCATGTTGATTGACGTTTTGAAAACCTTAGCGGTAGTCATTTTTAGAGTCCAAAAATATATATATGTATATATTATTTTTTTTGACTCTGAAGATGACTACCACTAAGGTTGTCGAATCGTCAGTCAACATCAACAACAACAGTCCTTCTCAGGACTCTACTAACCTGGGCGAAAAACATGATGTAACGATACTCCCGGGTTCAAACCATTTACTTTGTAACCTATATATCTTTGTTTTTGAAGTATATTTTCACTATTTGGATGGAAATTAAATTACATGTCATCTTAGTACACTAAGATATGTGAGGCCATTTACATACATAACATCACCAATAAAGTCACGCGACTTTTGATTATCTTAACGGATAATCAAGACGATGCAAAAAATCAGAGGGCAAAACTATACCTACGACAGTGTACGTCAAAGTTTGATCAGACATGATGTTCTTATGCGATAGTCTGAACCCTTTCTGAAAAACAGAATATATTTTTCGTCACGACTTCTATGGTCATTCCATCAAGTAAGTTGCCGACAGAGTTATTGAACTGCAATTTATATCGATTTATGTAGACTACATTAATATTTGATTATTGATACGTAAAAAGCGAAAAAGTATGTTATATGGAAAAATAAATGAATTATTTTAGAAACAGTTTCTCCAAGTTTTCCACTGGGAACTCGATGACAACAGCTAGAATGTAGCCTCCAGCAAATGATAACACGACTGACGCCAAGAAATAATATACCTAAAGATAAAAATGATTACAACAAGATCAGCAAGTTTTGCAAATATAACAAAGAGCAACAAAGGAACTGGTATAGAGTGTTTTCACCAGATATCATAGCCGCCATTTTGGGGTAAAAATTGAAAAGAATTTATATTAAGTTCTTTAGTTTGGGCCCTCAAAATGGCTGCTAAATCTATTGTTTAGTTGATCCCAATGGAACGAGTGAAAACGCTTTATAACAAACCAGTTTGTACGAATGGGGATAACAAAAGTTGACGACATACCGTAAATGCAATGCTGTAATGCATAGAGCCATTTGCTGCATACAACATGTAGTGAATAACGATCATATGAATGAGGTAAACAGAGTAGGTCAATCGGCTGAGTGGGATCCAGAATCTTGCAGACAAGAACTCGTTAATGTAACCTGAAAAAGTTTTCTTTTGAGTATGTAAATACATTTTTTGATTAGCTTTATGACATGTATGACATCTAAATATATGAACATTTTCGATTGATATTTTCATAAATTTTCTGTTATGTTTCCAGAAATTACATAAATCCTGCACTGATCTCTCTATTCATTAAATACATACTCTTTTGCCTAGCCTGGAAAGCGCAGGGACTGGACAATCAATATGATACTACGTGCATTCAAAGATAAAACAATCTCAAAGATTTGTTATTGTCCAATCAATATCTCATTGTCTAAGCTTTGTGTGGCCAGCATCAGGAGTTTTACAAATAAATTACGTAAAGCAGATTAGCTTCATCGGAGTTGACTCTTCGTTCATGTTTGGAGACGGATTAACATTATCATATGTGATGGCAACTAAAATGCATTAAAATGCCAATCTTACTTCCGTAACCAAAGTGACAAGCATAGGTAACCCATGCAACCGCCAGTCCCCAGAGGAGTCGCTGAAGTGTTCCAAAGACAATTTCTCCTCCCCGAGTCCATTCATTTTCACCACGAACTGCCGACTTGAATGGCCCATATACCATTGTCATAGCAACGGCAAATGCCACGCACCAGCCGGTGATTGCAATTAACTAAATTACCAATGTTAAAGTGAAAACAACCATTGTGCGAGGTCACTAACAAAGTGTTGGAGGCTAGCCCTAATATTTGAGGCCAATTCGTCAAAAGTTCAGGGTGATTGCTTTATTGAAAGCTGGGCGATTTGTCCAAGTAAGTTAAGGAAATATCAGGTCAATCGTTTTTATCTATTCAATTATATGTCATCTACTCATAACGTATAAAAGGTTTCAACGATGCACCAATATCAACAACAGCAAATATGAGCAACCATTTAACCACAATGTTGGCAAAATTGAATGGTGAATATCACCTACAGTCCCACTCCCTTCGCTCATTTGATGTAAATTGTGAAGTATACACAATGGATGATGTATTTTTATGAACTTACCCAACCGTGTTTTTTAAAGGGGTTACGGTATTTCTTGTAGATGACGTAACCAATGATAAATCCCACCAGATAAGGCTGAATGCGACAGTACGGTTTACTATACTCATATTTGTTGTATTCCGCTCTTTTTCTCTGCCTAAAACATTTAAACGCTTGCTTAGCAGTGAAACTTATGAATAGGATGTATTAAGTTTTGTTTATAGTTTTTTAAACAACTGTACAACCACAAGCAGATTTTTGCCGCTTACGTCTTGACACGAAAAGATGTTTGAATTTCGTTTGTCACTACATCAATGCATCCGCTAGTTTGTACTCAAAAAAACGTTTGAAACTTCAAAATAATTCATTTACCCATCTTCAATTGGTCGAAGGGATTTGAGAACTATTAAAGGATCCACGTCATAACCAACATAGATTGATGGAATTGTTATTGTGCTTATTGCCATCAGTGCACCAGTTCCTGCAAATAATCCTCGCCATCCAAATCTAAAAATACAATTATAATATTTTGAAAAATGTATCAACACCATCAAGGTTTCAGGATCGATGCACAATATAGTTTTAGTCTCTATTAATGGCAGACGTCGACTTTTATCCAAATGTTTTAATGTTGTCAAATACAAACTAAATAGCCAATCAAATCACGCGTTGCATACACAATATACGAATTGCGGAAAGTGGAGTACTAGAAATCATTCTTATACTAGTTGTAAATTCATTATTGGTACAATAAACTCCTCGGCGTAATCAAGTTAGTTTTGTATTCAATCGTCAAAACTGATTTTTGCAAAACATTCAATTTTTTAATTGACATGATAGTGTTAAGTGTATATATCCTAAAGATGTGTCGAAAGAGTTTAAATTCAAACTTTGGTCGATTACTGGTCGTTTGACACTTGAGATGAAAATGCTCTACATAAAATTGAGAAAATACAATCATTTTGTCCCCGTACACTTACCTGTACGCCAAAACTATAAGTATCGGTGAAATTACGTAGAATTGCATATCATTTGCTAAATACCAAACCCATCCAATGCACTAGAAATACAATTTGGAAATGTAGAACTTTTTAATACACAATTATGTTAAATAGAACTATGTTATATAGCATTATGTTGTGCTGTCAAACTGTATTATTTAAGAAATAAAAGATGTTTACTGTGTTTGCACAGGCTTATGCAAACCGAGGAGACCTTTGGGAGAACTCGAGAGCAGATCAGTGCAAGCCCGAGACCGAAGGTCGAGGGTTACACATGCTCGAGAAAATGCAAACATGCAACCGAAGGTCGAGGGTTACACAATAATGCGAAAAAAGACAAACATTTTAATTTTTCCTCTATAATTTATTCATGATCGATTTGCAAATTCTCTTTGACTGATTGATTGCTTAGATTGATAAAATTGGTTGAGCTCAGATGTGTTTTGCACTGGCTGATGCAAACTCAGCTCTTGACCAATCAGCGCACGCGTTTCATTGTGTTTATTTTATAAATAGAATTGTGTTATATAGAGTTGTGCTATATAGAACTGTGTTAAGTAAAACTGTATTATAAAGAACTGCATGTGTGTTACATAGAACTGTAAAATAAAGATTTTGTCTTGATGACAAATAAAAAAATCATTTTAAAAAGAGCAAATAACGTGGCGAATGGTTAAATTAATAATATAATAGTTCTTAAAAGAACTGTTTAAAACCAGAACACTAACCCAATAATTCTAAAAAAACTGTTTTTACAGCTAAAAACACTGTGGATGATGAGTGGTCAGCCGAAATGCACAGTGTCTTTTAGCTTTGAAAACAGTTCTTTTAGAATTGTTGGGTTTGTGTTCTGGTTTTAAACGGTTCTTTTATATTATTATTTCAACCATTCACCATAGTATTTTTAAAACGATTTTTTAAAAAGAACTGTTCATGCAAAACTGTGTTGTGCAGATCTGTCATAAAACTGTGTCATATAGCAAACTGTGTTATGTAGAACTTTGTGTGTTGTATATAGAACTGTGTTGCATATACTACTTTGTTGTATCGAGCTGCATTTGCTATGTTGAACTGTGTGTGTTGTATGTAGAACTGTATTGCATATACTACTTTTTTGTATCTAACTGCATTTGCTTTGTTGAACTGTGTGTGTTGTATGTAGAACTGTGTTGCATATACTGCTTTGCTGTATCGAACTGCATTTGCTATGTTGAACTGTCTGTTATTTGCGCATTTTTCTCTTGTGATCGTGAAAGCGTCGACTTTGAACTTTTATTCACCTGATCGTTGAACTCTTTCGGATAGAAGTTATTGATGTACAACATATTTGTCCACCACTTATCTTCGCAATTTTTCTCTTTGTATAAACTCAACCATGTAGGTGAATCAGATAAGATTCCTTTGATATGAACCGCAAACAGAACAACGAACATTAGAGACGGAGTTAATCTGTTAGACATGAGAAGAAGTAGTCGGCTTGCTCACTGTACATATAAGTATATAATTTTAAAACTTGTGCTAATAACTATGATTTACCTTAAATATCTGTGGAGGTAAAACAATCCCCAATTAACTTTGCCTTGAGTTCTTTCCATTTTTCTCAAACATGTATATGCAACGAGAAGTCCACTAAAATAGACAGTTAGCACAATGCACTTAATGGTTTATGAGAAGTTCACTAAACTCAGTTTAGTACCATGTAATGCATGGTTGAATAAGTAGTTCACTATTAAGAGGTCAAGTAAACACCATGCAATGATTGGTTAACGAGAAATCTGCCGTAAGCGCTCATGCAGTATAAACACAAAAATAGTTGGTGAGAAAATGTACTAGCTAATTTTTCTTCCATTTATAAAAACAGTCCTTTTATGATTGAGAGCAACACATCCATCCGTTTTTTTTGACCAGAATAATACTGAATCTATCCAAGCTTAACTTTTTGGTTCAAGATGTTATACACGTCTTGGCGTATTAAAAAACTATACGTACCTTAAGAAAAAGAAACTGTCTACAGCAAAGTAAGCATTAGCGACGGCCATTACAGTGACAGACTCAGCTTGGCGAAGGAACTCCTTTTTGTTTGCTAAAGTATTAAATTATTTTACTGTCTACATACTTTATAATGTGAAAAACGTGATTTATTTTCTTATGTGCATCAGTTATACAAATAAAAAAAATGCGACCTATAGACTGCTACGACAGTATAATTATGAAAATAACTTGTAGAATAAGTAGCCATAGTAGCTAATAATTTATTAACGGGAGTTTAGTGCTGCTTGGAAAACTTACTGAGTAAAAGTTGGTGATGCTGTAAAGATACACATGTCCCAGGATAATCCAGAAAATACTGATCACTCTTATACCATTAATGGATGTAATAGCAGCGCTTGAAACACTCGTGTCGAAAATTTTCCTTGTGTTCCGTTGGAGAGAAAAACATAAGAACACCTCCGCAGTTTTCGCTAAAATGAGAAAGCAAAAAGTTTTTCATATTTTTCATATTTTTAAAGTTTTTCTCACTCTTTTTTTATCTTTGTAACAAAATATAACGTTCATAACCATTAGACAGAATGGTTATTGATTTATAAAATCATTTATTCTGTATGATAGAAATTCCCAAGAGAAGATATGTCTGGATACACTTGTGTATAATTACTTATTTTTATGCATACTTTAAAATTCTAATTCCATTAGGCTTGTTTCAAACGTCGCATTTTACATGCACCGAATGCGTTTAAAATAAAAGAAAATGAGATAAAATTCCTCATTAGCTTTTGTTTTAAATGCATTCGCCTCATGTAAAATGCCTCTTTAAATTGGCCTTAAATTCTAATGCTATGACTTATATTATAGCAACCTCGTTCTCAGGCTCTTTAATTTGAAAGCTCCTGGGAACGAGGTTGATATTATAGGTGGATGTGAAAAAACCAAACTTTAGTTCTTTAAAGATCTTACTTTAACTATGAAATTATTATAACTTCCAATACTTATGCTAATTTAAACCGCGATTTTTTTATAAATAAACGACCCAAACATTGTTCATATTGCAGTACGATGATCGCTACATACAAGAAATTTCTTAAAATGTCAACTTTAATTTGAACAATTCTGAAATCTCCATACATCTTAAAATTGTCGTCATTTTACGATCGATTGCAACTGCGTCTTCTTGCTGCGTCCATTTACCATTTGCTTTCATCTCAAAGTCCCCCTCTGCATCGGATAATATTCCTGTTTCTTCAACAGTTTTGTGATGCTCCGAATAGCATCTAGTATGCTTCCGATCAAGCATAGAAGCATCAATACACCACAAAATGCACTGCGTTGAAACAAATAATCAAAAAAATACTGCCGTTAGAAATATGCAAGAACAAAACGGTGCAGGACATTTTTTATGTGACGTCCTACTTTATATTTTACTGTTACATGCAATCTGATTGGCTGCACAAGCGGTCTGTATGAGACCGTTTGTCGGGCGTTGACTTACGCTACGCTATTTTTAACCGCTCATCAAAGAAACCGAAGATTACCAAACAGCAAATAACAAAAATCTTTATTATTTACTGATTTTATCAGTCCTATATAAGGACGTACGTTCTCTTTGTATCTGCTCAGTTTAATTTTGCGTGATACTATTTTGCCGACTTGATTGTCTAAAACTAATAAACTCAATGTCATCTAAAATTACGAATGCCAAAGAGTATTTTAGTAAGACACAAGACAATAGACACTCCGTATATTAAGTGTCTATTGTCCTATGTACAGACTTACGCACGTATAAAATTAATTTCTGTTTTTTTTCGTACATTGTCAATTTAGTGCCAGTGTCATATCCCGGTCCTTTGATACATTTGGTGCCGTATTCATATACTTCCACGGCTTTGTCTGTGAGTTCAGAGACTGAAAAAAGAGATCAATACGCGCGCATGTCACAGTTGTACTGAGCTTGTGTCCGAGGTCCGAGCCAAAAATCGTGGTTACTGGGTACATGTTGGGACATTTGCATTTCAACAGTTTAAGCAATTTTATTTATTTGCAAACATTAAGTATTTTATACTAGACCAGCCATGTTTCCAGGTATCTTGGGAGGTCTTAGGCCTTTCATCGCTAGTTTAAGGTTTGGCTGGCCTGCTTTGCCATTGTTCCTCTGGTGTGAACCAACGCTTACCAAATGTTCAGTGGTTTTGTCTTTATATCATTAATGGAATCACAATGAATTTAGCTACTAACTTTAAACTTACCTTGATTGGTCGCAACCTTAAGAATGGCAGAAGCATTATCCGAAGTGCAACTTTGTGGAAAGCAACCTGTCCAGAATATGGCTTGCATGTTCTGAAAGAAATTAAGTGTATAATAAACTGATTCTACGACAACAATTTCCACTCTGCGCGGTGAGAAAAAATTGAAAAAAGTGAAAATCGATTTTCTCAAACATGCAGTTCATGTTTATCCTGAGTAAATGATGTAAATTACATCGTACATGCAATTTATCCAACTGGTGACACGATGCTATTTACACAACCAACTTCCCATGCCTCATCACATGCCAAATTAAATGTATGTTTGTTATGTATTTCGTAGTAGTAAATGTTTAAAAGTGTGTTTATGCAGTGAAATTTGCACGCACTTTTGTGTTAAATAAATATTCGGATATTTGCAAGCAATTTGATATATTTATGTCTATTTTATGTTGAATGGAAGTTGACTAGTTTCATCTCCAGAAATTTTCCTTTTGAGCGAATATTTTTGGCTGCCATCATGTTTGAAGAGCAACATTTCTGTGCGTACATTATTGAATCTAATGAAAAAATCTTATGTCTGAACATTGACAATTTCCCTTACCAGTTTCAAAAGTGGAATTTGTAATAATAATAACGATCCACAAACATGAGCATTTTCTATGTCGTATTCGCATACTTCGTGTGCACCACCCCAATAATTGTTTCCTTCAGTCAGTCCACTGTGAGGTTTTCCAGCAGCGTCAATATCTAAAAAAATATTTTCATTTCAAGCGATGGTGTAAAATCCTCTATTAAGTGGGAAATCGATGTGTAAAATGGCGTAATTTTTAACGGTAGACAACGAGACTTGATTAAGTTGATTGCAAAAAAACAACTGTTATTTTAAATTTTCAATGCAGAGCTGCGAAATAGATGAAACCTGATGCAGGAAAATCCAATAATAAACAACCAATAGTATTATATATTATCTCTTATCGACGTTAATCGACTTAACTTGTCACATCATATTTACAAGAATGTTGAATCAACTTGATTGATATTGCTTCAGACGTTTTAGTATTTGTAGCAAGTGAGTATTTTGGAGTGTGATTTGGAAAAGAGGCTATTTTAGGAAACGTAAACCGTTGCATAACCGTACAATATTCGCCAAGGGTGACCGCGCTTTTCACGCTCTGAATATAGACGCGACTGCATACCTTAAATTTTTAGTTTTGCATGATTTTTGTGTGGAAACTGCAAAAAATCTGTTTGTTGTAGCAGCCAATTGTGCAAGATAGCGGCTAAAGCGTCGCCAAGATGATGAGGGAGTTAAGATGTGAAGTAGAAATGAAAAAATGGGCTTTGAAATAAGATGGAAAGCGACACACATCATATTGCGTGCAGTATGCAGTTTTCCTAAGCCGACAAGTTTGTACTGTATTACTTTCTTATTCATTGCGTGAGCGACTATTTCAATTCAGCCTCAAAAAGTACTTCTTCATACATGTACAAATAGTACAATCCCTCTCAAATATAAACTGTTTAATTCTCAATTATACTTACACTTCACCATGACGGCAGTTTCATTTGCGATCATTTGCAAGTCTTTACCACATTGCCCGAGGTTTAAACTTTTTAGATTGTTCATTACTGAAGTAGTGAAGAGAGACAAGGGATTCATCGCACGAAACGATTGCGAGATGGCTTTTAGCAGTTGTGCATTCTGCGATGCACTCTGTGTCGAAGAATTCAGCTTCTTTAGGAGATCAAAAAAGGTTGTGTTGCTCAATTGATCCATCAAATTCGTAAGAACAACATTAGGATTAGGAAAAGTTCCAGTTGGGGATTCTGTTGTTGTTATTCCTACATCTTGTGCTGTTGTAACGTTGGTATCGGAATACCCAAAATATAGGAAGCACAATGCAAGGAACCATGACGTTCTTAAAATGATGTGAAACATTGCCATGTTGGTGATAATCCAAACTAACGTAAATTAAGATAATTCCCTGTAATTAGTATTATTGTAACTTGATTCCAAACGTCGTGAAGCTTTTGAAATTGACGAACGTAAAATTACCTCCACAGACGTAAAGTTAAAATAACAAGTTACAATCATACGATACTGGCTTTGTTAAACTCACGCTTACGGTTTACCTTCTTTGGCTTACGGTTTACCTTCTTTGGCTTACGGTTTACCTTGTTTGGCTTACGGTTTACCTTGTTTGGCTTACGGTTTACCTTGTTTGGCTTACGGTTTACCGGAAGTTCTGTTCACCGCCAAATTGCAATATTGAAGTCACTGATGCGTTGTTGGCAAACATACGGCACTGGAGGTTTTCGCAAATGATACCCAAAAATCGTTAAAGATAAAAAACCCATCCGAATGAAAACTATGTTGAAAAAGAAAAAACAATATAACTTGATACATAACTTATTTGCCAACATACATCTGAGTACGTGTCATACAAAGCATTTCCACATTGAAGGAAAAGCTGTGGAAAGATGGTCGAACTTCTGGATTCTGATACAACTTGCTAGTCATATTTTGTATCAATCGCCCGTATTCTAAAGGCACCCTCACACTTATTCGATAGAGCGTTATTTTTATGTCGCACTCGATGAGTGTGAGTGTGAGGGAGTTTTTAGAATACGGGCAAATATTGCGATGGAAATTGCTGTGTTGCAATTTTGTGGTGAACAGATCATCTGTTTTGAGTGTAAATTTATTGAGCGTTGAGCAAGCAGCACTGAAATTTACGACATAAAATATATTTTACATATGGCGTTCACTATAGACACTCACATCAAATACTTAGTCAATGCAGGGCAACGCAACGATCGAATCAACAAAAAAATTCTGCTTTGATACCCTAACCTCATTCGATTGGTGCAGACGATGAAGTACGTAAAGAACACGTGATTTATAAAGCGTTTATTTTATTCACGTAATTTCGCCACAGCTCACGAGAACGATTATACATCTATACGTCTAATTAACCTAAACTACTCTACTGCTTTCCTAGAGATTTTCAGAATTTAGTTTTTACTGTAATCTGCTTGTGTCTTGTACAGCCTCAAGAGTAAAATTATACTGTCTATCTTGTATGTACGAAAATCAAATACGACAAAATGAGAGGAGCATCTTCAATTAATTCATTTATTGTCGTCCAAATGATCGTAATAAAGTAAACATTTCCTTTGTGCCCTAAGCTGCCGATCTTCGGCAAACGTTTTCAGTACAAGCCAATGGTACAAGCTAAAATTTGTCAAAATTGCTAATAACAATCCTCAAAAACATTAATTCCTTTAATAAAATCCATAAAAGTCACCGAAAATCCTAATTTTAAGGATAACTCATAGAAAAGCATATGGTTTGTAGATGAATTGCCAGGTGAAATTGCTCATGCATTATTTTTCTGAATTGTAGTACATTTCACTTTTGCAGCATAACCTAACATTACAAGGGCCGGTTGCACGAAGCCTGAATAGCGTTATCCATTGGATAGCAAGTTTTTTTAAACTTTTATAAAACCTTTTAGAAGGCAAAATATATGAGATTCGAACTGAACAATCACTGAAATAAAACATTGTTTCGAAGATTACAAAATCTCTTTGTCGTAAGAAAAATATAAACACCTTTACAAGTTTGAAATTCTTGCCATCCAATGGATGACGCTATCCAGACTTCGTGCAACCGACCCCAGACAAAGAACCAATTTTAGGAAAGGTGGAATGGCAGCTGCCCCACCAAGATTTCTCCTCTCTATCAAAACAACAATGATTATTCAATTGCCTTTAAAGAGATTGTCACATCACTTCATAAAATGATTAACTTGATGCTACATTCAAACCAACATACAGACTGTGCTGTAGAACTAACAAAATAAAATATGGATGTCAAGGCTACAATTTTTGTGATTGATCTAAGTTTGGTTGGAAAATTTAATAATGTCTTCAAGTGGTTTAGGTTGGCAACTTCTGTAAAATTACCAATGAAATACCACTTCTGAATTCACAATTTTTTAGAAATATTTTAAAAAGAAGTAAATCTCAAAAGAACACACGTGCCTATTTTCTATTACAATGGTCCACCAACTAGAAATATTATTTCGACTTTTATTTAATTGACAATTGAGATATTTCATTGATCAAAATCCAAACTACAACAATAATATTCACTCTAACTATTACCCATAAATTATACGTAGTGTTCATAAACCGTTGTTATACTTGTCAATGGAGTGAATAATGCAAAAATTGACTGCATTTTCGCATAACATATGTATAAAAGATATCGTGTATTTTAGGGTACAATTATTCCTTGTGCAATTTCTCATAGTGTGCAATGTTTCATTTACATTAACCCTCTAGAGGCCGTTGTTGCTCACAGGCAACAATCACCAAATGAGATGTGTACAAACTTTTGAAAAGGCACGGCGCTTAGAGGGTTAAATATGAAAAGTAAAATTGTTTCATCACAGTGGCGTGCTGGAAACGAAGGGGTGAAGGGCCAAGTCAAGGAAGGTCCGGAGGCATGCCCTCCTTAAAAAAACACTGAAATGCTAGTTCCTGGACTTTGGGAGAAGAAATTAAGATATGTATATCATTTCAAATAAATCTCAAAACCAAAATACAATGCTACGTATTCATTTCTGCAACCTCTCCCCCCCAAGAATCAACAACTGGAGAAGTGGCCCCAAGCCAGCACGCTACTGTTTTGTTATGTTGCATATTATCTTATGACCTACTTACATTATACATAGCCTCTTAAGCCTGGTTCTTATATAGTCGTCCGAGTCATTTGAGTCGTGCCAAAACTTCACAGACGACTCTTGCGACTCTATGAAAACATTTCAGAGGTCACCAAGATAACTTCAAATGACTCACACGACTGAAACGACTAGGGTCGCTAGGATAGAACTTTTTTCTATCCGGACGACCGAAACGACCGTTGAGAAATGCAAGCGACCTCTTTATGGCACAAGACGTTTTGAAGAAGCAAATATAACTTCGTCTTTTATAAACAGCAGCTGCCATTTTCAAATTTTTCGCGCAAAAATCAATTAAGCAGTCTCTCGGCAGCACTAGTACGAATATATGAGAAATACGATAGCTTGAGTCGTCTCAGTCATTTTGAAAAACAACAAAACGACTCGGATGACTCAAGTGACTTAATGAGAACCAGGCTTTACTTACATTATATATAACTTCTTACTTCTGAGTGCTGTTATTTATTTATATGTGGTCGAAGGCTATCTCGGCTTGTGCACCTTTGCTATCTTATGTTATTTACTCAACTTTGTTGCTTTAACTAGTATTGAAAATATGGCATAAAAATAGATTGTTAATACACAAGCTACAACACTTAACTTAGTTAACAAACTCAATTAATTCAATTTTATAACATAAGTTAGGCTCAGATTAGTAAATACGCTTGTTTCACAGACAGACAGTTGTGTGAAACAAGGACATTACATAATTACATCAATCATAGTTATTTTGCATGGGAAATCGAGGTTCTGACCTCTCTTTGCTACCTTGCAATAAAGTGCCATCTAATAATTTTGAAAAAATAGTCATTTCTCAAAATGTAGATGGCCAGAGATTAAAGTTTACAGCCATATAAAGTAAATTCATATATCAGTAAATTTTAACTCTTAATAGTTAATGCAGTGAATCGGTAATTAGATGTCTTTTGTGCAAAACATATTCAAAATAGATTTTCCAAATAAATTTGCACTAGAAGAGTAGACGAATTTCAAACAGCTACAATATACGAAAATTCTTTTTCAAACGAAGTATATTTTACGTTAGGAAAGTTTTAGAGAGAGAATTGAATTATGTACTTTATGCAAATAACATGAAATGAACACTTTAGTGCACTTAACAATTCTTTGCAATTTTGTTTATTTTCTATTGTCCACTTACAAAAGTTTGAATGACTAGAATTGTTTTCACTCTTCAGCAGAATGAAATTTAGAGAGAGATTCTTCGTGAGCTTTGTCAGCTCTTTTTTTTTAATGTGAATTTTTGGAAAATGCATATTGTACTTTTGAAATTTGTCTACATCTTTTGTTGCACCTTTATTGCGCATATTCACCGCATAGTTTCGACACTTCAAAGTAATGGTTAAAATGACTTTCCAAATTCGGAAGTTGAAGAAGACTTTCTAACCAACTGCTAATGATCAGCCTAATATTGGAGACCAATGTCAAGGTAACCATTATATGGAGATGAAACAGTTGTGTGAGAAGTTACTCTGTGAGACGCTCGTACAACCATTCATCCTGTGTACCATGTGAAGTGATCACCATTGCACTTTGGTGATAACTCACATGTGGTATCATTATAAACATAAGAGTAAATATTCATATGTTTATTTCTGCCCGACAGATTTCTTTTGTAATAATATGCATGAAAAAAATCTCAATTCTCACTGGATTAGAACAGAACAATTTTTAGTAAAGACCAGTGAAAAAATTGGAAATACCAGTGAGAATAGTCTCGTGCAATTTTGAAAACTAGGACGCGTGAGTTTTCAAAAACTTCAAATTGCACTCGTCCTTTGGACTCGTGCAGTTTTGATAGCCTTTAAAAAACTCTCATGCATTTTTTTTCTAATTGCACTCAATACTATGCTATTATATTTATAAAGTAAAATCAATCGGGCAGAATTTAATACATGAATAATATTTACTCGTTTAAAGCAAGCATATAAAACGTAATGATCAGCCTAATATTGGAGACATGAAAACCAATGTCAAGGTAACCATTATATGTAGACGAAACAGTTGTGCAAGAAGTTTCTCTGTGAGACGCTCGTACAACCATTCATCCTGTGTACCATGTGAAGTGATCACCATTGCACCATGGTGATAACCCACATATGGTATCATATATATTGTAGCTATATGCTTAGCAGAGCAATATATATAAACATAAGCAAGCTCATAAAATAAATAAAAAAACCACATCAGCTTCGATCAACAAGTCATAAAATAAAAGTAAACAACTTTCCTTTAACCACGTGTTAATCGTTGATAACGACGGCAGGGCCTCTTCGTCTTCAAGAGTTTTCCATTACCGTCTACGAGAACGATCAAGCGCTTGGAATTTTCCAGAACTCAAAGGTTCTATATTCAACTATAAAAAAGGGTAATTTGGCGTAGTGAGAATTGATATGAATTATTAAGACATTGTGTCACGATCAATGGGCTTTAACATTGCAACCAATTATACTTTTACAGTCATCACGTCGCATAAAGACTTACAATTTGTTCATCGTCAATAAGACGATTTTTAAATTTGGAATAATATTCTTCAGTCAAGAAAAGGAGCTTGAATGATGCTAAAGTTACATCATCTTCAAAGCAACTCTTCTTTAAGAAAGCAACTCCTTTGGAAAAGCAACATCTAATTTTATTTCGTGTCGCATTACAGGACTTAACTTCACCAAGAAGATTAGCAATTCCTCGTTCAAAATCCAAAGGTGGGTTTATGGTTTTTCTCCATTTTTTATCCAACTCTTCATCTGAAAAAAAATATAGGACATGGTTCTATGATATAATTTCCTCCACAAAATCAATATATTACGCATTTACGTGAAGATCATTTCTCGATGTTCTTCGTTGTGAATATCTCTGGGATTTAATTATTGCTGCAAGACTTGTTGCACATAAGAAATTTATTGTTTCTTCTTATATACTGTGAGCGCACTGCCAAAAATCTCCCTAAGACTCCCTTCAAATAAAATCTGTAGTTTTGTCGAGCAAAATTTAGTAACTGGACAAGAAAGAAAATGTGTTTATATAGTGCAACCTTTTATCTAGCAAATTTAATTTCACGCCCTTTTGTCGTGCAAATTAAGTCCTCTTCCCATCCCCCCCCACCTAGTCTTGAAAACCAAGTTACGTCCTAGCGTTATTGCGTATTGCACAAACTTTGAGCGTTAAGGATGTGTTTTTTATTTTGTAATAAATATATGTATTTTTATTTTGTAATAAATTTTTATTTTGTGATAAATGTATCCATTCGATTATAAGCCCATTAAATGAATGTGAATAATTGAGAATATAAAATTTTCCGGCTACATATAATTAATTAATAAAGCGAAACCACGAAAATGTAAAAGAATTGATATTTAGACGGCTTAGTTCTATAAACTTTCATACGATGAATGACAAAACCTATACTGTAATTTCCTGTATTACCATTTGCAGGAAAAATCAAACAGCCGCCGTTCTAAAGTTTAAACTTACCGTGCTATACAATGTATCGTTTAACTCTTAGCGAATTCTAAAATAGTTACGACGACTTTCATGTCTAAAATAGTGATTCTGATGGGATACAAAAAGTTGCTGTGTATTGCCGCGTTGTGATGATAAAAAAGTATTTGTAAGAATCAAATTTTTCAAAGCGGCATTTGGCTCAGTAAGGAAAGCAATTGTGGGTACTGTGCAATGTACAATTTGCTTCTTCCGCCTTGGCATCCAAACGTCTTGAATGTTTTTGTCTATGTTATAGTATGTTGTGTATGTTATTTGCGACGTATATGTCTTATATTAACTCTTGGCTAAACCATTCTTGAGGTTTCTGTTTCTCCGCAACACGATTTTTTTGTGAATAAAAAGCGGCTAATCTTCAAGTACTTATGTTTTCACATTTAAATTGACATAGGTATGCAGGCATAAAGTGCTCTATACCATGATATCTAATAATCGTAGATGTCAGTCTAACTCTTCGTATAATAAAGATATCCAAAGAGGATTAATATATTGGATGTAAGTACATTTAACATTAGCTTACCTAGTTTATCCATTTGCTCTAACTTCATCAAATGCTGTTTAAAGAATATGAGTATGGATATCTTTGTCTCGTAATCGTCGACCCGAGATACCATATCATAAAGCTTTGCTTTATGCAGGAATTCCTTTAACACTGAAACGTTATTCCAAGAGAGTATCTCCCGATGCTCTAACTTTTGAAACCATTCCAATGGCTCTCCTTCTTCTAGAAGGATAGATGGCAAAGTGTCTCGAAACAAAAACTTTAAAATGCTCTTGTGTCTTTCTTTTATTTCATTGTTAATAGACAGTACAAGATCGTCATACCATTTCTTATGTGACGACGTTAATTTTTTTTTTTCGCTTCATTTTGATTGAATAAGAAATTCTGATGTTATTTTAAGACTAGGTCTGAGATGCTGAACTCCTGTGATTGCACTCTTTGATAAAAGACGTTTTAGACTTTTGTACAAGCTCAGCCTTGATGCTTGACTTGTTCTGAATTCGATATAATAAATGTTTTGTCCGTGACCTTGCGTGCTGTTCTTCAATTGGCTATAATATGGAAAGGGATTACCCTGCCTTGTAAAGCACTTTATGGAAATGCTTCAAGATCGAGCAGAGTAATTTAGATTAATATGAGAAGTTTTATTTAAGACTATTCATGTTAAAGAACTCCCCTTCTCTTCACACCCTCTTCATTAAATTTTATCACATGATCGGCAAGAGCAAACTTGTGATGTAGGTTAAGGAAGGTAAAGCTTCAAAGTTGTTATCTATCGTTGCGTGACTAACCTCTATCCTTCGTTATTGACATATAGAGCAACTGATTAGTTCGCAAACTATTTGCATATATTGTCTCCGTCTGCGACGATTTATTTTGAATTATAATTTGCTGCTAAATCGCAAACACGTCGCACACATTAAACAGAATTTCCTGTCAAAAAGTCAGCCCGGGTCATTTAACCCTGCAGGACCTGGGCTTTTTCAAAAGTTTGTACGAATTTCGTTTGGTGATTGCTGCAGTTGTGAAACAACGGGCTCTATAGGGTTAAAACGAAGAATCACGAGATGCGAGTTTTAGCAAAGTAAGTTTGAAATACTTTGCTTAAAACATTAGCAGATCATAAACTCTGAGCACTGTCAGCTCTAGATGTTTCGCAGGTCATGATTTAGAAAGGTGATCTTGAGATTCGCGCCATTTGGAATATTTATTTAGGGTCATAGTTCTTTTGGCTTCTTTTTTGTGTGGCCCGTATGTGCCATAGCTTCAGAGCTTCTCCGTAGAGAGAACTTGTTCCATGCAGATCAAGTGTCTCCGTAGAGACACCACTGTTCTCCATATAAATATAACGTTGTTTCATGGAAAATGACTTGCTCCACGCAAATGTAAAGCTTCTGATGTTGAAATGCTACTTTTCCACACTTAACCCTATACTTCTCAAATTTTTTGGTCCTTTGAATTTCGGATGGTTTACTTAATGTTGCCATACGGAAACGCTGGGAGACGATGGTTTAAACTTTCTTTACAACAGGCAAACAAATCAGAAAAATACATCGATTAACCTAAGCTACTCTTCTGCTTTCCTACGCATTTTCATACTTTAGCTTTTACTGTAATCTGCCGGTGTCTTGTACAGCCTCAAGAGTGAAATTATATAGTGAATCTTTTATGTACAAAAATCAATGCAACAAAATGAAGAGGAGAATATCCAATTAATCTATACATTCTTAAATCATAACCATATAAGAAAGATACACGCCATAACTGACTTGCAACAATACCGAAAAATTGAAAGTTGATAATAAGTTCGGAAAATAATCGCGCGTAAAAGTATTTTTATTGTGAATGTGCAGCATATTTATCGTGGGTTTTATGTAAAAAAAATTTTTATAGTGTTTTCACATGCGTGCAAAATCAATTTCTGAAACGAAAAATTTATATTCTGGGAGACCAAGATGACTTTTTCGAACATTATCAAATAACGATAATTACCATTCACAATATCATTTCTAACATAGTAGATATTTCTTATTTCGTCAGAAAGAAATTATCACAGACAATTATAATACATACTCAGTTGATACTTTATTTCTTATCTATATCATTTCTTTTTCTCTACAACTTTTATATAAACTTGCCAACTTATAGAATGAATGATCACATAGATAGCAAAGCAAAAAACGTAGTCAAAAAAGCAATCGGATCGTTAATAAAATAACCAGAGCTATTGATATACAAAATATTCCTAATATCATTCTCACACGAAGATAAAAGTTAGAGTTAGTCAATTCATAGTGTATCTTTTCTACTTGTTTCAAGGTTTGATCACGTAAACCAGAATTATCTACAACATAATTGGCTCGTTCACATTTTAATCTTAGTGCCATCTGAGCGTTAATTCTCTGAACAGCTTGCTCTTTCGTAAAACCATCTCTTTTCATTAGTCGACGTAGTTGGGTATCGGGATCGCTACATTTATAAACAAAAAACGTTTTCTCAGTGAGAAATTCTAAACTGATTTAATTATTCAGCATGCGCAAAATAAATAATCGTAAAAACAATTCCCTGCGAAGAATTGAAGAAAAGACGACAAGAGTATAAATAAGTAAAATTTTGAGAGCTACACCCGGTAGCAGATCCAGTGTTAGGCAAAATAAATTATAACCGCTAATTTCAGAATTCAAATAAGTTTATAACAAAGTTATTGGCTATAAATTTATAAAGAATAAAAGTTAACCAATCAATATGTTGAAGTGATTTATTTTGCCTATGGCTGGATCTGCCCCTGGACTAAATGTCAACATATACAAATCTTAACATTTTCCGCTTTCAACATTTGTACAAATTGCAGTTGACTGTTTTGAATGAGCATACACGTATTTTCAAACATACGTACGTACCAATAGACGACAATGATTTTGTGCATAAACGATGCAATAATGCCTGACTCAAACAACAATGGTGTTTCCAAAATGACAAATCGATGCCCTGCATAAAATGATCGTAAATATTTCTTATTGACTGTAAACAGGCAGATTGGAAATCATAATTTGCGTACTTAGGTATAAGTGTTACTCTAACAGTAAAAGTTGGGTAGCTACATGTTCTTAAGCTTAGATGGGAATGCAAGTAGTAAAATTTTGCTACATTGTCTACACATAATGGAAACATCCTAAAATTTAAATAAAGCAACCATCTACAAAAATTTATATATAAGCAACCGAAAATTTATGTAAAGCAACCATCTACAAAATTAAGGAATTTACAATCTACATGTCAGATAAAATAAAATTTGTATAATTGGATTCACAAGTACAGAGTTGCCCAAGAATTGTAAAAACTAGACCAAAGTCTTTCAGTATAAAAAGTACTTTTCTTTATGATATATTATTATATGAAAGAACAGAGAACAGAAAACAAGGGTATATTTAAGTGCTCTTGAAGATAGTGTATATCAGAGTTGATAAAGCCTGAAGCCTTGTTATATATTATCTGGTTGGACAAAAAGTGAAACTGCTGGGTAAAGAAAAAGAAGAACAACAGAGAAAAGAATGAATACTATGTGCTATGGGAGTTTTTGGAGTTCACAGGAAAATGTAGAAGACATAAAAAAACAGGTGGTAATAAAGATGCTAGAATGGATCAGTTTGTGTAAGCTAGTCAATCAGATTTGTGAAGCACTCAATGCAAAATACCATAGATCTTTCTTTGTGCTGTTCACAAAACTCCAAAAGAGGTATCGTTATTAAAATTATGTAATTGTTTCTTCGCTTTGTGCGTCTTTCATTCAATTGCGCATCTTTTGAATGGCTTTAGTTTTCAGTTAATGGTTTGTGGAATTTGCATATTTTTATTTTCATTTTCAGTGTCCCGCCCTTGACTACACTCGGCACACGCTGGATGGTGCGGCTTCATTGCTAAACAGCAATAAATATTTTCCCAGTAGGTACGTATTGACAATGTTTTCAATATTTTTTTTTCATCTATGTAATGGTTTAAGATGTGTTATTGCATCAAAATCAAATCGTTTTGTCACTGATAAATGCCGATATTGTTGTGTTAAAAAGTGTTCGGTGAATTCAATCCAGTCTCCATATTACTGATGTCAGTAATATTACGAATGAGGTTGGATCACTTGGATGCTTGCAATACACAGCCTTTTTTATAATAATAAATTTGTTTGAGCAATTTTAAACCGCAATATAACCACTACAAAACCTTTAAATCATTCGTTTATCTTCCATCTTGACAATTGACATCCAATCAATTTTAGAGTAACTATAAAAGAATCATCAATATCGAAGCTGGGGTCCGTATGTCGCAGAATCTATAGAATATTTTCTCATGCTTACTATCACCACCGACGAAGTTATGATGAATTTGAGGTTAGTACCTTTCCTGTTCTACTTCAGTAATGATTTCCAAGTTCGTGTGCATTTGCTCATTATATCCATGCACGAAACATTGTTGTATGAACAAGAGAATTCCTTGGTAATTCACATCCCTGCTGAGACAGTACTTCATTAAAAAAGTTAATACTTTAATAAACTTTGTGTTAGTAGTATTTTACCTGCTATCGTAAACATATGATTGTTTATCTTCAGCGTAAAGTTTTGTACAGTAAAGTAATCTGTATTAATGGTTGCAACCATCCCCCTGGGAGTAAGAGAACAATGGAATGCTCGCCATGTTGGATGAAATTTGCATTGTAAATAAGGAATGTCCTTTGTTAAAATCATCTAACATGGCGGCTATGACGTAGCTTGCAACCGAAGAATTGCTTATTCAGTATACTTTTATCTTATATACTGAAGAAACAATTTAATCTTTTTTAAATTTATTTCCAGGCAAGCACAAACTTATGTCGTCGCTTCACTGCGTTTGTTTTAAAGTACGAACTAATGGCGCAGGAGAGTCTTATTGTGCCTACAGATCAAAACCGAACAGAGATAAGTAGCACTTTACAGACTGGAGTGTAACGTTTTTCGGGAAAAATGTGCATCAACAAATATTTTACTATAAATTAGATTTATTGGGGCTATCATGCAGAATTAACTTTGATGAAAGTGTTCGTCAAAATATGTCGATAATAGACTTGTCAAATAAACTTTCTTTAAATACCTAAATATTTATTGACATATAATGGCTAACATATAAAGTAACTATTATCAACAACATGGCGGGTGTGGCTAATTTGGAAAAAATTTTCCAACAATGACGAATACAGCGAATTTTTATTCCTGTTTTACGTAGCTGCATTTTTCATCTCGTTCCACGGGGTAAAAAAATGAATGAAAATAATATTCTATCTAAATGAATAATTCTGCTGAAAGATTTTTGTAGCATAGGATTCAAAGTTCAGGTTTATCTTGTAACTACTGACTTTGAATAATCTTGAAGAGTTTGGAAAGCAGCGTATCTCTGTTAGTAACTCTGCTACTTTCGATGCAATTCTTGTGATACGCTACTGCTCAAACTTATAAATTCCAAATGTAATAGTTACGCACGCAAAAGCTACTTAAGCAGGCGAGGTAACCTTTATATAGCAAGTTGTTCGCTCTGTCGTCCAAATGATCGTAATAAAGTTAGCTCATCTTAAAGCTCTCGTCGAGCTCTTTCCAATGAGCTAAAAGTCATCGCCTTAACTCGGAGATAGGATCTGCGCATGTGCAAGGGGATTTCCGCGAATATGCAGTACCATCTCCTAAAGTATTGAAGATACGGCGATGATCTGTAGATGTTTGTGGATATAGATCGTCTAGGTTAGTAGAGTCATTAGAAAGAGTGTTGTTGTTCATGATGATTGACGTTTGAAAACCGTAGCGGTAGTCATTTTTAGAGTCCAAAAATATATATATGTATATTTTATATTTTTTTTGACTCTGAAGATGACTACCACTAAGGTTGTCGAAACGTCAGGCAACATCAACAACAACAGTCCTTCTCTTCACTCTACTAACCTGGGCGAAAAACATGGAACGATACTCCCGGGTTCAAACCATTTACTTTGTAACCTATATATGTTTGTTTTTGAAGGATATTTTCACTATTTGGATGGAAATTAAAGTACATGTCATCTTAGTACTCTAAGATATGTGAGGCCATATATATATATATACATTACATCACCAATAAAGTAACGCGACCTTTGATTATCTTAACCGATAATCAAGACAATGCAAAAAATCAGAGGGCAAAACTATACCTACGACAGTGTACGTCAAAGTTTGATGAGACATGAGGTTCTTATGCGATAGTCTGAACCCTTTCTGAAAAACAAAATATTTTTTTTCGTCACGACTCTTATGGTCACTCCATCAAGTAAGTTGCCGACAGATTTATTAACTGCAATTTATGTCGATTTATGTATTTAGACTACATTAATATTTGATTATTGATACGTAAAAAGCGAAAAAGTATGTTAAATGGAAAAATAAATGAATTATTTTAGAAACAGTTTCTCCAAGTTTTCCACTGGGAACTCGATGACAACAGCTAGAATGTAGCCTCCAGCAAATGATAACACGACTGACGCCAAGAAATAATATACCTAAAGATAAAAATGATTACAACAAGATCAGCAAGTTTTGCAAATATAACAAAGAGCAACAAAGGAACTGGCATAGAGTGTTTTCACCTGATGTCATAGCAGCCATTTTGGGGGTAACAATTGAAAAGAATTTTTATTAAGTTTGTTAGTTTGGGCCCTAAAAATGGCTGCTCCCTCTATTGTTTAGTTGATGCCAGTGTAACAAGTGAAAACGCTTTATAACAAACCAGTTTGTACGAATGGAGATAACAAAAGTTGACGACATACCGTAAATGCAATGCTGTAATGCATAGAGCCATTTGCTGCATACAACATGTAGTGAATAACGATCATATGAATGAGGTAAACAGAGTAGGTCAATCGGCTGAGTGGGATCCAGAATCTTGCAGACAAGTACTCGTTAATGTAACCTGAAAAAGTTTTCTATTTGAGTATGTAAATACATTTTTTGATTAGCTTTATGACATGTATGACATTTAAATATATGAACATTTTCGATTGATATTTTCATAAATTTTCTGTTATGTTTCCCGAAATTACATAAATCCTGCACTGATCTCTCTATTCATTAAATACATACTTAGTTGCCTAGTCTGGATAATGCAGGGACTGGACAATCAATATAATACTACGTGCATTCAAAGATAAAACAATCTCAAAGATTTGTTATTGTCCAATCAATATCTCATTGTCTAAGCTTTGTGTGGCCAGCATCAGGAGTTTTACAAATAAATTACGTAAAGCAGATTAGCTTCATCGGAGTCGACTCTTCGTTCATGTTTGGAGACGGATTAACATTATCATATGTGATGGCAACTAAAATGCATAAAAATGCCAATCTTACTTCCGTAACCAAAGTGACAAGCATAGGTAACCCATGCAACCGCCAGTCCCCAGAGGAGTCGCTGAAGTGTTCCAAAGACAATTTCTCCCCTTAGAGTCCATTCATTTTCACCACGAACTGCCGACTTGCATGGCCCATATACCATTGTCATAGCAACGGCAAATGCCACGCACCAGCCGGTGATTGCAATTAACTAAATTACGAATGTTAAAGTGAAAACAACCATTGTGCGAGGTCACCAACAAAGTGTTGGAGGCTAGCCCTAATCTTTAAAAAATATTTGACGCCAATTCGTGAAAAGTTTGCTTTATTGAAAGCTGTGCGATTTGTCCAAGTAAGTTAAGGAAATATCAGGTCAATCGTATTAATCTATTTAATTATATGTCATTTACTCATATCGTATAAAAGGTTTCAACGTTTCACCAATATCAACAACAGCAGATATGAGCAACCATTTAAGCGCAATGTTGGCAAAATTGAATGGTGACTATCACCTTCAGTCCCACTTCCTTCGCTCATTTGATGTAAATTGTGAAGTATACACAATGATGATGTATTTTTATGAACTTACCCAACCGTGTTTTTTAAAGGGGTTACGGTATTTCTTGTAGATGACGTAACCAATGATAAATCCCACCAGATAAGGCTGAATGCGACAGTACGGTTTAGTATACTCATATTTCATGTATTCCGCTATTTTTCTCCCCCTAAAACATTTAAACGCTTGCTTAACAGTGAAACTCATGAAAAGGATGTATTAAGTTTTGTTCATAGTTTTTAAACAACTGTACAACCACAAGCAGATTTTTGCCGCTTACGTCTTGACACGAAAAGATGTTTGAATTTCGTTTGTCACTACATCAATGCATCCGCTAGTTTGTACTCAAAAAAACGTTTAAAACTTCAAAATAATTCATTTACCCATCTGCAATTGGTCGAAGGGATTTGAGAACTATTAAAGGATCCACGTCATAACCAACATAGATTGATGGAATTGTTATTGTGCTTATTGCCATCAGTACACCAGTTCCTGCAAATAATCCTCGCCATCCAAATCTAAAAATACAATTATAATATTTTGAAAAATATATCAACACCATCAAGGTTTCAGGATCGATGCACAATATAGTTTTAGTCTCTATTAATGGCAGACGTCGACTTTTATCCAAATGTTTTAATGTTGTCAAATACAAACTAAATAGCCAATCAAATCACGCGTTGCATACACAATATACGAATTGCGGAAAGTGGAGTACTAGAAATCATTCTTATACTAGTTGTAAATTCATTATTGGTACAATAAACTCCTCGGCGTAATCAAGTTAGTTTTGTATTCAATCGTCAAAACTGATTTTTGCAAAACATTCAATTATTTAATTGACATGATAGTGTTAGGTGTATATATCCTAAAGATGTGTCGAAAGAGTTTAAATTCAAACTTTGGTCGATTACTGGTCGGTTAACACTTGAGATGAAAATGCTCAACCTAAAATGAGAAAATACAATCATTTTGTCTACGTACACTTACCTGTACGCCAAAACTATAAGTATCGGTGAAATTACGTAGAATTGCATATCATTTGCTAAATACCAAGCCCGTCCAATGCACTAGAAATACAATTTAGAAATATAGAACTGTTTAATACACAATTGTGTTAAATAGAACTATGTTAAATTGCATTATGTTGTGCTGTCAAAATTGTATTATATAAGAAATAAAAGATGTTTACTGTGTTTGCACAAGCTTATGCAAACCGAGGAGACCTTTGGGAGAACTTGAGAGCAGATCAGTTCAAGCCCGAGACCGAAGGTCGAGGGTTACACATGCTCGGGAAAATGCAAAGATGCAACCGAAGGTCGAGGGTTGCACAATAATGCGAAAAAAGACAAACATTTTAATTTTTACTCTATAGTTTATTCATGATCGATTTGCAAATTCTCTTTGACTGATTGATTGCTTAAATTGATTTGATTGGTTGAGCTCAGATGTGTTTTGCACTGGCTGATGCAAACTCAGCTCTTGACCAATCAGCGCACGCGTTTCATTGTGTTTATTTTATAAATAGAACTCTGTTGTATAGAATTGTGTTATATAGAGTTGTGCTATATTGAACTTTGTCAAGTAAAACTGTATTATAAAGAACTGCATGTGTTTTATATAGAACTGTAAAATAAAGATTTTGTCTTGGTGACAAATTAAAAAATCATTTTAAAAAGAGCAAATACCGTGGCGAATGGTTAAATTAATAATATAATAGTTCTTAAAAGAACTGTTTAAAACCAGAACACTAACCAAATAATTCTAAAAGAACTGTTTTTACAGATAAACACACTGTGGATGATGAGTGGTCAGCCGAAATGCACAGTGTCTTTTAGCTTTGAAAACAGTTCTTTTAGAATTGTTGGGTTTGTGTTCTGGTTTTAAACAGTTCTTTTATATTATTATTTCAACCATTCACCATAGTATTTGCTCTTTTTAAAACGATTTTTTAAAAAGAACTATTCATGCAAAACTGTGTTGTGTAGAACTGTGTTGCATATACTACTTTGTTGTATCGAACTGCATTTGCTATGTTGAACTGTGTGTGTTGTATATAGGACTTTGTTGCATATACTACTTTGTTGTATCAAACTGCATTTGCTATGTTGAACTGTGTGTGTTGTATATAGAACTGTGTTGCATATACTACTTTGTTGTATCGAACTGCATTTGCTTTGTAGAACTGTGTGTGTTGTATATAGAACTGTGTTGCATATACTACTTTGTTGTATCCAACTGCATTTGCTTTGTAGAACTGCGTGTGTTGTATATAGAACTGTGTTGCATATACTACTTTGTTGTATCGAACTGCATTTGCTTTGTAGAACTGTGTGTGTTGTATATAGAACTGTGTTGCATATACTACATTGTTGTATCGAACTGCATTTGCTTTGTAGAACTGTGTGTGTTGTATATAGAACTGTGTTGCATATACTACTTTGTTGTATCGAACTGCATTTGCTTTGTAGAAATGTGTGTGTTGTATATAGAACTGTGTTGCATATACTACTTTGTTGTATCGAACTGCATTTGCTTTGTAGAACTGTGTGTGTTGTATATAGAACTGTGTTGCATATCTTACATTGTTGTATCGAACTGCATTTGCTTTGTAGAACTGTGTGTGTTGTATATAGATTTTGTTGCATATACTACTTTGTTGTATCGAACTGCATTTGCTTTGTAGAACTGTGTGTGTTGTATATAGAACTGTGTTGCATATACTACATTGTTGTATCGAACTGCATTTGCTTTGTAGAACTGTGTGTGTTGTATATAGAACTGTGTTGCATATGCTACTTTGTTGTATCGAACTGCATTTGCTATGTTGAACTGTGTGTGTTGTAAATAGAACTGTGTTGCATATACTACTTTGTTGTATCGAACTGCATTTGCTTTGTAGAACTGTGTGTGTTGTATATAGAACTGTGTTGCATATCTTACATTGTTGTATCGAACTGCATTTGCTTTGTAGAACTGTGTGTGTTGTATATAGAACTGTGTTGCATACACTACTTTGTTGTATCGAACTGCATTTGCTTTGTAGAACTGTGTGTGTTGTATATAGAACTGTGTTGCATATACTACATTGTTGTATCGAACTGCATTTGCTTTGTAGAACTGTGTGTTGTATATAGAACTGTGTTGCATATACTACTTTGTTGTATCGAACTGCATTTGCTTTGTAGAAATGTGTGTGTTGTATATAGAACTGTGTTGCATATACTACTTTGTTGTATCGAACTGCATTTGCTTTGTAGAACTGTGTGTGTTGTATATAGAACTGTGTTGCATATCTTACATTGTTGTATCGAACTGCATTTGCTTTGTAGAACTGTGTGTGTTGTATATAGATTTTGTTGCATATACTACTTTGTTGTATCGAACTGCATTTGCTTTGTAGAACTGTGTGTGTTGTATATAGAACTGTGTTGCATATACTACATTGTTGTATCGAACTGCATTTGCTTTGTAGAACTGTGTGTGTTGTATATAGAACTGTGTTGCATATGCTACTTTGTTGTATCGAACTGCATTTGCTATGTTGAACTGTGTGTGTTGTAAATAGAACTGTGTTGCATATACTACTTTGTTGTATCGAACTGCATTTGCTTTGTAGAACTGTGTGTGTTGTATATAGAACTGTGTTGCATATCTTACATTGTTGTATCGAACTGCATTTGCTTTGTAGAACTGTGTGTGTTGTATATAGAACTGTGTTGCATACACTACTTTGTTGTATCGAACTGCATTTGCTTTGTAGAACTGTGTGTGTTGTATATAGAACTGTGTTGCATATACTACATTGTTGTATCGAACTGCATTTGCTATGTTGAACTGTGTGTGTTGTATATAGAACTGTGTTGCATATACTACTTTGTTGTATCGAACTGCATTTGCTTTGTAGAACTGTGTGTGTTGTATATAGAACTGTGTTGCATATCTTACATTGTTGTATCGAACTGCATTTGCTTTGTAGAACTGTGTGTGTTGTATATAGAACTGTGTTGCATACACTACTTTGTTGTATCGAACTGCATTTGCTTTGTAGAACTGTGTGTGTTGTATATAGAACTGTGTTGCTATACTACATTGTTGTATCGAACTGCATTTGCTTTGTAGAACTGTGTGTGTGTATATAGAACTGTGTTGCATATGCTACTTTGTTGTATCGAACTGCATTTGCTATGTTGAACTGTGTGTGTTGTAAATAGAACTGTGTTGCATATACTACTTTGTTGTATCGAACTGCATTTGCTTTGTAGAACTGTGTGTGTGTATATAGAACTGTGTTGCATACCTTACATTGTTGTATCGAACTGCATTTGCTTTGTAGAACTGTGTGTGTTGTATATAGAACTGTGTTGCATACACTACTTTGTTGTATCGAACTGCATTTGCTTTGTAGAACTGTGTGTGTTGTATATAGAACTGTGTTGCATATACTACATTGTTGTATCGAACTGCATTTGCTATGTTGAACTGTGTGTGTTGTATATAGAACTGTGTTGCATATACTACTTTGTTGTATCGAACTGCATTTGCTTTGTAGAACTGTGTGTGTTGTATATAGAACTGTGTTGCATATCTTACATTGTTGTATCGAACTGCATTTGCTTTGTAGAACTGTGTGTGTTGTATATAGAACTGTGTTGCATACACTACTTTGTTGTATCGAACTGCATTTGCTTTGTAGAACTGTGTGTGTTGTATATAGAACTGTGTTGCATATACTACATTGTTGTATCGAACTGCATTTGCTATGTTGAACTGTGTGTGTTGTATATAGAACTGTGTTGCATATGCTACTTTGTTGTATCGAACTGCATTTGCTATGTTGAACTGTGTGTGTTGTATATAGAACTGTGTTGCATATGCTACTTTGTTGTATTGAACTGCATTTGCTTTGTAGAACTGTGTGTGTTGTATATAGAACTGTGTTGCATATGCTACTTTGTTGTATCGAACTGCATTTGCTATGTTGAACTGACTGTTATTTGCGCATTTCCGCTTTTGTGATCGTGAAAGCGTCGACTTTGAACTTTTATTCACCTGATCGTTGACCTCTTTCGGATAGAAGTTATTGATGTACAACATATTTGTCCACCACTTATCTTCGCAATTTTTTTCTTTGTATAAACTCAACCATGTAGGTGAATCAGATAAGATTCCTTTGATATGAACCGCAAACAGAACAACGAACATTAGAGACGGAGTTAATCTGTTAGACATGAGAAGAAGTAGTCGGCTTGCTAACTGTACATATAGGTATGTAATTTTAAAACTTGTGCTAATAACTATGATTTACCTTAAATATCTGTGGAGGTAAAACAATCCCCAATTAACTTTGCCTTGAGTTCTTTCCATTTTTCTCAAACATGTATATGCTACGAGAAGTCCACTAAAATAGACACTTAGCACAATGCACTTAATGGCTTATGAGAAGTTCACTAAACTATTCAGTTTAGTACCATGTAATGCATGGTTGAATAAGTAGTTCACTATTAAATAGTCAAGCAAACACCATGCAATGATTGGTTAACCAGAAATCTGCCATAAGCGCTCATGCAGTATAAAGACAAAAATAGTTGGTGAGAAAAATGTACTAGCTAATTTTTTCTTCCATTTATTAAAACAGTCCTTTTAAGATTGAGAGCAACACATCCATCCGTTTTTTTTGACCAGAATAACACCGAATCTAACTTTTTGGTTCAAGATGTTATACATGTCTTGGCGTTTTAAAAAACTATACGTACCTTAAGAAAAAGAAACTGTCTACAGCAAAGAAAGCATTAGCAACGGCCATTACAGTGACAGACTCAGCTTGGCGAAGGAACTCCTTCTTGTTTGCTAAAGTATTAAATTATTTTACTGTCTACATACTTTATAATGTGAAAAACGTGATTTATTTTATTATGTGCATCAGTTTTACCATGAAAAAAAAATGTGAGCTCTAGACTGCTACGACAGTATAATTATGAAAATAACTTTTAGAAAAAGTAGACATAGTAGCTAATAATTTATTAACGGGAGCTTAGTGCTTGGAAAAACTTACTGAGTAGAAAGTTGTGGAGGCTGCGAAGATACACATGTCCCAGGATAATCCAGAAAATACTGATCACTCGTATACCATTAATGGATGTAATAGCAGCGCTTGAAACACTCGTGTCGAAAATTTTCCTTGTGTTCCGTTGGAGAGAAAAACATAAGAACACCTCCGCAGTTTTCGCTAAAATGAGAGAGCAAAAATTTTTTCATATTTTTGAAGTTTTTCTCACTCTTTTTTTATCTTTGTAACAAAATATAACGTTCATAACCATTAGACAGAATGGTTATTGATTTATAAAATTATTTATTCTGTATGATAAAAATTCCCAAGAGAAGATATGTCTGGATACACTTGTGTATAATTACTTCTATTTATGCATACTTTAAAATTCTAATTCCATTAGGCTTGTTTCAAACGTCGCATTTTACATGCACCGAATGCATTTAAAACAAAAGAAAATGAGATAAAATTCCTCATTAGCTTTTGTTTTAAATGCATTCGCCTCATGTAAAATGCCTCTTTTTAAATTGGCCTTAAATTCTAATGCTATGACTTATATTATAGCAACCTCGTTCCCAGGCTCTTTAATTTGAAAGCTCCTCGGAACGAGGTTGATATTATAGGTGGATGTGAAAAAACCAAACTTTACTTCTTTAAAGATCTTACTTTAACTATGAAATTGTTATAACTTCCAATACTTATGCTAATTTAAACCGCGATTTTTTTATAAATAAACGACCCAAACATTGTTCATATTGCAGTACGATGATCGCTACATACGAGAAATTTCTTAAAATGTCAACTTTAATTTGAACAATTCTGAAATCTCCATACATCTTAAAATTGTCGTCATTTTACGATTGATTGCAACTGCGTCTTCTTGCTGCATCCGTTTACCATTTGCTTCCATCTCAAAGTCTTCCTCTGCATCGGATAATATTCCTGTTTCTTCAACAGTTTTGTGATGCTTCCGAATCGCATCTAGTATGCTTCCAATCAAGCATAGAAGCATCAATACACCACAAAATGCACTGCGTTGAAACAAATAGTTAAAAAAATAAGGCAGTTAGAAATATGCAAGAACAAAACGGTACAAGACATATTATTATTTTTTATGTGACGTCCTACTTTATATTTTACTGTTACATGCAATCTGATTGGCTGCACAAGCGGTCTGCACGAGACCGTTCGTCGGGCGTTACCTTCCCCTACGCTATTTTTAACCGCTCATCAAAAAAACCGAAGATTACCAAACAGCAAATAACAAAAAATTTTTATTATTTACTGATTTTATCAGTCCTATATAAAGACGTATATAAGTCCTATATAAGGACGTTCTCTTTGTTTCTGCTCAGTTTGATTTTGCGTGATACTATTTTGCCGATTTGATTGCCTGAAACTAATGAACTCAATGTCATCTAAAATTACGAATGCCAAAGAGTATTTTAGTAAGACACAAGACAATAGACACTCCGTATATTAAGTGTCTATTGTCTTATTTACAGACTTACGCACGTACAAAATTAATTTCTGTTTTTTTCGTACATTGTCAATTTAGTGCCAGTGTCATATCCCGGTCCTTTGATACATTTGGTGCCGTATACATATATTTCCACGGCTTTGTCTGTGAGTTTAGATACTGAAAAAAGAGATCAATACGCACATGTCACAGTTGTACTGAGCTTGTGTCCGAGGTCCGAGCCAAAAATCGTGGTTACTGGGTACATGTTGGGACATTTGCATTTCAACAGTTTATGGAATTTTATCTATTTGAAAACATAGAGTATTTTATGGTAGACCAGCCATGTTTCCAGGTATTTTGGGAAGTCTTAGGCCTTTCATGGCTAGTTTTAGGTTTGGCTGGCCTGCTTTGTCATTGTTCCTCTGGTGTGAACCAACGCTTACCAAATGTTCAGTGGTTTTGTCTTTATATCATTAATGGAATCACAATGAATTTAGCTACTAACTTTAAACTTACCTTGACTGGTCGCAACCTTCAGAATGGCAGAAGCATTATCTGAAGTGCAACTTTGTGGAAAGCAACCTGTCCAAGATATGAATGGTATGTTCTGAAAGAAATTAAGTGTATAATAAACTGATTTTACTACCGACAACAATTTCCACTCTACACGGTGAGAAAAAATTGAAAAAAAGTGAAAATCGACTTTCTCAAATATGCAGTTCTTGTTTACCCTGAGTAAATGATGTAAATTACATCGTACATGCAATTTACCCAACTGGTGACACGATGCTATTTACACAACCAACTTCCCTTGCCGCATTACATGCCAAATTAAATGTATGTTTGTTATATATTTCCTAGTTGTAAATGTTTAAAAGTGTGTTTATGCAGTGAAATTTGCATTAAATAAATATTCGGATGTTTGCAAGCAATTTGATATATTTATGTCTATTTTATGTTGAATGGAAGATGACTAGTTTCAACTCCAGATTTGTCCTTTTGAGCGAATTTTTTTGGCTGGCATGTTTGCTCATTAGACATCATAAGTGGCACGGAAATCGCCAACAAGCTATTAGTAACTTCTATTGTCCAGTTGAGAATGTGCACTAGTTATGACGTCTATTTAGAATAAAATTTACTTCCCATGCTATTTTGAAACGATGAACCTTTTCACATTTACATCCTCTATTTTGCGCAGTAGACAAATGTGCGCACATCAAATGTCACCACAATGCCTGAAGATGATGTCTATTACATGCATTTTCACTTATAATAACAACTATTTGGGCAGTAATTAATAAGTAAATGAAAACAATTTTATGAAAAGCAACATTTCTGTGCGTACATTATTGAATCTAATGAAAAAATCTTATGTCTGGACATTGACGATTTCCCTTACCAGTTTCTAAAGTGGAATTTGTAATAATAATAACGATCCACAAACATGAGCATTTTCTATGTCGTATTCGCATACTTCGTGTGCACCACCCCAATAATTGTTTCCTTCAGTCAGTCCACTGTGAGGTTTTCCAGCAGCGTCAATATCTAAAAAAAATATTATTTTCATTTCAAGCGATGGTGTAAAATCCTCTTTTAAGTGGGAAATCGATGTGTAAAATGGCGTAATTTTTAACGGTAGACAACGAGACTTGATTAAGTTGATTGCAAAAAAACAACTGTTGTTTTAAATTTTCAATGCAGAGCTGTGAAATAGATCAAACCTGATGCAGGAAAATCCAATAATAAACAACCAATAGTATTATATATTATCTTTAATCGGTGTTAATCGACTTAACTTGTCACATCATATTTATAACAATGTTGAATCCACTTGATTGATATTGCTTCAGACGTTTTAGTATTTGTAGCAAGTGAGTATTTTGGAGTGTGATTTGGAAAAGAGGGTATTTTAGGAAACGTAAACCGACGCAACGACCGTTGCATAACCGTACAATATTCGCCAAGGGTGACCGCGCTTTTCACTGTATACCTTAAATTTTTAGTTTTGCATGATTTTTGTGTGGAAACTGGAAAAAATCTGTTTGTTGTAGCAGCCAATTATGCAAGATAGCCGCTTAAGCGTCGCCAAGATGATGAGGGAGTTAAGACGTGCAGTATACATGAAAAAATGGGCTTTGAAATAAAGTGGAAAGCGACACACAACATATTGCGTGCAGTATGCAGTTTTCCTAAGCCGACAAGTTTGTACTGTATTACTTTCTTATTCATTTCGTGAGCGGCTATTTCAATTCAGCCTCAAAAAGTACTTCTTCAATCATGTACAAATAGTACAGTCCCTCTCAAATATAAACTGTTTAATTCTCAATTATACTTACACTTCACCATGACGGCAGTTTCATTTGCGATCATTTGCAAGTCTTTACCACATTGCCCGAGGTTTAAACGTTTTAGATTGTTCATTACTGAAGTAGTGAAAAGAGACAAGGGATTCATCGCACGAAATGATTGCGAGATGGCTTTTAGCAGTTGTGCATTCTGCGATGCACTCTGTGTCGAAGAATTCAGCTTCTTTAGGAGATCAAAAAAGGTTGTGTTGCTCAATTGATCCATCAAATTCGTAAGAATAACATTAGGATTAGGAAAATTTCCAGTTGGAGATTCTGTTGTTGTTTTTCCTACATCTTGTGCTGTCGTAACGTTGGTATCGGAATACCCAAAATATAGGAAGCACAATGCAAGGAACCATGACGTTCTTAGAAAGTTGGGAACCTTTGCCATGTTGGTGATAATCCAAACTAACGTAAATTAAGATAATTCCTGTATTTAGTATTATTGTAACCTGATTCCAGACGTCATGAAGCTTTGGTAATTGACGCACGTAAAATTCTACAGACGTAAATTAAGATAATTCCTGTAATTAGTATTATTGTAACCTGATTCCAGACGTCATGAAGCTTTTGTAATTGACGCACTTAAAATTACCTCCACAGACATAAAGTTAAAATAACAAGTTACAATCATACGATACTGGCTTTGTTAAACTCACGCTTACGGTTTACCGGATGTTTTGTTCACTCCCAAATTGCAATATTGAAGTCACTGATGCGTTATTGGCAAACATACGCACCGGAGGCTTTCGCACATGATACACAAAAATCGGTAAAGACTAAAAACCCATCTGAATGAAAACTATGTTGAAAAATAAAAAAACAATATAAGTTGATACATAACTTATTTGCTAACATACATCTGAGTACGTGTCATACAAAGCATTTCCACATTGAAGGAAAAGCTGTGGAAAGATGGTCGAACTTTTGGATTCTGACACAACTTGCTAGTCATTTTTTGTATCAATCGCCCGTATTCTAAAGGCACCCTCACACTTATTCGATAGAGCGTTATTTTTATGTTGCACTCGATGAGTGTGAGTGTGAGGGAGTCTTTAGAATACGGGCAAATATTGCGATGGAAATTGCCGTGTTGCAATTTTGTGGAGAACAGATCATCTGTTTCGAGTGTAAATTTCTTGAGCGTTGAGCAAGCAGCACTGAAATTTACGACATAAAATATATTTCACATATGGCATTCACTATAGACACTCAGACAGGTACTTAGTCAATGCATGGCAACTCAACGATCGAATCAACAAAAAAATTTTGCTTTGATACCCTAACCTCTTTCGATTGGTGCAGACGATGAAATACGTAAAGAGCACGTGATTTATAAAGCGTTTATTTTATTCACGTAATTTCGCCACAGCTCACGAGAACGATTATACGTCTAATTAACCTAAACTACTCCTCTGCTTTCCTACAGATTTTCATACTTTAGTTTTTGCTGTAATCTGCCGGTGTCTTGTACAGCCTCAAGAGTGTCTGTGTCGATGTTTAAACTTGAAATTAGTATATTTAACGTGCTGACACCACGCCAGCATTTGAGTAGACTGTAGGAAAATGTTTTTTTCTATTACAACGCTCACAGCCTGAAATTCATCGTACAATGTAGTATGATAGGTATCATTGTTTCATTGGATTGGGAAGGTAAACGTGAATTTGAATTTCTATTACTAGTTTCTCTGCTGATTATAATGGAGAATGGAGTGGACTAATACGCTAAAATATAATCTTCTAGAAAAAGTGTTGTAAATTGAATTATAGCAGAAATTCCATCTTTGTTGGCATATCATTCAGCTTTTATGTATTGTCATTTATTTTGAAACGCTGGATCCCCTTCTGCACAAACTAACTTCATAAATTCAATACCTGTAACATATTACATAGGGATAACTGGTTAAGATAGTGTTGAACACATTGCAAAAAAAAGTATTTTAAATATTTCAATATTGTTTGAAATATGAACACGTAATATTGCTAATTAGTTTCCTATTTTTCCTCACTGAAATAAATATAAGAACAGCGTTATATATTTCAGCCATGGAAAATTGAGAATTATAGGAAATGACTGGGAGAAGGTGAAGCAAATACAAAAAGCAAAAATGGATATGGTTTTTCTAATGACAAACAAAGCCTTTTAGTATTACTTGTATTACTCGTACTTATAATACGTACTTTGTATCAAAACAGTGGTAGGAATACATTTTAGGAGGTGGTGTGGCAGAGCTTTCCAAATTTCCAACAATTTTTTGCCTGAGCATGCGAAAACGTTAACATTCAATGTACTGGAAATTGTGATCAATGGACACTAATTGTCTTAAAGTATATTTATGATCATGGATAACTTATAAAAAAGCACATGGTTTGTGCATGAATTGCCTGGTGAAATTGCTCATGCATTATTTTTCTGAATTGTAGTACATTTCACTTTTGCAACATAACCTAACATTACAAGGGCCGGTTGCACGAAGCCTGAATAGCGTTATCCATTGGATAGCAAGCTTTTTTAAACTTTTATAAAACCTTTTAGAAGGCAAAAAGTATAAGATTCGAACTGAAAAATCACTGAAATAAAACATTGTGTCGAAGATTACGAAATCTCTTTGTCGTAAGAAAAATATAAACACCTTTACAAGTTTGAAATTCTTGCCATCCAATGGATGACGCTATCCAGACTTCGTGCAACCGACCCCAGACAAAGAACCAATTTTAGGAAAGGTGGAATGGCAGCTGCCTCACCAAGATTTCTCCTCTCTATCAAAACAATAATGATTATTCAATTGCCTTTAAAGAGATTATTGTCACATCACTTCATAAAATGATTAACTTAATGCTACATTCAAAGCAACATACAGACTGTGCTGTAGAACTAACAAAATAAAATATGGATGTCAAGGCTGCAATTTTTGTGATTGATCTAAGTTTGGTTGGAAAATTTGATAATGTCTTCAAGTGGTTTAGGTTGGCAACTTCTGCAAAATTACTAATGAAATGCCACTTCTGAATTCACAATTTTTTAGAAATATTTTAAAAAGAAGTAAATCTCAAAAGAACACACGTGCCTATTTTCTATTAGAATGGTCCACCAACTAGAAATTTTATTTCGACTTTTATTTAATTGACAATTGAGATATTTCATTGATCAAAATCCAAACTACAACAATAATATTCACTCTAACTATTACCCATAAATTATACGTAGTGTTCATGAACCGTTGTTATACTTGTCAATGGAGGGAATAATGCCAAAATTGACTGTATTTTCGCATAACATATGTATAAAAGATATCGTGTATTTTAGGGTACAATTATTCCTTGTGCAATTTCTCATAGTGTGCAATGTTTCATTTACATTAACCCTCTAGAGGCCGTTGTTGCTCACAGGCAACAATCACCAAATGAGATGTGTACGAACTTTTGAAAAGGCACGGCGCTTAGAGAGTTAAATATGAAAAGTAAGATTGTTTCATCACAGTGGCGTGCTGGAAACTAAGGGGTGAATGGGCCAAGCCAAGGAAGGTCCGGAGGCATGCTCCCTTAAAAAAAACTCTAAAATGGTAGTTCCTGGACTTTGGGAGAGTAATTTATGCTATGTATATCATTTCAAATAAATCTCAAAACCAAAATACAATGCCACGTATTCATTTCTGCAACCCCTTCCCCTCAAAAAATCAACAACTGGAGAAGTGGCCCCAAGCCAGCACGCTACTGTTTTGTTATGTTACATATTATCCTACATGACTTACTTACATTATACATAGCCTCTTAAGCCTGGTTCTTATATAGTCGTCCGAGTTGTTTAAGTCGTGCCAAAATTTTACAGACGACTCTTGCGACTCTATGAAAACATTTCAGAGGTGACCCAAATAACTTCAAATGACTCACACGACTGAAACGACTAGGGTCGCTTGGATAGAACTCTTTTTTTATCTGGACGACCGAAACGACCGTTGAAAAATGCAAGCGACCTCTTCAAGGCACAAGACGTTTTGAAGAAGCAAATAACTAGCTAAAAGACTTCGTCTTTTATAAACAGCAGCTGCCATTTTCAAATTTTTCCCTCAAAAATCAATTAAGCAGTCTCTCGGCAGCGCTAGTACGAATATATGAGAATTCCATAGCTTGAGTCGTCCCAGTCGTTGTGAAAAACAACAAAACAACTCAGAACGACTCGGATGACTCAAGCGACTTAATGAGAACCAGGCTTTACTTACATTATATATAACTTCTTGCTTCAGAGTGCTGTTATTTATTTATATGTGGTCGAAGGCTATCTCAGCTTGTGCACCTTCGCTATCTTATGTTATTTACTCAACTTTGTTGCTTTAACTGGTATTGAAAATATGGCATAAAAAATAGATTGTTAATGCACAAGCTACAACACTTCACTTGGTTAACAAATTCAATTAATTCAATTTTATAACATAAGTTAGGCTCAATTTAGTAAATACACTTGTTTCACAGACAGACAGTTGTGTGAAACAAGGACATTACAAAGTTACATCAATCATAGTTATTTTGCATGGGAAATCGAGGTTCTGACCTTTCTTTGCTACCTTGCAATAAAGTGACATCTAATAATTTTGAAAAAATAGTCATTTCTCAAAATGTAGATGGCCAGAGATTAAAGTTTACAGCCTTATAAAGTAAATTCATATAACAATAAATTTTAACTCTTAATACTTAATGCAGTGAATCGGTAATTAGATGTCTTTTGTGCAAAACATATTCAAAGCAGATTTTCCAAATAAATTTGCACTAGAAGAGTAGACGAATTTCAAACAGCTACAATATACGAAAATTCTTTTTCAAACGAAGTATATTTTACGTTAGGAAAGTTTTAGAGAGAGAATTGAATTATGTACTTTATGCAAATAACATGAAATGAACACTTTAGTGCACTTAACAATTCTTCGCAATTTTGTTTATTTTCTATTGTCCACTTACAAAAGTTTGAATGACTAGAATTGTTTTCACTCTTCAGCAGAATGAAATTTAGATAGAGATTCTTCGTGAGCTTTGTCAGCTCTTTTTTTGAATGTGAAACTTTGGAAAATGCATATTGTACTTTTGAAATTTGTCTACATCTTTTGTTGCACCTTTATTGCACATAATCACCGCATAGTTTCGACACTTTAAAGTAATGGTTAAAAATGACTTTCCAAATTCAGAAGTTGAAGAAGACTTTCTAACCAACTGCTAATGATCAGCCTAACATTGGTGACACGAAAACCAATGTCAAGGTAACCATTATATGTGGACGAAACAGTTGTGCGAGAAGTTTCTCTGTAAGACGCTCATACATCCTGTGTACCATGTGAAGTGATCACCATTGCACATTGGTGATAACTCACATATGGTATCATATAAAAACATAAGAGTAAATATTCATATGTTC